CCAATTTAACCAATTAACCACATATTACATCAAATCGATCGAATTCGAGGCCATGCCTTCTCACATCTTACCAACATGGTACTTCAAGAGACTCTCTTGAAACTTTCCCCTTTTATTTCCATTCACACCACTAAAAATCCCAACAATCCCCCACATGAATGGAGAATGTTGTACTTTAAAAACTATGCAAAAAAATCGTGTGATTCTCGACTAAGAATTAGTTGCATCGGAATAGGTAGGTTTCCCTTTGAACCTTCCTTAGTGAACATATATCGAGTATACTCACCAATCGGTAGATGTGATATCTTTGAACCGTCGGTTTTGCTTGTATACTAAGACAACATATGTCACACACCTAACTCTTATCCGTTCACTGGTTCTCATTGTTGTGTTCGTTTCAGCCATGAACACCGCCTGGTCTCATGAGTGCTTAGAGAACTGGCCTTCTTTTATTCTCCTTGAAGCGGCTCCACTTCACACTCACATAGGTGCTTTCTAAAAATGTATTCCGAAAATACACTATTTGATCACATCATGTGTCAAACTTAGAAGCCATTAAAAACCTTCCATCTTTAGGTTTACCCTTATAGTTGGACATTGTCTCATAATGAGAATGGACTTTGAATAATTTGACAATGTCGGACCATCAATCACAACTTTGTTTCTCCTTCAACCTAGAGGTTGGGTCTGCCAATCCTGCTTAGGTAGAGTTACCGCCATGAAGATTTGTCCTAGGCCACGAGTCCATTCCCTTCGATGCTATCGTTAATTTCTAGGTAGGCCTAACGTTTGTTATCACTTGATCTAAGATGATCAATCCAAATAACTTTGCTAGAAATTAATCAATCCATAGTGTTACGTTTCCATTATCTTTGACGAGATTTATCACATAACACTCCTAGCCCTTGCAATAACACCTTTGTGCATAAGTGCGTTTTATTAACGCCAGTCTTTGCGGGCCAAACTACTCAACTTCACCGGTCTTAGAGTTTAACTTGGACGTTTTCCAAGATACTGCTCCTCGTTAACCATAAATGCCTATCCATTAATGGACTATGGCTTTTGGTTCATCCAGTGAGTTCCTTTGGGTAAAATTCACCAAAGACTCGTCTCTTTTTCGATTCACTACACATCATGTGTGTTTGCCTTGATTTTATTGCCTTGCAATAATCTTAACACATGCCAACGGTGTTGAAGTCTCTCTACTTCATTAACCTTAGAGTACTTGATTTTCACAAGTATCTCTTCAAATGTAGTGACATTTATGTCTTAGCTTAGAGTTTACATAAAACTCCTAAGTATTCACATCACTTCACTTTGGAATCACCCAAGCGACATTCCACATCACTTCTCCCCAATTGATCCCCCACATTTCAACTATTTCGCCATAGTTGTTGAAACCAACGTTTCCGGTTTGGGGAATGTTGTTCATATACATTCATGTATAAGGTCAAAATCATTTCTTTGGGAAGAGTGGATCAACATCAATAAATATTCTGACAAAACGTCAATATATGCTAGAGTTTACTCATAAGTTATACCCTTTGACTGGGTTAACTCCACAAGGTTTAAGGACTCTCACTTTCTCGTTGGACACCTTCATACTTTCAAGTATGACTTCGCTTACCTTTCCACTTTTGTCTTATGGATAGGTTTGCATCCCATTGTAGGGTCTCGAGATAGTAGCCGAAACAATGGCTAGCTCTTCTTCCCCACAATTCCACCCTTTGCCAAACATCATGGAATGATTCCATTTATTTTCCCTGGTTTTACTTATTGAACTTGCCAACCACTATATGTATCTAATTGTTTACCAATGGTATGATCTCACTCGATTAGCATACCACAAACAATTCAGATTTTTATTAGAAAAATTATCCAATTACTTACCAATGGTATTGAACAAGGCAACTTGAGACGTCATAAGTAATTCAGATGCATTCCAGTAATGGAAATCCCATCTAATTACTTTCCAATGACATTTCATTTATGTAACAGGATATACCACAAGTAATTCAAACGAATTTCTAATTCAATTGTCTAATTACTTTCCAATGGTATAAACTTTATAAATATACCATAAGTAATCCAGTCTTTATGTTCAATAAGATCATCTCAATTGAGCTCTCATGCCAAATTGTTTTCCAATGATATACATCTATATATACCATAAACACTTCTAGCAACTAGCTCCACGTTGATAATCATAGTCCTCTTGATGACGACCATCATTTGGCAAGCTTATTAAATCCCTTTAAGGATCAATTATAGCTTCATTTTCCTTGCCCTCATGGCATAGGAAACATCAAGTCCTAAACCACATACATAATAAACAAATTATTATGTCATCACAAGCATCTTAGGAATTAGAATTCCTTATCACTTATGGCTTACTCGTAATGCAAACCTACTCTTTCAAACTATGTCCAACATACTATGAACATTACATTTGCAACCATTCCGGCTTAGATAGACTTGATTCACAAGTCCCCACTAGCCTTGCACCATAGGTTTTACACACCTATGATTGTTCATATTCTCTCACTAGATAGTTTACTACTATCCAAACCACCGTTACTTAGAGTCCATGAAGGATTATCATAAGTACTTCCATCATCTCATGCATCACCTTGAATGAAGTCCAAATTAAATTGGTACAATTATCATTCATCCATGCCACATAATTGAGATGGACCAATGCAATAAAAGCATTAAAACTTTGTGGTTAATTTTTGGAACCAAACAAACTTGTAAGGTTTTATCCAACTAATTTTCCAGTTGGGAAAAAATGTCATTTACTTATCATTATGTAAATATATCATCATGGACCAACTCCATGTCTCGAGAATGCTTTCCGCCATATTGTATAGTTTCAATACAAGGCCACAACACAAACAACTTGATTACATAAATCAAAGTGTTGCAACTTTCAAGAACTTGGAATTGAAGTTTGTTACACAAATTCCAATATGAATACTTTCAAATTCAATAACATTGAATATTCACAAACTCTTCTCATCATATAAATTATGAGTTTGTTCTCATCTCAAATACCACACAAAGTATTTGATATCATTAACCCTACCAAATTTGGTTTACGATCACCAGATCAATTCTCAATCAAACTTGCCTTTTTCGGTCCATGTTATACCATAAACATGGAAACTACGCATGAGCAGCATTCCGAAAGCTATACTCCGGTTAAGGAGAGACAGTGATTAAACCAGTCCACATGCATTTTTTTTTCCGTCTAACAGATTGGCATCAATCACATATATACGCATTGATAGATTGCTTTCTCAAATCTGTAAATAAAAGAGAAAGAGATAGCATTTTACCAATTTTGATGACTGTCGAAAGCCCCTTCTTCCTCTCGGCGATCAACCAACAAGTATCAGTAATCACCAATTCTTTAATGGCTCATTTGCAAATGCATGAATGAAGAGCAGACATTGCCAGTGCACTTCCACCATCATTTGCATGACATTAAATATCATCTTTGCCATACTTCCTTTCTTCGTTTCCAAAAGCATAAACAGAACAAATATATATACAATCTATGTATATATGTATATATATCACAGATGTATATCAATTCTATGGCACATATATACATACTCTCAAGTTCATATTTAGGCATGTTATCTCACTAACCAATAGAATCGATCGGAATTGGTTGCATGGCAATTGAGTAAATGACTTGAAAACACAACCCTCTACAGATTCACTGAACACAAGCACAATCAAATTATGAACAAACCAATTTGTACTGCAATTTCCTCTTAACCTAATTAACCAGTATCGTGAGCAGCATGAAATGGCAATCAGAATCATAACCATTCCACGAAATCACACAATTTATCATTCAAATGCACGATAAGAACATGATCATGCAATTAGTGCTAGAAACATTTGGTTATGCCGGCATAAATAGTATACAAGAATAAATAGATTAAGATTCTTTAAGATTGTTGGGGAAATTGTTCACGTATACTATTTTCTTGCAACACAAGCAAACACATAAGATTAAGAAAACATGCAAAGACACATGCAAGCGTCCTAGCCGATAGAATTCACTATCTCTCCTTAAAGAATCTTATTCCCCTCAAGTACCCAAGGTTGTGGAATGATTCCTCCCAGGATAGAAAGGACGTACCTTTTCCGGCGTAGCGGTACCTCAAACCCCGGAAACACCATCGAACGCAGCGAAACGGCGAGAACCACACTTGACTCTATTTTCTCTTTGAAAAAGGAATGCAGAAAAACTAGTTTTGGATTTTGGCAGAGTTTCAGTATCGGGAAAAATCCATGTAAAACTCGTTGTTAAAACAAGAGGGAGTATGGTGCTATTTATAGAAAATGAAGGGATGCATTGAAAGGAGGCAACTCTTCATATGGGTGGTTACACCCCAACCATTGCATTGGTTCGTTTAAAATATTTCAACCATTGCATTGGTTCGGCCTCATGGAAGTTGGACCGGTTTGGTTATTCCAACCGCCACATCGGTTCGGTTCGAATTGGTTCAACTAGGTTTGGTTCATTTGGTTACACAAACCAATTTAACCAATTAACCACATATTACATCAAATCGATCGAATTCGAGGCCATGCCTTCTCACATCTTACCAACATGGTACTTCAAGAGATTCTCTTGAAACTTTTCCCTTTTATTTCTATTCACACCACTAAAAATCCCAACACTGAATGCGGTTCCGTCGTTCATCCTCGGGATCTATCGGAGTCTCATCGAAGAATTCGATTTTCTATTTCTCAGTGTTTAGAAGCGGATTCTTGCTCTTTCAGGCGAAGCGTGTTGCCGTTGGCTGCTTCGTTCCTTTCTGTTAAATACACTGACCGGAGACTAATTCTGTGCTTTATTTCTTGATTCTTGTGCGATTTCTTGGTTTCATTTCACTAATCTGAACGCGGTTCCGTTCGTTCATCCTCGAGATCTATCTGAATCTCATTGACAGAATTCGAAATTCTATTTCTACAATCATTTTAGGCGTTTAGAAGCGGATCAGTCCTGTTTAGGTTTCTTGCTCTTTCAGGCGTTCGCCGCTTCGTTCCTTTCCGTAGATCTTGCCTTAGCTGTCGGCGGACGCAGAGTTGCAGCAGCTGCTGCTAAGGAACCAACCGGAAGGTAAACAGACTCAGTTTTTTTTTTTTTTTGTTTCTGTGCCATTGGTTTAGTACTGAAAGCCATTTTACCTTTTGCAGGAAATGGGGGGTTCCGACCAAGCTGAAGAGAGCTAGGTGTGACTGGGCGATCAGCGGCAGGAAGCTGCAGAGTGCACGTTACGCCAAGGGTGGGCCGACGGGGAAGAAGAATTTCTCCGCCGGCATGTAGATGTAATTGGGCTTGGGCGGACTTGTTTCTCTTTGGGTTGGGTTTAGTATATACAAGGTGGAATGGGCCGTGAAAGTAAATAAGCCCAAAAAATGTAACCCAAACGAAACTAGACAGGAAGCCCGCCTGGGTAAATAACACAAGGAAATTGACTCTATGAATACACTCTGGTCCGTGAACAACAAAGGCAATATCAAAACTAACAACCTAAAACTTTTCGGAGCAAAGTGGTCATTCCCAAATACCTCATAGTTGAGTCTAACAAATGAAACTAACTTGGGTGAATAGAAACTGACTAGAGTCGTATGTCCCTAGGGTTTTTTTCAGTTGACAACTCAAGTATTGATTACTAGTGTTTCGAATCTCAAATTAATTATCTAACAATTACACACAAGATTAGCAAATTAACACAAAAGATATTTTCGTGGTTGTTTGAATTGATTTTTCGCTCGATGTTTCAACCCAAATAAACTTAATTTAGTTAACAAGTTTATAAATGAATTTCATCCCATCGTAATTTGTAATATTGAATTCATGCATTTTCGTGCCAATAATTCATTCAGCTTCCAATTATTAATCTAGGTTTTTCACGTCATATTAAATAATTGAAAGGGTATTTTATGACGAACCCATAATTTAACCGTAGTTCAATTATTAGTACAGTTAAATATCACCTATCAATTTGGCCTACAATATTTGATATCTTATACTTGAACTCATGGTACGGCACCGGCACGATTTCATGGACCAATGCATCGAAGTCACTACTTACTAACAACCATAATGAGATCCATAGCACTATCGGGAGGATCTTGCTTTGCAATTTCCACTCTCAATCGTGGGCCGGACGCATGGACCAAATTGTGGGGGCAAAAATGCTTCGGTTTGGGCCACTCAATGTGAAGCTTCTTCCTTGCTTGACTTTGGAGTCAACGCCACGCGGTTTCCACAGAAGCCGCGTTTCATTCATGTTTTGGGCCGAAACGTGTCGTCTAGACCAATTAATAACAGCAAAAGAGAAAATAAGAGAAAACCGTCCAAAGTCCACATCTACGTATTTTTGGGGCCAGCCATTGGAAGAAGAAGATGATCTACAAACGTCTATTCATCAGTCCCTCTGTGGTGGCTAGGGCTGTTAATGAACCAAGCCGCTCATGAACGGCTCGGTGTGCGACTCGAGAAAAACTCGTTCGACACTCGATTCGTTTTAATCGAGCCGGCTCGCGAACAAGCTCGTTAACTAAACGAGCCGAACTCGAGCCATATCATGTTCAGCTCGAAAGCTCGCGAACAAGCTCATTTAATATTTTGGCATAAAAAAGGATTAGTATTCGTAGATTTTATGTATTGAAATTGGGATAAATATTGTGTTTTACTTTTCTAGACTTTGTTACAGGTTTGAATGTAATTTTGTGCGCAGTTCTAGGTCAATCTTGAGCTATCACGAACATTTTATGAGCTGAACTCGAATTTGGGCTCGTTAAGCTTATTTGACGAACCGAGCTCGAGCCGAGCTCGAGCTTTCATTTTCATAAACGAGCCGAGCTCGAGCTTGCATATTAAAGCTCGTGACGTACACGAGCCGAGCTCGAGCCTGGAAATATATTAACGAGCCGAGCCCGAACTATGGCAAAGCTCGGCTCGACTCGGCTCATTAACAGCCCTAGTGGTGGCTAAGTCTGGTTCAATGTTCATGGCTTCTTCATTTAACACTCTAACCACATGACTGTTGGTGCGTCTTCGATGGCAATGATGAAAAAAACACACAAAGGAAAAGACAGCAGGAGGATATGATGGCAATGAGCAGCTTTCTGAGAGTGCTGGTCATGATTGTTTGCTTGGCCGCCAGTACTACTGCTATCTATGGCTACAACGATCTCCAAGCGTTACTGAAGCTCAAATCTACTGCGTTGTCACGGCGACCCCCCGGCTACTACAGCGGATTTGAAATTTGGGATCCCAATCGATATCCCATTGAGGGTCCTTCCACCGCGCATTGCTACTTCTCCGGCGTCACCTGCAACTCGGACTCACGAGTGGTGGCACTGGATATCAGGGGTCGGTATCTCGACGGTCCGATTCCGGGCGACATTGGGCTTCTAGCCCACCTGGTCAACCTAACCATTTCCAGTGCTGGGGTCACCGGTCCGCTCCCCGTTGAGATGGCAAACCTCACTTCGTTGAAGCTCTTGGACCTCTCCAACAATGAGCTGAACGGAAGTTTCCCGGCAGAGATCGCACGTGGAATGACCCAGCTCCAGGTCCTGGACATATCCGGCAACAAATTCACGGGTATGTCACGGGTAGCTGGGATTGCGGCAATGAAGAACCTAAGGCATCTAAATCTGCAGCGGAACCTATTATCTGGGGGAATATCTCCGGCGATCGGGAATTTGACCAAATTGGAGTCTCTGCTCCTCGACGGGAACCAATTGTCGGGCGAAATCCCCAATGAGTTATGCAATCTCAAATCCATCTCCATACTCAGAATTAGATACAATAGCATATCGGGAAGCATTCCTTCATGCATTTCCAAGTGTCATTCTCTCACAGTGCTTGATCTCAGCGGCAACCAGCTGAGCGGTCAGATTCCTGAGCTGGTGTCTGAGTCAGGAAATGGCACTAATGGTGCAATTTCAGAACGGTTGTGCAAGTTTAGCAAGCTTAAATTCCTCTGCCTTCAGGGCAACCAGCTGTCGGGTCAGATCCCTGCCCAACTCTTTTGTTTGAGTAGCCTACTCAAAGTCGATCTGTCCGACAACAAACTGAGTGGAGCGTTACCAGCAACAAGTTTCTGGAACTTGGCTGGCCTTGTGGAACTCGATTTGTCACGAAACAGCCTCTTTGGTCCCATACCGGAGTCCATTGGAGGGCTTCCCAATCTTGAGGTACTGCAGTTGCCGGGAAACAACTTGTCGGAGCTGCCGAAGAATCTTGGTCGGACGCTTAAACTGGTAAATGTCTCGTCAAATCATCTCATGGGATCCATCCCTCGGGATTTATGCAAGGGAGTGCTGCAGACTTTGATTCTCGACAACAATTATCTCACTGGACCGCTCCCGCAAGAACTTGGCCACTGCAAGTCACTGACCACCATCCAAGTCTCCAATAACCTCATCTCTGGTCACCTTCCTCCAATGTGGACAGGTGCACTCATGTTCCTTGAACTTTCTAACAATCGGATTACTGGCAGAATTCCTCGAGATTTATGCAATGGAGAATTGCTTCAGACTTTGATTCTCGCCAACAATTATCTCACCGGACCGATCCCGCAGGAACTTGGCCGCTGCAAGTCGCTGACCATCATCCAAGTCTCTTATAACCTCCTCAATGGAACCATTCCTGCTGGCATCTTTCAGCTGCCATCAGCGAACTTGATTAAGCTGGACAACAACCTCTTCTCCGGCCAACTTCCATCCTTCATGTGGACAGGTGAATTCTCCCGCCTTGTTCTTTCCAACAATCGGATTACTGGCAGAATTCCTCCGACTATTGGGAATCTGACCAAATTAGACTCCCTATTCCTCGACGGGAACGAGTTTTCCCATAAAATCCCTGATGAGTTTTGCAATCTCCGATTCATCTCCATGGTCAATATTAGCTCCAATAAGATTACAGGCAACATTCCGTCATGCCTTGCCAAGTTTTATTATCTTACTGTTCTTGATCTCAGTCGAAACCAATTGTGCGGACACATACCATGCAGCTTGGTGAATGGTACCCGAGCCCTCAGAACTCTGGATCTTTCTCACAATAAATTGTCAGGTAGAGTCCCGAAGCGATCACCATTTTTCCATTCATCATTTTCTGGCAACCCGAAGTTGCTCGCCTCCTCAAAAGCTGACTGCTCATCCAAGGGTTACTCGACGATAGTAATCATAGGAGGCATAGGCTTAGGGTTACTGATCTGGTCAACTTTAGTGATCTTGGTTATGAAGATGCGGAAGCAAAGGGCTGTCGATGAATCAATTAAGCCATGGACCCTCACAAATTTCCAGAAACTTCCGGAGGATCTCAAACAGGAGCACATCCTGGATTGTCTACTAGAAGAGAACATAATTGGAAAGGGCGGAGCGGGTGTCGTCTACCTTGGTTCAATCCCAGGAGGTGTTAAGGTGGCCATTAAGCAACCAATTAAGCGCAACAGCCAAAGGGATGGCAGTTTTGCAGCAGAGGTCAGAACTCTAGGGCAGATCCGTCACAAGCACATCGTTAAACTCTTGGGCTGCGTTTCAAATTCAGACCGTTCCACAACGTTGCTTCTGTATGAGTACATGCCCAACGGGAGCCTGGCAGAGGCGTTGCACGGCCCCAATGGCGGGAGCTTGAGTTGGGAGATGCGGTACAAGATTGCAGTGGAAGCAGCCATGGGACTGTCATATCTTCATCACGATTGCTCGCCTCCTATCATCCATAGAGATATCAAGCCACACAACATCCTGCTCGATTCCGTTTTAGAAGCTCACATAGCGGACTTCGGACTCTCCAAGCTCTGGCATCACAGTCGACCTCTTCCTCCTGAATCGTCGTACCACATGTCGGTCGTCGCTGGCACCTTCGGTTACCTGGCGCCTGAGTACGCTTACACGCTCAAGGTGGACGAGAAGATCGATGTTTACAGCTACGGTGTGGTGATGCTGGAGCTGATATCCGGGAGAAAGGCGGTTGGAGGGTTCGATGAAGGCATGAACATAGTGATGTGGGTCAGGGAATTGGCGTCCAAGTTCGTTGGGAAGACGAACGCTGATGTTGCTGAATTGGTCGTGCTGGAGATTCTGGATCCGAGGCTTGCTGAGCAGCCCCGGTTAGCTAGCACGACTCACATGCTCAAGATTGCCATGATGTGCGTCGACACGAGGAGCTCTGCTAGACCCACAATGAGGGAAGTCCTCCATCTCCTCACCAATCATCAAACATGGAACATGATTATCAGTCCTGATCATGAGACCTAGAGCGAAGAGGTTTGAAAGTTTTAAGTCTCTGTTGCTGAGCACTCTCTGGTTGTAATAAGTAGCTTTTGCTCTAGGAATTTCACCTCTGTTATGTTCATGTTCTGTGGACTGGGAATGTGTTTTCTTTTGCTGTGGAGAACTTGATGATGATATCAGGAGAATGATGAATCTGCAGCACTTTTGTAATGTTGGTAAGCTAAGAACAAGAACAATTATAATAAAGAAACGCGGGAAGTAAATAATAGTTTTTATGTTAACCGACTGCAAAAAGGATTTGAGTCTTATTACCGTTTGATTCTGGGTTTCCACTTCCGTAATGGAAAAGGAAAGCCTTTTTCCTAGCAGACTTCGGAAAAACCTCTTTCCCTTTATAAAGGTTCACAATTCTCACCCAAGGAGAACCATCCGACACCAATAGACTTGCGAATAGCGTAGCGAATACTGATTTCTGGAAACCAAAGATGTCCCGCGCGCCGTCTCTCAAGAAAAGGAGAAGAACCCTAAAGAAGAAAGCAGAGGAGCTCTCCACCCTCTGCGGCATCGACGTCGCCTACGTCTGCTTCGATCCCAACGGCAGGGTCGACACCTGGCCGGAAGACCCAAACAGGGTCAAGGACATCGTCCTCAGATACGGAGAGGTCAAATCGAACGAGAAACCATCCGCCGCCGGCGGCTCCTCTGCTTCGTCCTCCGACGGCGGCGGCAGCGGCAGCAGCAGAGGCGAGATCCAGGGAGCGGCGGAGACTGTTGGGGAACCGAAGCTGGATGGGCTGTCGGAGGAGGAATTGCTGGGTGGGCTTAGACTGGTGGAAGAGAAGCTGGAGAAGGTGAGGAGGAGAATTGGGGTTCTCGAAGGCGACGGGGAGAGCCGGAAGAAAAGAAGGCGGCGGAATTGCGACCTACCGACGCTGAATTTGATCGATTTGGTGGGTTTGCCGCCGCGGCCGGCGAATTCCGAGGCGGAGAATCGCTGTTCAAGCAGTAGCGGGGCTAGTTCTTCTTCTCCAAGCCGTGGTTCGTCGATGGTTACTGGAACCCCTCCTCCTGAGCGAAGCAATTCTGCAACCTCCGACCCCAAATCGGAATGGGGCACGCTGATTTCGCTGTAAAAACCCTATTTTTCTTTTTTTCCCCAATTGGATGTGAAGAATCAGTAGTAACAACATCAGAAAAGGGTGATTTTGTTGTAACCCTTTCTCTCCTTTTAGCACTCTGTAATTCGAATTTTGATGAAGTAAATTCTCGAGCTCTGATATTTCACTATATTACTACGCTTGGAAATTTGGGAATCTAGGGTTTGGGGACGATGATTCTGGAACAGAGGTTGACTTTTGACTCGTATCCTGATAAATTGATAATCCACTAGAGATTGGGCTACAAGTCCTTTGTTGGGCTCTTGTTCCTGTCTTCTTCAGCACACGCGAGAAGCCCAATTTCGATGACTCAAGCAAGAATGATGACGGCGGCCCCACAATGCCAGCCCAAAAAGGCCCAGGAACTCAGTTTTCCTTTTTTAGAACCGTAACGGGCTGGACTTTTATCCAATACGTATATAGTTCATACTCTGCAGTAACGGCAGGGCCCATAGAGTGAGCGACTGTTGCCACCGGCCCAACAGAGCAAAAAGAAGGGTTATTGGATATTTGGATTTTATGCCCTCTATTATCTAAATTTTCTGTGACTTTTTATGATTTTTTTACTATTAAAAGGTATCAAATGTACCCTCCATCCAATTTCCTGCCAGTCCATCATTATATATGAGCTGACTTGATCACTTCAATTTGTCATAACTCATAACTCATAACATATAGGTAATCATGAATTAAGGAAAATAAGCGACACACTTATTATTTATATAGCTTACTAACATGTTGTGTGCTAGCTACGTTCACGAAAATGGAAGAACAAATTTACAATGTTGTGGAGTGGAGAGTAGTACATAGATTACAAACACAAAGTTCAACATTGATCAAGTACCCACCAGTAATTAACAAAAGGCATTAACAAAAGACATGCAGTGCTAATGATGCTAGTTAGTAGCTACATAGGAAGTGGGGAGTGGAATTAAAGTACTGTTTTCTGCATGTTCTCATCTTCAAAAAGTCGAGTAGTTATAGGAAAAAGATGCTGATTAATTAAGCTACCGAAATTAAAGTACTGCATGTTTTCTCTCTTTACAAGTTGCAGCACGACGCAGCAAATTCTGGAGATGATTCTTTTATGCTGATCGCTGGTACTTTCGTACTTGTGGGTGTTGGAGTGGACTAGGGTTCAAAAATGGTATATTTTCGCTCATCGATCTTCATTCAATATTATATCAAACTCAGATTTTCCGACGGTTCAAGCTATTCGACTACTTCTCTTATGGTGCCACGTGAGTGTGTCACAAACCAGTTGGTGGCAATAACTCGAGTTCTTATACCATTGTCTAATACGCCCCCTCAAACGAAAGCCAACACACGGGCTTGAAGTTTGCAAGCCGGCCCACCATACCTTGTGCTTTTTTTAATCAACTGTTAATATTCGGGGGTCGTGGAGAATCGAACACACAGTCATTTGGCCAAACCAGCTCTGATACCATGTCACAAACCATAAAGGTTATGGTGGATCTTATACCACTCTCTAACAGTGAGGATTTCAGGCATCCGGGGATCATAAAAACCAACTTGTTCAAACAACTCGAGTTGAGTTGTGAGTACTTGAAGAACACGTGAGATAAAAAAAACAAATTAAACCAGCTCTGATACCATATCATAAAACAATCGGTCCTCCCAATAGCTGCACGGTAAGATTGTTAACCACTTCCCTTGCTTACAGTTCTAACAAACCGAAGTTAAGTACGAGTTAACAGCCAAGTTTTATGCTTTCTCGAGGAACAAATTAAAACATGCACTGGGATCTGCAGAAAGCTAAGGCAAAATGCTCTACAGCTTTTGACGATGTGGCGTGCAGTAGTGCATGCACCAAGTTGAGAACTGTCTGCTCGAAGACAGTGCTTATAATGGTAAAAAGCTTCTCAGTCAAGCCCTCGATCCATCTAACATGTTGTATTATGTTTATATATATATATATATATATATTCTCCTGACAGAGAACAGAACCTTATTAATTAATTAGTGTTGTTAATTAACAGCAGGCTGGAATAATAATCTACCAGATCAGAAAAAGATCGTAGCCAGAAAGAATACCATTCCTCAAACTAATTACGACCTCTAATGTATAATTGTATAATTAACAATATATAGCAAAGACAGAACTGAATGAATCTGTCCGCCACCTGCGACATTAAATTATTCAAACAAATAACATGCGAGAAGGAAAAGTGTGCTGACAAACAAACAAATGTGGAGATGGAGAAGTGGAAAACCATTAATGGTAAGAAAAGAAACACAAATAAAATGGAGGAGAACTGGAAAAAGGTACTGTGCAAAAAGAAACCCTGGAAACCACAATTAAAAAATATCTTACCTAATTATCTTTGAATCGTACCTAAGCAATAACATATAGCTCATCTGTTCATACTATCCTACAGTACCAATATTAATGTTAATCGTCATTAGTAGGATTTCTGACTTGTTTACAACTAAATAAATATAATCAGTAGGTTTTCTACCCAACAAAAAAAAATTCCTAAATTATCACGCTTCTCAAGTACTCAATACTTGAAGAAACCCATTGAAACACCAGTTTGGTGTCACTCTCTTATTGTTGATATTATTCTTTCTAGGGTAATCAACTACTGGCCTCAAAGTTTTGGTGCTTTTGAGGTATAAAATGATCGACTTGTACGAAAACGTTAAAGGTACAAGTTCAGTTGGTATCATAATGAAATTTGTACGAAAATGTATAGGTACAAACTAAACTTGTGACAAGCCTAAATTGAAACTAGAAGGTATAAAATATATATAATTATATGTAAAAATCAATTTATGAAATCAAATAGTACGTAAGTTTTTAACTCTCTCTTCAATAATTTTCATTTTTCAAATTAAATCAGTTCCCGATTCAAGATTTTATATATAGCTCTACCATAAGTTAAACCAGCAAATGAAATAAGTAAACGCCATTAAAACACAGAAATGGGAAGAGAAGTGAGATTATTGTCATGCTGATAATAATACCAACTCAAAGAACAAATTAAAGCAGAACTTGGAGTAGAAGGAAGAAGAAAAAAAGATCATTTCGTTATGTTACATATAAGAAAACAACCCCTGCAAAAAAAAAAAAAAACTCCGGGAAACAAAATCACTAAGAACTCGCATAGGCTTCGCAAAAAATGGTGGGGGGGGGGGGGGGGAAAGAACAAAAGAAAGGGAGCAAAACAAAGAAAGATAACTCGATCGTAGTCTTCACTCTAGGGCATGCAGCCGGGCGGGCCGGGTCGGGTCATGGAGCAGTAGGCGGGCTGTCATGGCCCACTCCAGGGCTATGGCCGCGCGCCGTGGGCCTGTAAGCATCTCCATCCGTTGCACTGTAACGGTAAGCCAGACCAACGGCGGCGGGCGGCGGCGGCCTGCGGGCCAGCTTCCAGCGGTCGGTACTCAAGCCCTGATCCGCCGGCGGGAGAGGCGGTGGCCGTTGGTGCTGTTTATTGTGGTGTAGCGGCGGCCTCACCGCAGCACTCGTTGAGATTGTTAAGAGAAGGATGAGAAGAAGAGTTGTGGCTAAGCAATATGGCGACCTTAGGAACGAGCTATTGGCTTGGTGAAGGTGATGATCAATCCCCATCATAGGGTTTTGAGAGAGTAGAAGATGTGTAGGTAAGTAGCTAGCAGAGTAGTGAACTTGGTTGAGGTTTCTTCATGGTGAGATGCATCTAACTATATATATATATATATACAAAACGGGGGCAAGAAATAACTAGTGGTATACCGGTAACTCGAGTTGTCGGAAAAAGATTCAATTATGTAATCTGATATCATCTCTCTCAAACGGAAGAAAAAAAATAACTTATACGAGTTTGAAGTCTGCAACAGGTATGAATTACCAAGATGGGCAGTTGCCGCGCGAGATTCGAACAGTACTACAAAAGGCGCTCTGATATACCACGTTCGAAAAAATCAATTGGTAATGTCCCTGTAACACGATGTTAAAAACGGATCGGGATAATCGACAATGTCGAGAAAGTAAAAGAACACACATACGTTTACGTGGTTCACTAACATACACAATGTGTGTTACTCAGTCTACGGACACGCATGAGATAGAGGGTCGGTTTCACTATACTTGATGAGATAGTTATTACCAGAGGGATTGTGAGACGACCCCGTAATTTTCAGAATCGACGACAGATAACTCGATTCAGATTATACCAACACTTAAGTTATTGGAAGAGATTCGATCATGTGTCTGGACTCTGGTCACTCAAATCATATATATTTAGGGGTGGGTTTATAAAACTAGTGGTAGTGAGAGGTGGTTTTGAATGGACCCACACGTGGAATTTTGGCGGCACATCGATCGTATTAGTGTTTAGTTTATCGTAGGGTTTTGAGATGCATGCAGAAAGGGTAAGTGAAAGAGAATAACTTCCTGAAATGGCATGTTTAACAATTGTCGACATTTTTTCCAAATCGAAACTAAAGCAAAGCAGCAGCAGCACCAAAAGCACAAAAATCTCCACCACTCACGCCCAACCTCACAAGCTAATGCAGCTGCTCAAATTGGTAGTTTTCTAATCCGGTCCTTTTGCAAAAGGAGCCGCGACAGAGATCTCGACAAGACAGCACCAATGGGAATCTGCTTAGAGATCTCCTATACGCTCATTTCTTGACTGAGATATGAGTCATCAATGACACATGCATATATGTGCATTGCTTAGGGTTAGTTAACCATCCAATGTTAGTAAATTATATTTAAGATTTATAATTGAACATCTCACAACGACTCGAATTATTGAGACTGATTGGTTTTTGACAATGATATCAGAGTTAGCTTTGAATGAGAGGATTTTTGTGTTCGGACCCTGATGATCACCCCATTGGTAAGCACATGGTGTCAGTCTGAAGTCTCTGCATACTTCAAACTCATATGAGTAGAATTTTATTTGAGAGGGTGTATGTTGATAAATTGTATAAAATTCATAATTGAAAGTCTGTTAAGTCTCAAGTCTATGAATAAGCTTTCGTCTGAAGGGTGTGTTAGTATAAATTGCGTAAGTTTCATAATTCCTCCACCTCATATACCAAAGTCAAATTTAGTGTAATTCTCTATCATACAAGACCCTAGTATACACTTTCTTGTGTTCTTTATTTCTCACTCATCACTTTCCTTGGCAACTTTTGTCTACTTTAAGGAAATCATAGCCTTCATTTCCTAGCTAGTAGCCAATACATACTCTTAGTTTAGGCCAAGTTGTCAAAACCCTCATGGAAATTCTTACTTGCTTCCATGTGACTTGAGATTCTACTAAACTTTATTTTCTCATTTGATGGACATCGTGAGTTAATTATGGTTCGAGTTGCGGTGGACTTTCTGGTTTTTTTTTTTTTCCTTCCTGTTTCAGTGTAATTGTAGTGATAGATATATCTACGATAGAGTAACATCACCTCGATCATCTAATGTGTAAGACCAATTTGTATTATATTCCTTCTCTTCTAGATTCTTTACTTCCTTCTCCTTTTCCTAACTTAAAACTCCGGAACCCTATGGATACAACCCGCTAGTGCTGAATTACACATGATCGTCAACCTAACTTACTCTCTTTTTTTTTTTCGCTCGCTTACTTTTACTCCGTATTTTTTAGAAGAGAAGAAGTGAAACAAATATGGATTTTGAATGAGGGTTCTTTCTCATCTCTTCATAAACCCATATGGTGGAAGGAAACACCAAAAAAATAAAAATAAATAGGGTTAATCAAGACCCACTAAATATCAGAAACATGTATCTTCTTGTTCTTTAGTTTAATTGCACTTTACAACGAGGCGCATTATCAGATTCTTTAGCCATTGAAAAATATTTTGTACCCTCACAATGCAATTAGGTCCACTGGTTTTCTTTGTGAAATGTTTCTGTTTCTGTCTCGAGCCAATGGAGAAGGATCAATGTTTACCAAAGAGAGGAAGATTATATGTAATTATTCTCAATATTATCTAAATTAATTGTTGGAATGGTGCTACGACACATACATGATTCAGGGCTAAATATATATTGTGTGCTACTTCCAAGTTTAATCGATTCTTTTTTTTTTTTTTTGATAAGGGTGAAAAATTATATTGCTATGAAAAGAAAGGTGTCTCAAGGATACAAACGAAAGGAGGCTCAAAAGGGTTGAACCAGCCAATCGGAGCGAAGGAAAAAGAAAAAAAAAAAAAAAAGGAAGAAAAAAATATGCAGCGAGTTTAATCGATTCTTAGCATAGAAGCATTTTCCATACTTGTCCTCCTTTAATTTGCAGAATATATATGTTTGGTAACCACTGGCGTACTTCCTCGAGTGTACTATACTCTAAGTGATCTTTTTGTTTGAGGTAGTTTGTTGTACTTTAACGAATCATAATCGTCAATTTTTTTTTTATAAACTAGATCTTCGGATTTGGATTTAGACAATCGGGACATGGTTTTAATTCTCGATCTAGTTAGATGTATCTCATTGCAAATACATGAAGTATAGCATACTACAATAGTGCACCAATATGCCTCGTATTTGTCTCTTTATTTGTAATTTTATCATGGCAGTGTGATTATCGACTCTTTTGGTTCTTGTAGTTTGGTTTACACGGCTTGTGCAAATATACTCTTTTTATATAGCTCTAACCTATCTTTATTTAAAGTAAAATTGACAAATAATTAAATTGGATTTAGGAATTAGTGAATTGGATTAAATGGTTTTGTGGGTCGATAGATTGGGATCAAAATGGTTGTTTTTTTTTTAATCTTTTAGCCCATCAAATATTAAACATGCACTTCTAATTTTAATTGGGTCAAAGACTCAAAGAGAATCGAATACCTTATAGCTTCCTTGTTATGTTTTACCACATCCAATATTGAACATGCACTTTTTCCTTTGGAATATTGGTTCTTAAAATCCAATAATACAATAATCGTTTCTTATATAATTGATGGCTTCAATGTTCAAACCATGGAATTGAAGTGATTGATATTATCATCATGATGTAATCACTAAATTCCCCCAACTAATTGCAATGATCTGGTATGTAATTAATTACACGAGCACAAAAGACCGCAATGACTAGTTTCTCGGTGCTTTCGGACAGCAAAATTTAATAAATCACGTGTTAAAGTATACAATCGCAACCTATCCAGTGATATATAGAACAAATGGACACAGATATCATAATCTCATCACATACATAATAAGAAATTTACACCTAATTCTATCAAAATTAGCAGAGTCTCATTGCACTTGAGATTGTTTATTCCATGACAAGTAAGATGGATCTCCAAGTTGCCTGCAACCATGTGATATATCAATCCCAAACACACAACTCTTAATATCACCACAAATTTTCAAAACTAACATTAACAAGAACTTAAGGAAAAGACAAGATCAAGAGCCATTTTAATGCCTTTTTTACCTTGGTCTAAGCACATAGATGAGGATGAAGGAGATTGCCAAGAACAAGCACAAGCCACCAATGGTCAAGTATGCAATCCCAATGAACTCGTTCTTCCCACCAATCCAACTCGTCGTCGACAGCACGAGCCACTTCTTCCCTCCAAAGCTGTATGTGTTGTAGTTATTCTCCACCACGACTTCGAGGTTATCGTTCACTCCAAGGTCGCCCTCGATTCTCCCATACAGTTTCCTGAATGTTGGCAGCGCCGCAGTTCTCATCCATACAATCAAATCTTCCTGTTCACTCAGCTGCATTATGCAGAATCATGTCAAAATTACAATCATGGTCACGAATAAGAAGGCTAGAAAAGTGATACAAGGGAACATAACTGAATCCTTATGCGATAAGGATTACAAAGTTTGTAGCACCATGAGTGATGAACAGAAGAGGGCTTACTTACAGGTTTGCTCGTTTCTAAATTCGCACCGCCAATCAGACCGCCGCTCTGGAAATTCTGAGGGTACACATCGGACCCGAACTTATGGTTTCTGTCACTCTCCCAGGCGATGTTCTTCTTGCTCACATCCACCGCCTTGTTCTGCACCGCAAACTTGTATGTGTCGTTGAACAGGCTCCAAGCGACGAGGCCACAGGGCACGATCGGGCCCTCGTCGGTGTTGGCCTCAGGGGAGCAACTGCCGGTGTCATCGGCGTCTGCTTTGTACTTCAACTGCTTGTCGCTGCGACTTTTCACATACCGGCGGTGGTTCTGGTAGAAATTGTCGAGCTGGTAGTATATGAAGATCGGACCCTTCATTTCCTTGGAGACCTGACCACCCGTAAATTAATTTCCCAAAGATGCAATCTTTACGAAATGGGTTTTAGTTTGGTGTGAAATTTACAGAGAAACAGAGATGGACTAACGGTTAATTTCCCTGCACAGGTTTTGTTGCTGTTTTTGCTCTGTATGTGCTGTACGGCATTGGAACTCCCCTGGAGGCAGAGGTCGTCGTACCGATGTACAATCTCCACCACCTGCTTATCAATGGCGATAAAAGGTTAGCCTGTGAGGGGAAATGTAGATGAAGATGGAGGGTTTGAGCAGAAGTTGTTACATTGTCTGATGCAAACAGGGAAGCAAGGCCAAGTGGGATGAACACAATTGCAATTGCGACAAACGTCGTGATTACCTGCCAAAGATTTGTAATTAGGCAGAAAGTGCTTGAAAGGAAAAAAAGGGTTTTGCTAAGAGGTGGGAAAATTATCGATCTCATACCACAGCCGGCGTTACAATGAATTTGCAGGCGGGGAGTTCTTGCTGTGAGAATCTGGAATCTACAACAGAAAATTCAGAACTCTGTTCATCTCTTACAAAAGACAAATTAGATAGTTCATCTCAACTAATTTAAAACGATATGAGAATCGGATTATCATCGAAGCACATGTCGATCATATCGGCTTGTCTTTGTAAAGCTTTCCTTTTCAGAGGCCACAATGCAGAAACAGGAACAGAGCAAAAGGAAAACAGGGCAAGAAGATGAATTGACAAAGAGAAAAAGAATATACATTTGGGTCTTTTAGATTGTTTTTTAGTGGTGGAAGAGGAGGAGGAGGATGTGCTTGCACCGCCGACGGATCCATGCCGACCATGCGTCTCTTTGCCTTCCATCTCCACAACTACAACGCCTTCCAGCCTGATCGATCCTCTGTGCAATTGCAATGGGAAAGAACACAATGCTGCAATGTTCCTACGGAGCCAAAAAGAATGAAGAAGAAAAGATAAAAGCTCATTCTTCAAGTACAGCATTCGACGAGAGAATTGGGATGAAACATCTCATATATGAAATTGTTGAAGGTAGAAAATTACCGAATCGAATTGATGGAATGAAAAGATCACAAATCGGTAGCTAGTGAAAACTTGTTATTGATTTCGTGGATCAATTGCCAAAATCTTTCGGATGAAAAACTGCAATTGATTGTTCGAATATTATTATGTTAATGCATCATGCTTTGTTTCCGATTAATCGCTTTTTTCGTTATCATCTTCCAAGCTAAACAAGCCTTTTTAACCTAACTGCAACATTACAAGGTAATTGAGCCCAAATGTCACATCTATTTTTCCAAACAATCCATTATTTGATTATTGGAGTTACTAAGGTGACCAATCTGACAATATCATGAGTGAATGGAAATTTTTACAATCTAGGATTAAATTTTCATTTCATTTCATTATAAAATAAAATTAATATTACAAATCATTATTTAAAGTCAGCTTTTTTTTTCCTTGTAGGTAAATATTGGTCTAAGATCCGAGCCCAAAATGGTAGAATATGTTACCATCCCAACATTTTTTTTTTATGAAAATTACCATCCCAACATTACTACCAGCTCAACCTTTTGGAGTTCAAATTTTCAGTTCTATTCGACACTAACCCCCTTTACTATCACATATAGATGCACAAAATCATTCTTCCACCAAAATTAAGAAATGGTTGAGTTGCGAATAGTGGATAAGGTAGGACTGAATAGATAGAGAAGATAGGAGAGCATTACATTTGTAATCCATGTCCATAATACATTCCTGAGATCTACATATATACATCCATGACTTACATCCCTTTTAAGCCCTCTGTTATGGGTTCATTAGGCAAGGAAATGACCTGATTTCGAGTCGCTAAGCTTGGATAACAAGAAAAGGGAACCAGAACATAGAAGCACCGAAGCTGCAAAGCATAGCAGATCTAGAGGGGAGTGTATAGCAGCCGTCTTACTCTTCTCGAAAAAACCAATCAGAAGGAGCATCACTATCACGTGGCCGAGCTTGGTTTTCAGCTCGTTCACAGTCTTCACCTCTAACCATTTAGGCCGCTCCTGCAAGGAAAAGAGAAGTGATGGCGTTCAGATTATGCAGCATTCCATCATCATCTATATAAGTTCCCGGTTCTGACAAACATTTGACGATCTAGATTGATTACCTTCAAGGTGAACATGCCAAACAGATTAGATCGATCTACCATTGTTTCTCCTGGTGACGTCTTTGAAGGGCTGAGGTTGCTAATAAAGAGCTCATAAAGACCCATTCCAAAAACTAGCATCACCGTTCCCAAGAGATAGACATCTGTTTACAATCATACGAAATCAGAGTTGTTGAGCACTGTGGCATTGAGTGTATTTTTACATTTTCTCAAAATATGATCACACCAACAGATAACAACTTCACTTGGAAAGGACAGAAAGCAACTTGAGGTAGGATGAAAGTCAAATGACTAAGATCCAATCCGGATGCTAAAGACAGTTATGTTACTACTGCTTGGCTGCAATCTCTCTTCTAATCAACAAGATTACCAAGAGACAAGACAATCAAATGACAGTAACAACATGGCACAGCAGATAAAGTACAAGATTCTTTTTTATTTAGGGAGTCTAGAACTGGTATTCAGTAAATGGCCACTAAGGAAAAGACTAAAATTCGCGATAGGAACACTTAAAAGCGCTAGTTTGGGAAAGGTGAAGAAGGATAATATGGACAAAGAAACAAAAAAGCAAATACATATCCAGCAACACAGCCTGCTGAACGAGCAAACTCCTTCTCTCGAGCAGCCTAGGTAAACCAGCCAGGCCATGCTCAAAGCAATGGGAACTTACTGAGTCTAATTGATCTTTCACATTCACTATCTTGAATAACATGCAGAAAGGGCAAGGGTGCAACGAGATAGGAAAGGAGGCCAACTTTAGTTCTGGAGCATGGCACCAACCACAAAAGCTTAGAGGAAGCACAAAATCTCGCCAACATAAGCAGAACCTCTTAGTTCGATAATCAATCCATCCATCAAGTAAACAGTATGACATCACCAAATAATCATTGATCATGACCAGATTGTCAAAGGTACTAGTTGGTACTAGTAATCCTTAATCACACACTAGATTTAGAAATGGAATGGAAACTGAAAACACAGCTAGCATGAAAAACAGAACAGAAGAGAAGATGCTGTAGGAAATTACAATCACAATCATAGAGGTTGAAAATCCTACTGAATATGATAGTGTGAACCAATGCACTCTTTCAATTTAAGCATATCCTCCAGCTAAACATGACCAGATTCTAAGAGGTAATTTCTCTACGCAGGAGGCCCTCAGAAAAAGGAAACAAATTCAGCTATAGCAAGAGAACTCACCTATGGCCTCTACCAGAAATATGATCACTTTTCCACGGGTGGCGTAATACTGCATAAACGACGTTCCAACATATACGCAACCCTGCATATTGAAGCAACCCTTCTTAGTAACTGTTAAGTTACTGCAACCAAACTTCCTTTCCCAACTTAGCAAGCTAACTGCAGAATCTATACTAGTTTCAGGTTACCACTAGGATTCTACCAAACTCAAGGGTTTCAACTGAATATGCAGGCCGTATTAATGAATTGAAAATGAACCCACAATCACCATTCATTCTTGCTCTCGAGATATCAGCAGAATTTCACAACTTGACCAAAGTTACAACAGATATCACAACTCAAAAGAGCTCTTAAACCAGGATCTGAGATACTGATTTACCTTGATGAAGCATAAGAATGATCCAATCAAGGAACCGAAGACAGCAAGAATCGCCAGAAACCGGCATCGATAAACGACCTGCGCCAACATTCAATCAAAATCAGAGAGGAGAAAAGGAAACAGAACCCAGAGGATTGAATCTACTTAATAGATATACAAACAAGTATACCTTCTCAATATTTTCCTCCAAGATCTCCAGCTCCCCCTTTCCCTTCTTCGTCTTGGACGCGATCACGCGATTTTTCCCGGAAGGCGCTGCCGTCGTGGCTTCTGCAGCCACAGGGACGTCAGCGTTGACGCATCTGGCGGTGCGGAGCGGAGAACGGCGACTGTAATGGCGGCAATCAGAGCGAAACCCCCAGAAATTGGAGACGCTGCGTGTTAGGACAGAGGGAACTGTGGCGACGGAGAAGGAGCTCAACGGGCGGGATAGAGATGGGGATTGGTTCATGGTGGATGGAAACTAGAAAGAACTGGCAGCATCGATGGAGACGATGCAGCAGTGAAATTGGAAAAGCAGCGGAGCGGAGACGACGGCGGCGGCGGGAGAGCGGGAAAAAATCATCGACTACTGACAACGGGAGCCACAAGTTTCGGTTATGGGCTATGGATGAGAGGCCCGGGTTGACTCATCCGCGATCCAGTAACTCGGGAAGGCCCACTGACCATGGTTGTTGTCACTCCTACACAAGCCCACGTAAGTGAGTGAGGAGAGAAATTTTCGTGGAGGATATTTTTTCCATTTTGAAATGACATTTGATATTCAAGTTTGTGTTCTTTGCAATAGGGGGTGTGTAACGGATCGAATCTATATTTGAATTGGATCTAACCGGATCTAGGGTTGAAAGTCTGACCCGACCCGAGTAGTGCAACCCTGAGGGTGATTAGAACATAACAATCAACTCATAATGAACTTTTAACATAAATATATATATATAACTAAATACTAATATAATTATCTTACAATAATTAAAAGTATCCCCTAGCAAAAATACATACAAATGTTGTTGGGGTTAGTGAACTGGTTCGGGTTGTGTCCGTGTGAATTATTTTGGACTCTTAGCCAGAAGCTAAAAAATCTCTTCACTTTCATACAACATAGTATATTATCTTTATCTAAATTACGAGCTCATATATTGTTGCACATACTTTATTATAAGCACAAATTTAGTATAAGAATAATTATATCTTTTGTGGATAACGGGAGGAACACTTGACCCTTGAGTAGTTATGCAAAGTGATTATGTATGTGTTATATAACACATTAGAGATTGAGAATTTTACCATGCTTTAAAGCATTGGTGCTTTAGTTTTTGCCCTTTATGGTACAACCTGAAGGTCTACATTTAATGTTATGGTACAACCTGGATTTTTACATATATATATATATTTTTTTTAAATCCCTTTGTGTACAAACTAAAGTTGTATTATGTTATGACACAACTTCAATTTATACCTTTAACGTTATGGTACAAAATTCAAGTTGTACTTTAGAGCATCAATGCTTTAGAGCAGTAGTAGAAATGTTCATCAGATATATGGCTAATTTCCTAATCGGTTAAATGCTCGGAAAGGCGAAAACAAACCAAACCAGCTAGAACATTTAACCAAACCAAACCAATTGTCCAGATTAACCAAATCAAATCATCATAATACTATCGGTTAAAATGATTACTACGAACCAAACCCGTTTGAATATACTCGAAGCCAAAGCCAACGTTGCATATACAACAACGTGAAAATTGACCAGCTACCTAGTGACAGTGTGGGTGGACGAAATTGGAACACATCTTACACTTCCCATGATTATTAATGATTCCTACTGTGGTCGTTGTCTATAATTAAGCTGGATCGTGTCCTCGTGGAGCTTTTTTTTTTTACGAATGAATACATTACATATATAGCGATACAAGTCAAAGAAAGTACGAGAGCGATTTATTGAATGGAACAATAAATATATGAACTACTTCGACGGCGAGTTTATAATTTATATCCATTGAATAAAGGGTAAATGCCACATTTGGTCACTGAGATTACTGAATCGTGTTATGTTTAGTCACTCAAAAAATTTATTATCAATTTTGGTCACTTGAATTATCGAAACAGGTCACATTTAGTCACTCTCCCGCCAGTTTCCGTCCAAATTCATTAATGGAGTTGGACGGAAACTAATGGGAGAGTGACTAATATGTGACATGTTTCAGTAATTCGAGTGACTAAATGTGACATGTTTCAGTAATTCGAGTGACCGGAGTTGTTAATAATATATGTCAAAATCAAGGGTTATAAAATCCAGGGCCGGCCTAGAGGGTGTGCTGGCCCGCCCTCCGGCACAGGGCCTCCGAATATTAGGGGCCTCCACTTAGATCCGTTAGTTACCGATCGTACATTGTAGATTATATTTTTAGTATATGATTGATTGATTATGAGTATGATGACGATTTTAATAGATAATTTTAGCTATAATAACAATTAAAAATGATATCATGAAGACTACGAAAATAAGAAAGATAATAGATAATTTTATGGGTAACGTCTATTTTTTATCCAGACCTATTTCAGATTCTTTTATAATATCCAAACCTATCGAAATGCTAAAAATTAGCCCAATGTTAACTTTCGGTTAGCATTTTTGTTAGTAATATTGACTTGACAACATGATACTGACTTGGAAGAGACACATGAAGGTCAAGATTCCAAAATTTTAGTATTTTAACTAAGAAAAGAGTTACAGAATTATTAACAATAACGTAAAAATGACTAATATTTTGGTGCATTATGAAAATTTTGGCTAATTAATAAATTTTTAATAGGTTTGGATAATATAAAAGAATCTGAAAAAGGTTTGGATAAAAAATAGACATTACCCTAATTTTATTTTAAGCTATGTAGAAAGATATTACAGTCATTTTAGTCTTATTATAGTTAAAAGTCAATTTAGACCACGTCTCAATTTTGGAACAAGGCCCCCACGAAGCATTAGACAGCCCTGGGAATTTGGTTTTGGTTTCTTCGTCAAACTAGAAAGGTGATCATTTATTTCTTTTGTAATCATTTTCTGAGACTATGTATTTTTTTATAATTATTTAATAAATTTTATTTTTAATAAATTTGTGGAGAAAAATTTTAGGGCCACATTTTAAATTTTCGAACAGGGCCTCCGAATATCATGGGACGGCCCTGATAAAATCGTACTGAATACTACCGATTTCACTTTCCCTTGTACGTACCGGTTTTCAAAGCGAAGTGTCCCTTTAATTTAATGGGTGAAATGGAAGTGAAGATTGGAACGTTGCATGGAAAACGTGGTCGTTTCAAAATTGAGTTAGGTGGCCGGTTAATTCGAAAGCATGATGCAGTTAGAGGGTTTTTTATTCATCATGGATGCATCATGCATGGACAAGCATGCAAAGTAGAGCTAGTAAAGTAAATGGTTAATTGAGTTGTGTACAAAATACCTACGGTTATTTTAATTCATATTTAAACTATGGTATGTTTAATAGTCCGTTGATGTTTATAAAATATATGAAGTTAATTATTTCATATATAAATAATGTTTAAGTTGTTAATTTATTCAAATAAATATTGATATTAAACGTGTTATACGCGTAAAATACATACGTCTATAAAAATATGCATTAAACGGAGTATTTACTAATCAGTGACGAATCCAGAAATTCTACACAGGGGTGTCCTCTCTCAAAAATTTAATTTAATTAAATATGAAAAAATATTTTTTTAGGGGAAAATATGAAAATATCTTACTAATAAAAGTTACAATAAAATTTCAGACGTGTTTTGTAAAATGGTAAAATACATTCAATGTCTATACTACTTAACAAATATCTCTCGACATATCCTATCAGACAAGGCTATCCCGTAATTGGGTTTAATCGTTAGGTTTTGAAAATGATTTGGGATAAGAATAATATTTTATTATTATATTTGGATCTAAAGCACTATAACAAATGAGTTGTAGTGTAATTGAAAATATGTTTACTAATAGTGTCAGTGTTTCAAGTTTAAATCACATAGACTACTACGTAAATATTATTTGTACCAATACGAAAACTGTTACGGGAGATTGAAAATTATTTTCCCAAATTTTAAAGGTATCCCACTACCACTTAAATATTTATTTTGTTCATACGCAAACTACTATCGGAAGTTGAATAATCGCGTTCCCAAATTTTAGGAGTGTTAAACATGCATGTATCTGCCACTGTTACTAACTGATCGACAATCTCGTTATACTTTGATTAAAATATCTTATACTACATTGATGATTTACAAGGTGATTAATGCTCTTTTAAGGCTATATTATTTATAACAACTAGTGTTATTTAAGCTGGATTTTTCGTGGATCTTGACTGTTAAGTTCAAATCATTAAGTCCTTTGCGAGGTTGAGCATGGGTCAAAAGGAACATCAGATTCAATAGATTACGATGAACTCGTTGCTTTGGGGGGAAATTGAATGAAAAACGAAAGTGGTACAAGAGTGGTAGCGAGTGGTATTGCAGACTGCTAGTCATTTGGTTTCAGCCTTCCACGTGGTGTTTCGTTTTTTATATATATATATACCACTACTACATGCACAAACCCGATTTCCATAACCGCCACCATTCGCTAGCTGCCGATCGAGCTAGCTAGATCTCTCTCCGTAGCTCGCCGGAAATCATATAACTTCGTTAAAACTTTATTAATTCTATCTGTTCCCGTGGTTTCGCAAATGGCGCGGGTGGAAGAGCCACGGCGGCGGCATGGTGGTGGTGATGACGGCGACGATAAGGGGACGGTGGTGATCGAGCTGGGGAGCTTCGCGTTGGAGACGGCCGCCGAGTACTGCGGCCGGCAGAGGCCTGCCGGCGACGACGATCACAGCTCCCAATTGTCGGCCAGGGAGATGGAAGCCCTCACGGCTCTCTGCGACACCTTCTTGCCCTCCATCACGATGACGCCGGCGAAGACCGTCGATCCCTCCGTCGCCGCGTTCTACCAAACGTCGGCTTCCATGGCCGGGACTCCTCAACGGGTAATTAGCTTAATTAAATAGTATAATAATTATTTATTTGTTAGTATTTTAGACCAACCAACAACCCCCACGCGCTCATGCACCGTATTAGTTAGTAGTTATTCATTCACGCTCCTTTCGTTTTCCATGTATTTTATTTATTTAAACCCCAATTATACAGAGATATGGTATCTAATTTGATCGGACCATTATACAAAATAACGCATTTTTCAATCCTATCCTTCGTAATCATAGAAAGGATTAGAGAAAGAAAATAGAAATTGAATAACGTTCCCTTGTTGCAGTCGACATGCAATGTGAACATTAAGTAGTCGTTGAGAAGATTTTATGGTTGTAGTCTAAGACTCTTGAGTTTAAAAAACTTATCTTCTTATACTTTTAGGTTATCAAAAAACTTATACGTAAAATCATTGTTTTCTTTTACTAATATAGTCTAAATTGCGCTTTAAAATTTAAAATCTTATGCTTTTTCGTTTCTAGGTTGTCTAATGTAAAATCGTTTTCAATGCATTGGTGGGATAAAATAAGTGGTGTGACAAATACTTGTAGTTAGTTACTTAGTAAATTGCCTCTGATTCACAACCGAATCTGCATGCATTGAGTTTTTTACCTTATTTGATGAAATGATGTCGTTTTCCGACAGTTGCTATGGAATGGAATGGAATGGAATGGAACGGAACTGAACGTCTCTTTTGCGGTTTCTTTTTCAGTCCGTACTGCAGATGGTTTCGTGGCTCTATAGGATTCCCTTTTAAGTCAACCTAAAAATGGATCTGTCTCTCTCTATGTTGGGCCCTTTCAATTTGAGGAGGGACACCTCATAAACAGAAATTATGGATCTCCCTTGCAGGTTAAGAATTGTAAGGCAACAACAAGAAAAGTCCATAATAAAGTATCTGGGCCCCGGGGCCCATACGATCTAATAGAAGGTCATTGTCCAAACGTCAGTCCTAAATTTAGGGGTGACTATTTGGACCGGGACCGGATTAAAAACCGGAAACCGGACCGAGACCGGACCGGGACCGGATAGTAAACAATCCAATCCAATCTTTGGGCTTAGATTTGAGGTAAAAAACCGGATAAAGACCGGATAAGAGAGCTCAACACCCAAAACTTAAGTGTAATTTGCATAAACGGTCACAAACCTTTGCACTTAGTACAAAACTTAACCAACTGCTCACCCTTTAAGGCTTTAGGCCACTCAAATCCCACAATCTCAATGTAAAATCAAGACTGAATCGGGACCGGACCGGATCAAAACCGGACCGGATCAAGACCGGACTGTATCCAATCCAATCTTCGGTCCTTATATTTTCAAAAAGACCGGACTGGACCGGATCAATTTGGGCCAATTTAACCGGACCGGACCGTATAGCCACCCCTACCTAAATTGAAACCCGCCACATGAGTATTATCAGATCTGACTCGCGATGGGGCTGGTATTATCCAACTCGCCGTAACATGGGGCGATACATGAGTATCTACTTCCAACCCATATTGTCCCGCCTCGTTCTTAGCCCATTCTATATCAACTTCTTACATTATTCATACATATTTATCCTATTTTGACTTTTCTTCAACTAATTAGAGTCTATATTTCATCTTGTTAGACTCATTTACCCATTCAATTATCACTACTTTTCATTCATACAATATTTTCCTCTTTATTATCGTAAAAAGTAGAATTTACGTGTATTTTTGTCGCTGACCCGTAATAGAGTGGGACGGAGCATGTGTATTGAGGTTCCGCCCGCCTCCATTGCCATCACATTCTCACATATTTCTCCAATATATTTGTTTCCCCCTCTTTTACCTGTAGTTGGAGTTCGTTCAGTTAACTCAAAAGAGAACTCGAACGTGAGACTTATAATGAGTTCAAGACCTTTGGATAGTAGCTTAGAGACAGTGAACTTACGATGATCAGCTGACTAGGATTCTGTTTGCAGATAGGAAGGATAATAAGTGAGAGATTGGAGCACCCAAAGGTCTGGCTGATAAGACTTGCCTTCTGGCTGCTTTCAACATGGATTGGGACCTTCCTCTTCTGCGGGAGGAAGAGCATCTGTGGTCGATTCCCATTCTTCCTCAGTTTCCCTCAAATCCCTCTGCAGGGAAGGGAACAGATCCTCCTCAACTGGTCTCAAAGCTACTTCTTCCTCCTCAGGATGCTCTTCAAGACTTTGAAACTCATCATCCCACTTGTTTTCTTCTCCCAGGTATACGAGCTTCATTAGTTAGTCTCAATTGCTGTTTCCTCAATTTCATTGCTGTTGACGGATCATTGAACTAATAATTATCTACCAATTCATGGATTTCATCTCTGTAATACACGTACCAGGTAGATGAGAAGAATGAGAACCCGGCATGGAAAGCAATTGGCTATCCTGGACCAGACCCAGCTGCTGCTGATGATCATCATCATTCCACCACTAAAGAAGACATCTATGGACCACTCTGCAAAGGTCTCATTCACATGAACCTTCCAAAGAGCATAGTTGCAGACTGCCTACACAGATCAAGATTTCCAGCCACCATCTGTCGCGCTACGGGAACATTCAACATCAAATGTGATGCCGTAGTAGTTGGCTCTGGCTCGGGAGGTGGTGTGATTGCTGGTGTACTAGCAAAAGCCGGGTACAAAGTGCTTGTCCTGGAGAAAGGAAGCTACTTAGCCAGAAGCAACCTCTCACTCTTGGAAGGCCCTTCCATGGACCAAATGTACCTCTCGGGAGGTCTCATGGCCACCGACGATATGAGCTTCGTGGTCCTCGCGGGCTCCACAGTGGGAGGTGGCTCCACAATCAACTGGTCCGCTTCGCTCGAAACCCCGCAGAATGTGACCAAAGAGTGGAGCGATGACCATCAATTAGAGCTTTTTGAGAGCAAGATGTATAGAGAAGCAATCCAGGTTGTTTGCGAGAGGATGGGGGTTCAGTCCCAAATCCATGGAGGGGAAGGACTCAACAATGCTGTGCTTAGAAAAGGGTGCCAGAAATTGGGGTATCCGGTGCACGACATTCCGAGGAATTCCGACCCAAATCACTACTGCGGCTGGTGCAACTTTGGGTGCAAGAATGGGCAGAAGAAGGGAACTTCGGAGACATGGCTAGTAGACTTGGTGGATTCAGGGAATGGCGTGATTCTCCCAGGCTGCAATGCAGTCCAAGTCCTGCACGAAAGGAAGAAAGGAAAATCATCAACAAATCGAGAAAAGGCAACTGGGGTCGTATTCGAATTCGAATCATACGGTGGAGGATCGAGGACGAAAATTACCTGCAGGGTTGAATCCAAAGTCACAATAGTCGCTTGCGGAGCTCTCAGCACTCCGCCATTGCTGCAGAGAAGCGGCCTGAAGAATCCCCACATCGGGAAGAATCTCCACCTCCACCCAGTCACAATGGCGTGGGGATACTTCCCAGAAGAAGAAGAACTGAAGCAGAAGAGCTACGAAGGAGGAATAATAACAGCAATGTCACGGGTTATTGCCGACGAATCAACGGACGGGTCCTATGGGGCAATTATTCAAACACCTTCTCTGCATCCAGGAATGTTCTCAGGTCTAATGCCGTGGGTCTCCGGATCCGACATGAAACGGAGGATGACAAGGTTTTCGCGAACTGCCCACGTATTTACCTTGGTGAGGGATAAGGGATCCGGAACCGTCGGAGATTCTCACAGCAGAATCAGCTACAGGGTGGGAGATTCCGACGAGAGGAATCTGCAGAAGGGGGTGGAGAAGATGCTAAGGATTCTGGCGGCGGCCGGAGCGGAAGAGATCGGGACGCATAATTTGGGCGGGAAGAGCATAAACGCGAAGAAAGCGAGCCGCGATGAGTTCGAGAGGTTTGTGAAGGAGGAGAGCCGGCGGCCGGTGAGAGGACTGGCGACGCAGCTGTGCTCGGCGCACCAGATGGGGAGCTGCCGGATGGGGGCGGATCCGGCGGCGTCGGCGGTGAAGGAGACGGGGGAAACGTGGGAAGTCGAAGGGCTTTACGTGGCGGATTCCAGCGTGTTCCCGACGGCGCTTGGGGTGAATCCCATGGTCACCGTTCAGGCGATCGCTTATTGCACGGCTCAGTCGGTTCTTGAGCACCTCAAGCGGAAGAAATTTTGTTGAATCCTATTTACTGAATTTCCAGCTCATTACACATAAATTGGATTTGTTTTTAATGGGCGGTTTGGATGCTATCATTTCTGTAATCTACATACTTGGGATAAATAAATTATAGGTTATAGATATAATTGGCTTCTTTATTATCAATTTTTATATGATATATAATATGACACTCTACAATATTTATATTTTACATCAAACTCATATATTTTGGGAAAGTAATATTTTCACTTAAATTTTTCATTTAAAAATTGTCAACCACATTAAAATTGTATTTGGTCGATACAAATGTCTAAAATACTTCTCATAATTTTATTTTAATATTTTTCTTTTATATACTCCAACACCCTTTAATAATTTCACTTTAACGAACGTAGAGAAATAAATGGAGTGGAACTGGTATGTCTCTCTTCTTTGGAGATAGATGTAACAGAGTCTTTGGCCGATTGGATTTTGGTAAAAATTTAGGCTCTTATGATGTTTGCAATTGTTAAAATTTATACATTCTATGAATGTTTGTATTATAAGTTTTTTAATAAGCATTTTATTCATAAAAACTGGAACATCTTAACCCGCAACCGTTTACACTTTACATACCAAAACTCTATGAACAATTACAGAAAACCCATTCAAACAATCAAATCGTCTATAACACTACTATAAATTATAGAAGCTACACTAACTAAAACTACAACTCAACACCCTGAGAAGCTCTTGCACATTCCTTAGGAATTGATCTTCAGAAAGAGTTCGACAACATTCTCGCCACATCTCGCTAACCACCACCATCCAAATCAAGCATCCTCGCTGCGCATGAGGGTTAACGGTAAACGAATGTTCGAAGAGCCAACTGTAAAGAAGCTTCCCAATCCCCCTGTCAATGTTGCTTATTTAAAAACACACTGTGAAAACTCTTATGTCGTAGGAACACTCAAAGAATAAGTGATCTCTTGATTCCCAAATTATTTTATTGTTTAAATGTGTGGATTTGAAATTATAATGTTGATAGTTGTTATTGTAATTTTAGAAATAAAATGGGAAGTTATTTTTTCAATAAAAAAAAAACAAGTTTGCTTTTATTTTCATATATAAAGGTCAATCATGTATCGAAATATAATTCGGTGTGAAATCGGTTTGGCCCTGGGGAGATGTACCGATAGCCCCCATATAACATATGCGGCCCTTTTTGTTTATTTACTGGGCTACTCTAGTGGCAGCCAGCTGCTTCCCGAATGTCTACGCCCAATGTTTCCCGCTCAAAGGGGTATGTTTCGCTTTGGATTTGGGTCTGACTTTGCACATTGGATATGGCCTCGCAATGCATTACTCTATCAACTTCGATAACGACGAAAAGTGTGTCGATAAAAAATATGATAATTATATTAGAGGATCATTTCGATATCGATATGTCTCATTATTAACGATTCAAACAAAAGAATTGAAGATTAAAGAGTCCAATCCAATACATCCTCTTCTTCGCATACGATTCTCCACCACAACTGGAAACACATGAGTGGTGTGGGGAATTAGAACACTGGGATTTGGGGGAAAGAGGAGATTGAAGAAAAGAGAGTTTTCAATTTTGTAGTGCAGGGGAAGAAGGAGAAGAAGACCACATTCTTTGAGTCAACTCCACGCTTCCTTTCCTTTCCCTTCATCATTATCATTTCATTCTTTAATTCCTATCCCCTCCCATGGAGAAGCAGAGGGTTGGGTCGCTCTCCATCTTCGCCATTGTCATCTCCCTCGCCATTCTCTCCTTCGTCTCCTGCGTCATTGCCGAGATCAAGAAAGTCAAGGTACCAAACATCTGTTTATACTCGATCCTCATCTCATTCATCCCACCTCGAATTCCTGAATCTTAACAGTCACTGCAATTGCGTATTAATTCATGGCTGTGATTTCTTTGTTTTGGGGTTCTGGGCAGAGGAAGGATGTGAAATTGCAGAATGAGCTCTGCTACCTGCCCGAGAGCCACGCGTTCGGATTCGGGATCGCGGCGATCGTTTCCTTAGTTGTCGCTCACACATTGACCAACTTGTTGATTTGCAGCAACTTCTTCCCCTCTCTCTGCTCTTCTTCTTCTTCCAGAAAGAAGCCCACTTCCCCTCCTCTGCCTCCTTCCACTTCTGTTTCTTCTTCCTCTGCCTCCAAGAAGAAGCCCTCCGTCCCCGCCCTTCTCCTCCTCCTCCTCTTCTCCTGGTAATTCTCATCCAAAACCCCACAATTCTTCTATCTTTAGAACAATTCAGTTGGGTTTCACCTTTTCTTTATCGTATGCGCATACATGATGCTCTGTTTTCTTCTTTCTCTCTCTCTCCTCAATCTGGGTCAGTCGTCAGTCGCCATTAATGATCTTTGTCTGGAAATTGAGGCGACCCATGATTCAGATTCTTGCCTTTGCGTCAGGGGCTTTTCGATTCCCACGATTTAATTTGTGGCAAAAAGTAGGTAGCGTACTTGATTATTAAATTTCCTTCTAATTAAGGTGTCTCTGTTTTTTTTCTCTGTTTCTTTTGTTTGTTGGGTGGTGGACGCAGGGCGAGTTTTGGGCTAGCGGTGGTGCTATTAGGGGGAGCGACGAGCATGAGCGCAACGCAGCCATTTGGGAAAGGATGGCTCGACGGAAAATGCTACGTAGTGAAAGACGGCATCTACGCCGGCGCAGGGGTTCTGACGCTGGTTTCCAACGCCGCCGCGCTTGGCTCCGCCGCCGTCACCGTCAGAAAGGCCCAGGCTGAACAGGGTCGGAGAGTACATGCCCAAACTGTCCTCGGCTTGTGACTCTTTTCTAGTTTTTTTGTTGTTAGACAGGAAATTTACAGCATAGATATAGGAGATAAAAGAAAAGCAAACTTGCATACATATACAGAGTTACAAAGAAGAATGAAAAGGAACTGGAAAAGAATTTTGCCAACAGCTTGTTCGTCATCTCAATTACAGTTGAGCTTTCCTTTCTCAAGAGAGGGGGAAGGTTAAATTGCTCATCCACTTTAGTCCGCCATTTCGTTGCCCTGTGGCCGTGGGTCATCGTCCTCCACTCACCCTGTTTCTGCTGAATTAGACAGAACAGCAGAGATGGGAGAGGTTGAGTTGAGCCTAACATTGTTTATTCCGAATTTGGTGAGTTGGATAAGGAGACAAATGAGCGACGTGGAGCGGATGTTGTGATGGGAGCGAGCAGGAAAGAGCCAATCTTGGTTGGTTCCTTTCAAGGTCGTCTTCAGGGATGAAAGCAGAGCAGAGCCCTGGAAAAAAAAACAGATTTGCTAAACACGAGGAACCTCTTTCGTCCTCTAGTTTTAAGATGGTTTAACTATTAGGAGTTTGAAATCGGTGGAATATAGAAGAGAAAGCAAGTTGTTTCAATCCATTTTCCATGTTTAGTTATTTGGATAGTAAAAATGATGGGTGACTAATGATAGAAAAGGAATCGAAAGAGGGGGCAGGAGGCCGTGGCGGATCTAGAAATTTTTCATAGGGGTGTCCTCTATTAAAAATAAATTAAATAAAAATAATTAATAAAAATAAAATCGTAAATTTGAAAAATATCTTAATCGTATAGGTTAAAAAAGTACATGATTTGTTTTCATATTGGAAAATAATTGTAGAATACACTTGGTGTCTATAGTGTTAAAAAAAATTGTGTCTATATACCCTACTAGACAATCATTCACAAACTTATCGCATATTCGATTTGTAAACTTGTTCTCGATGTAACCCAAAGCTGAAAGACTCTTTCAACACTTGCCGTATTAAGGGTAGCTTGAAATTAGTTTAATTATTAGGTTTTTAAAATAATTAGAGATAGGAAATGACATTTTACTATTACATTTTTCAAAATCGAACAACAAATGAGTTGTAGGTCAACGAAAATTAAGTTTATTCATAAGAATAGTGTTCTAGATTTGAATTACCCAATCTACCACTTATATTCCTATACACAAATAACATTAGGATAATCATGTTTTCAAATTTCAGGGGTGTCCATCACTATCAATTATATTTTTTTTATCCATACGTAAATTACCACCGGGGGCTGAATAATCGTATTCCAAAAATTTAGGGGTGTCCGGGGACACCCCTAAAACCCCCTGGGTCCGCCCCTGGCTGGAGGAGAGAACGTGAACGAGGGGGGACAATGAGATTCGATTTTTGTTTGTTTCAACTTCAACTATTAGACAACTTTCTCATTTCAAACATACAATGAATACTATTTTGATTTGTTTTTTTTTTTACGAGTAAAGTTCACTTGTATTCCACCATCGAAAGAAGAGAAACGAGTGTTACAAACATAATTCAGAGTAGATCATAAATTAGATCAAGAATTTGAATCTAGTTGTCTGGAAGTGTTGAACGCCCCATCGAACGAGCGACCCAATCAGCTCGAGAGTTGAACTTTCTTGTCACAGCTTTAATTTTGATTCTTGTGTTCGTTCGAAGAATTGTAACCATCGACCCGATCTTTACAACACATCTCCAAGGCCATTGGGTGGGGTCATGAGACAAGCTTGAACCAGGACGTGGCAGTCAGACTAGACGATACTCAGAGTCATATTCTTGTACTAACCTGAGACCTTCAAGTAGAGCTTTCGTTTCAACTTTCATAGGGGTAGAACAAAGGAAAGTGTCAGCTCGTCCTTATATAATTGTCCATGGTAGTTAACAGAAACCACACCATATGCAGCCGGGTAGGAGTCGTTTAGAAACGACCCATTGCAATGAATCATATTGGATGATTTGGTTGATGTTTAGTATTTGAGTGTTGATGACTTGATGGATTGGAGCAATTTAGCGTGGTATTGATTTTTTGGACTTAGAATGTGGGGTTTGAAGCCATGTCTTCATATTTGGAAAATGATAAATTGGTAAACGCATAACATCTTATACCAACAATTTCCACAACCCACAGATCAATTTTTTTTCTTCAAAAGATCGCTCGTAGTTTTTTGACCAATTTTTACATGTCAATTTCTTCATTTGTACAATAAGAAAATTTCATTTGTTCGCATTGTAAATTATGATATATGTGTTTCATTGATAATGTAATTAACAATAATAAGAAAATTGCATCAATTCTGAAGTTTTTCAATTCCCACGACCAAACGACCCATAAGTTTTTGAGACAAATTAATCATGGAAAAAATGAAAAATGGTTTACTTACAAGGAAATCACTTAACTAGCCAATGTAAAACAAAATAAAACCTAGCTTTTTATATACAAAATTAAAAACAAAATAAAACCTAGCTTAACCTCAAAATAACCTAATGCAAACGGCCCAAATTAGCTTTATCGTCTCTGGGCTCATATGACCTCTTCATATCGGCCCAAGAGCGAAGCACTTTCCTTCTTTTTCTCCTTGCTTTCTCTCGACCCGTCATCTGCAGTTCATTGGAGGGAACCAAAATTTCCTTCCATTGTCTTGCACTCGCTGCAGAGGCACAACAATGGAGACGGAAGAGTTAGTAATGGAAGAACTTCTCTCCGTTGAGGCTGAAATTCAAGACGTGCAAGGTCCTTCTGGAAATTTCAATAAAATGATCTGCCACTTCGGGCGTCTTTTCTTTTAGCCATCTCACTTCCGGTCACCTGTTTTGCAGACCAGATAAAAACACTGTTTGACAGGCAAGAGAAGTTGGAGGAGAGGCAGTCGGAGCTCAGAGCTCTGTTGGAAGCATGTAAAGCTTCGGGAAGCCCAGTTCAAGGCAGCCCGTCGACGACTTCGGAAAATTGGTCGGGTCCCTTTCAGTGGGATTCTGAGGCTGACGATGTGAGGCTCAATGTGTTTGGGATACCTTCGTACCGGGCGAATCAGCGCGAGGTAGGGTTCTTTTACGAGCTTCGTTGATAGTTTCCGTTTCTGTTTCCTCGAGCTGGCATTTGGCAATCCAATTCCAAATGGTGAATTGGTCATCGAAACCCTTGCATTTTCCAGAGTGGCCGTTGATAGTTCTACTCTGCTATGATTCCTTGTTGAAGAAATCAAGTTAAAGTAAAAATGTCTACGTGTTCTTATCACTTCTCCCTTTTCTTTTGAGAGTCTTGACGCGTTCTTTTGGGAGTCTTGACGTCGTCTTTCATTGTCAAAATTGCTTCTACTAAACCCCCAAACTGTGGTTAGATAATGTCATGGCTGGAAACTTTGTAATGGTAATATTGATTGCTCTTTGTGGGTTGTTTATGACTATTTAACATGGGCTAGATTGACCCATGGTCATGAGTGGAAAGTATACTATTATTTCTCTTATTCCGATGTAGTTCCTTCTTCATTTTGGGACGAATCTATGTGGATTCACTTGTATTTATTTTGTATCTCTTACTAGATTATAAATGCTGTGATGAGTGGAAAGGATGTTTTAGTGATCATGGCTGCTGGTGGTGGGAAAAGCCTTTGTTATCAACTTCCAGCTATTCTCCGTGATGGGGTTGCTCTCGTTGTCAGTCCCTTGCTTTCTTTAATCCAAGACCAGGTATTCTTTCCGATCTTTGGTGTTTCTCCTTTCTCTGATAGTTCAGAGTCTGCCCGTGGTTTGAGCCTAGAGTGGGTTATATGTTTTCATCCACCTCCCATTGGGTTTCCAGAGCATATGTATTTTTCACTCCATACTTTCTGTTTAGGTAGCTTTTGTAATGATAAACAGTGATGCAGGTTATGGGATTGACTGCATTAGGGATTCCTGCATTCATGTTGACATCGACTACCAACAAGGAAGTAGAGAAGTTCATATATAAAGCTCTCGAAAAAGGTGAAGGAGAGCTCAAGGTATTGTACGTTACTCCTGAAAAAATATCGAAGAGCAAAAGGTTTATGTCAAAGCTTGAAAAGTGCAATCATCAAGGCCGTCTCTCTCTTATTGCAATTGATGTAAGTAGGTTTCCACTCTTTTTGCTAGTCTTTTTACCAAGCAGAGTAGATTTAACACCTGACTACACATTTGCTATTTATTTTCATTTAAAAGCAATGGCTACATTGGCCTAGCTCACAATTCTAGTTTCAAGAGAGGCTACTAATGGCAGATCTTGAAAAGATGTGCAACAGTCCATATGCTTATTATCTTGAAGTGCACTTGTATCCGCAGTTTTCTTATTTATGATTAATGGGGTAAGCTTGGAATAATAAAGCTCTAAGGATTAATTGATGACAAAGTGTTCTGAAATCTTGTCTGTAGAACCAATTTAACAAAGTGATAGACATCTAGGTGTTAACTTGTTCTGATTACTAGTGCAAATTTGCAGGAGGCCCATTGCTGTAGTCAGTGGGGCCATGACTTTCGTCCAGACTATAAGAGCCTTGGAATCCTCAAGACTCAGTTTCCAGGTGTTCCTATAGTGGCGTTGACTGTAAGTGTATAATGTTTGACATGGGAAAAGAAAACGAAATTTTCCGAATCCATGATGTAGGATTTGTGATCACTTATTTGCGTTTTGCAGGCAACAGCCACTGGGAAAGTCCAATATGATCTCATGGAGATGCTGCGTATTCCAAAATGTGTCAAGTTTGTTAGCACTGTCAACAGACCAAATCTTTTTTATAAGGTGCATTTTCCTGACAGATATTTCCCCCTCCACCCCTTCTTATTTTCTGTGTAATGGTTTCTTGTGATGTAGTTTTAACACATGTGAATTTGAAGCTCAAGTAAAAGTTTCTTGTTGACAGGTAAGAGAAAAGCCATCTGTTGGAAAGGAGGTTATTGACGAAATTGCTGAATTCATTCTGGAGTCTTACTCAAACCATGAGTCCGGGATTGTCTATTGCTTCTCGAGAAAGGAATGCGAGCAGGTTTGTGGTTCCCTTATTGTCATCAAAGAGCAGAGAGATTGAGTTCATAGAAGGTAGCAATGGGCTGCTGTAGGAAACTGTATGATTCTACATAATAAATCCATAATGGTTTCTGCTTGCCTCACCAAATAAGTCAGCTGCTGGTTAGTCAAGAATTAGAATTTGACCCGTTATTGTAACTGGCATGAACTAAACGGGTTCAGGCTCTTAGGTACTGGTTCAATTAAAGTAACACCACGAAAGGTTCTTATAATTATTTATTCATTGTTGTGGTGATGTGATTAACAGGTCTCTGCAGAATTACGTACAAGAGGAATCTCGGCCGACTACTACCATGCAGATATGGATCCCGGTGCTCGTGAGAAAGTGCATACTAGGTAACATTATTACTGCTGTGGTGTTTTATATATCAAAATGTAGTTGGAAAATTGTCTGTCTAATTCAGTGGTACGTACGAAGAAAAACAACTAGAAATGAGACTGAAAAATTCTGCATGTGTTTCTTGAGTACAATTACTCTATGGAGTTAATGATGTAGTGGCTTTCATGCAACAGATGGAGCAAGAATAAATTGCAGGTCATTGTTGGTACGGTAGGTGAAATTTGAGGTAATTGCTATCTGCATTGTATTCGTTGTCTATGTCACACCTAAACTATTGTTTGTGTGGCAGGTGGCTTTTGGTATGGGAATCAACAAACCTGATGGTAATGGCCGTTAACCTGTTCTGTGCCCAGTCACTACTCTATTGAAAACTCTTACATGTGTATGTAGATATAAGGTTGCTTAGCTAATTCCGAGTTGCTGTTTGTAGTTAGATTTGTCATCCATCACAGCTTGAGCAAATCAATGGAAACATATTATCAGGTCTTTCTCTTGTGCCTGCTGAACTAGCCTTTCTCTTGTGCTCTGTTCTTTATATAGCTTTGCTCACTTCAGGAGAGTGGTAGAGCTGGACGAGATGGTCTACCTTCTGAGTGTGTACTCTTTTTCAGGCCTGCTGACGTTCCCAGGCAGGTAATTCATCTTTCTTCCGTGTTGGTACTTCTTGTTGCCCTACAATCTTATGGTTTAATAAATTTTCCTTTTCAAACAGAGTTCGATGGTGTTCTATGAGAATTCCGGACTGCAGAATCTCTACGACATTGTACGGTATTGCCAGGTAATTCCCTCCAGGTATTTTATACTATTCCTGCAAAATTGCTAGCTGTCATTTACATTCTTTTTATTGATGAATGGAATGTTGACCATGATCCTCTTTTCTTCAAATTGTAGACTAAAAGACAGTGCCGTCGAGCTGCCTTCTTCAAACATTTTAGTGAGGCACTGCAGGACTGCAATGGTAACTCAGCCATCTACCATCATGACGTCATATGTATTAGGAAGCTTTCATACATATACCTATATGCTTATATTTCTCAATTGCAGGGATGTGTGATAATTGCGCCTTTTCAAATGAGATTATAGAACTTGATGTATCAAGTAAGCTCCTTTATTTAGTAATCTGTTAAAATTTCATTGAATGTCCCTCTTATCATCTTCTGATCAAGAGTTTGGTTCAGATCTCGTTTCTCCTTTACAGTGCCTTATATCAGGTATGATTAAAATGATGGACAGGAGAACCGAAAGAAATGTGCACTCCTTTTTCAAGAACTTCAATAAATAGAGCATTTTGCCTGTGCTAGCTTATAGTTCTTAAAACAAATCAAGATGTACAGAATATTAGAACATACAACTTTATACAGAGTGACCTTTTTGTTTTGTTTGGTTCAGATCTGAGATGCATGCACACATATTTTTCATTCTACTGTACGATTTTCATTTCTGAAATATTACCAATATTATCTTGACATTATTTTATATAAGGAGTGCCCAATAAGGTTGGAGTAGGGACGAGGCAAATTTACTTGAATGTCATTTAGAATGGTTTATGTGCAAGTAATTTGTTGCTATCTTTTATTTTCTCTTTTAACATTATGCTGTATTTTGTTGAATAAATAAAAGAAAGGAGAGGGAACCTGAATAAGTGACTTATCGTGAGTGTTATCTTGCTAATGATCACCATTAAGGCAAGTGGTTGTTAGCTGGCTGACAAATGTTTTCATCTTATCGTAGTAATGAATATCGTCGGTGAAATTCCCTCCAAATAAAGTATTGTGTCTGAGATGACTACATCATTTAACCTTGTTAATTCATTATCTCTGTTAGATTTCACTACAGCAGCCTTATTTGGGTAAATCCCATTGAAGGCCACATTTTGAGATTTGAGAATGCATAGCTATGAGCTAAACATAACTGTTCTGGTTTGCTCTGCAGATTATGCTGTAGCTATTGTTTCGTTGCTGAAAGATGTGCTCGAGAATGATCAGAGGTTAACAATGCTGCAATTGGTAGACAAAATGAAATCCAAGCATAAGCAACTAGGTTTGTTCTATGGGTGATGTACAGTGTTAATCTTATATATTCTTGAGGTGTCAAATAGCTGAATTTGAAGTCCAGATTTGGCATTTTCTATCCTTCAAGCCTCTTTCTGGAACTTGTTAATTGGATAGGAGTTAGGAAGTGTCATCGCCTCTTCGGTTATTGTTTTTTTCTTCTCATTTCTTTACATGCCTACTGACTTTCTGAACCATGTCATTTGAGCAACCTTGTAATACGTAATTTTCTGATGCTCACCTTTGATCAGTATGCATACTAGTGAACTTTGCTAACTGTACAATCTCTGGTGTGCTCTTTGTGTTCAATTTCACATTGGTACTTCCAATTTATAATTGAAGGTGGCTTTAGTCTTTTATCTATGTGCAAAAGCGCTAATAACTCTGTTCACAATTGTCCGGTTATGGATTACTGCTACTTGTGGTCCAATTGGTATGCTGAAACTCTTCTGTTCCTCTGTTTCTCATAGGATCCACCTTAAAGAAAGAGCAGCTGGAGCAGCTTGTAGTACAACTTTTACTTGATCGAGTTCTGGTAATTTCTTTGAGTCAGCTCTTTTTGCTTGGACAAAGCTCCTTACTTCAAAGTACATCCAACTCAGATGTTCAGGCAGATAGGCAGTTCAGTGGATAAGCTTTTACTAGAAAAGAAAATACACGTATTCTAGGCATTATTATCTTTTTTTTTATTTAACCTGGAGCCCTAAATTGATGCATCAGCTAGTTGGGTTAAAGTTTATTCTGTCTTCTTCGAGAGTAGGTAATTGGATTGTGGCTGATCCCCTATTTGACAAGTTTTTCTTTTTGGTGAAACCTATTTGAAAAGCTTTGATGATAAATGTTTGACATTTCACTGATGCACCTCTCAGTCTCAAAGAGAAGGGCAATTGGCCTTTTGGTTCTGCAGAATCATGGACCTGTTCTTATCTTGCCAATGCATTTTCATATTAAGGAGTTTTTGGCTGATCTATGGTCATTTGTGTCCCAATTATCAGACCATCCTAAAAAGATGGCCTGACTATATGAATTCATTTGAGGGTATATCCAATAATCAAATTAAACGACACTGAATTTTTATAGACACCTCCGCCTTAGTTACTGTTGTGTGGTTTGGTTTTCATTCTTGATTTTCCCCTCTTTGGATGAATCATTCATGTAAATAATTCCCTTCTCAGAAGATTGCCAATCTGTGCTGTGTTTTCATGTAGAAAGAAGAGTTTCAGCACACAGCATATGCCACAAATGCTTATGTGACAGTAGGACCATTGGCAAATCAAGTGCTCCAAGGTAGAACTCGTCCTTTTCAACTTATACTCTGGTTGGCTTGCATAGTCTAGTATTAACAAGCACCTTAATTTGTACAAATATGTTACATTTCAGTGTGGCCTTCTATCTGCACTCCTTAGAATTTGATTTTATGAATCCTTTTGTCGTGATATGCTTCAAATATTGCATTCCCATCCTCTGCGCCGTTAATGCAGAAGTAACAAAGGAAAAATAATAAGATTGCTCAAACTTAGATTGTTTGGATCTTCAAAATCAAGCTATGAACACTGGAACGGTCAGTGATAAGTGATCGCAAAGAGTCGAACAATTGTTGGACGTGCAGTAGTCGCTTAAGGATCCCCGAGTGAACCTTTAATTCAATTGGCTGAAATACCTGTATTGATCTCATATGAAGTGGAAAATAGAGTGTGTCACACTAAAAAGTTGTGATTTTTACATGCAGGGAAGAAGGCTGTCAAGATTGAGACTTGTAACAAAGAGAAGAGCAAGACAGCAGGGGACGTGAAAACAGTGAAACACAGACTATCTGGGTTGGAATCAAAACTTGATGAGCTGAGGAAAGAGCTATCTTCCAATCATGGTGGGATATTCCCCCATTCCGTGTTGTCTAGCCAGCAGATGAGCATGATTAGCACCGAAAAGCCGAACTCAATGGAAGAGGTAAGTAGCAGCAACTGTAGACATGTCAGATGGAGCCCATTTCCATGAATCCTTGAACACCAGCAGTTTGGTTCCTGATCCATCCTTCTTTCTCTTGGCAGTTGGAGAAGATAATTGGGAAGCTGAAAGCTGAAAAGTACGGCGACAGGATTCTGGAAGAGATTGGGAAGTTTGTTGGGTCTGAGGACGAACTACCTGAGATCGAGGCGTCGAAGGAGGAAGAAGGCAGTAGTGATAAGAGGGCTAGCAAGCGGCTGAAGACCAGAAAGAATGTTGTGTTGATTGATAGTGGGGATGAAGAGCCATGATCATGAATCCCATTCTGAACTTTTTAATTAATAATGTTCAAATTATTATGATTATTTTTAGCCAAAAGAATAATTGAAGATTACTTGGTGAGGCAGTGAGTGTTTTCATCTTCTCTGACCAATTGGATGCTTAGTTATTTACTTTGCAAAAGTTTAGGGACTGAATAACGAATACCACAGAAGTTCAAGGACCAGGTGCGCATATATAACTCCTTCAAAAATTATGTTCAGAAATGTTTGGATTGGATGAATGATTGATGCATAAACAAATAGACAAAACGAGCTTCAAATGGTACGGTTTCACCTGTCGACAACCGCTACAGCCACTGCTTCTCCACTCCACTCCCATGGCGTGGAACTGGTAGCACCATTTCCACTTCTCTCACTAACTCCTCATCATCGTCATCGCCACCATTTTCAGCTCCCTTTTCCTTCCCTTTCCGCTTCCACATCGTCGCCGAGGTTCTGTTTCATTCACTGAGCTTCGTGTTTTCATCCAATCACCCTGATCATCGTCTTGCTGTTGTTTTCCCCCCCCCCGCTTTCCTGACTCGCATTTCATCGCATGCAGGTGCTCGAGGCGCAAGCGAGCTAGCTGCTCTTGCAAGATGACTGATTCTCAAGGAAAGGCGACGCAACCCGCTGGCCGCGATGTCCGTTCCGGCGACATGATTTTTCAGCCAATCTTGGAGAAAGGCGTTTTCCGATTCGATTGCTCTGCCGATGATCGGGCTGCTGCTTTTCCTAGTGTTTCCTTCGTCAATGCGAAGGATAGGGAGACGCCGATCACTAATGCTGCTGAAGCAGTTCCTACGTTCATCCCAACTTATCAGTCTGGTTCGGAGAGCCAGACTGTCCAGCTTCAGGTGGACTTTTCTCGCTGTATTATGTGATGCCTGCCTTCTTTATTTTGAAATTATGGCTTTACCTCTTGTAAACCATCTGTCTTACATCTTGCTACTAAAAGTTGACAAGATTAATATTTCCTGAAGACATCCTTATTCTTGAAATTTCTCTACATCCCATGTTGTAAGGTTTACTACTCGGGGAGCTTCTTTGGTTTGTTGCTTGTAAAACTGACCAATTTTGTTCGATATTTTAAATAGCTGCCTGCTGGTACCTCTTTTTATGGAAGTGGAGAAGTTAGTGGACAACTTGAGAGGACTGGGAAGAGAGTAAGTGGTTTTTCTGTTTAATATGGAAACCATAAGTGGATGTTGAATTCAAAATCTTAAAATTTTGTTATTTGCTATATGTAGGTTTTCACATGGAACACAGATGCATGGGGTTATGGTCCAGGAACTACATCTTTGTACCAATCACATCCTTGGGTGTTGGCCGTTCTGCCAAATGGAGAAGCAATTGGAGTACTTGCAGACACCACCAAGCGTTGTGAGGTGAGTGACATGGGATGCCGATATTTCTTGCATAGATGGGACCCTTTTCCAAGTTGACGACTAACGACTACTGCTGAAATGCAGATTGATCTGAGCACTGAGTCAGTAATTAAGTTCGTTGCTCCTTCCTTTTATCCCATCATATCGTTTGGTCCATTTCCTTCACCGGCAGCTGTTTTGAGTTCTTTGTCCCATGCAATTGGTAATCTTCTAAGCGACTCTCATATGTGCTTTTCCTGCAATCTACATGTGAGCCTTCTACGGAGGACAGTAGGAGCAGTGTGATAAGATAAATGATTTTGGCAATGAAAACTATTTACGTAATTGAAATTAAAAAATTTATCTATCCAACCATCATTATTGAATCTACTAGAATGATGAGATTTGAACGTGGATTCCAGACATTGCGAAGTTTTTTTAAATTGGTTTGAGCAATGCACTTCATAATCTTCAGGGAATTGTGCAAGAAAAATGAGCTTCAACTCGTCATTCAGACATTGTCTCTAAGAAACTGGAAATGAGTGTTTATTGTATTCATTTGCAGGACAAAGATTTTGTTTCCATTTACAGAACCTAGTCCACACCCCTTATGCTCTTGAAAAAATATATTTTGCTTGAAGGCTTACATCCTTGCCATTTAGCTATAGTGCATACTTGATCCTGGGATGTAAATTATTATAGCTGCTTGGTTTTAATTAATGGGTGGAAAGAGGAATATCAGATCAGTTATTGAGGTCAGACAAAATGATTCCTTGGTGCGGGTAAATGATAGATTCTCCGGAACTGCTCTTTGTATTTTCTGAGTGACTGTATTTGTTAACTTGTTTGATATTCATTTTGGCTTTCCGTGCTGGATCTATCACCTTTCTGAATCTGCAAATATATCTAATTTTCCTTTAACTGCATCAAAATTCTTTAAAGGTGTTGCGCACTTCACTTGGCCTCTGAGGGGTTATGTCATACCTGCTTTCTGTATCTCCTCTTTGCTTCTTAAAGCAAATACCTTCCTGAACTGATTGACCACTCTTGGACGTATATAACCAGTTTAAAAGGATATTAAGTTTTTCAGGTTAATTAACTAGGTTATTGAGCGTGGATGTTCATTTAATCATGCAACCCCTTTATGGTTTCTTTGATAAATTGTTCTACAGTAACTCTAACTGCTGTATGGATCTGCACAGGGACTGTCTTCATGCCTCCAAAGTGGTCTTTAGGCTATCATCAGTGCCGTTGGAGCTATGATTCAGATTTGAGAGTTCGAGAGGTGGGTTTCTCGTAGTGAAGGTTTCTATGAACTTTTACTTGCCTTTTGAGCATGCTTCTTACCTTATCTTAAAATTTGTATTGGGGGGAGCCTTTACGCGAAAAGTGTTGTTGGTGGAGAAGGGTTTTCTGTCTTATTCAGTAGGCTTTCATTTCCATCGCTGGAACATGTTCAGCATATTGGTGCAAAATTTTGTTTTTTTGCTTGATAATTCCCATGGTTAACCACAGTTATTCTGGGTTAAAAGCTGGGAACTTGATTCCCTGTGATTGATGATGTTCTCAATTCTCATCCAGGTTGCCAAAACTTTCCGGGAGAAGGGCATACCTTGTGATGTCATTTGGATGGATATTGACTACATGGATGGTTTCCGATGTTTCACATTTGACAAGGCATGTATGCTGCGAATCATCTAGTACAAATTGAACTTCGATTGAAGACTTGATTTTCATTTCGTGTCTGTGTTATATGCTGGCATATATTTGACAAGCTGTTTGGTTGATTGAAAAAAAGTTAGCTATCAAATTGCATTACAGGGACATATGAGTTAAACAGCTATTTTCATATTTTTACTTGTCGTATTAGTTTCTTCATTTTCTAGGTTCTTTTGTAGTTCAATGCCATCAATTTTCCTTTTCTGATAGTTGAAGGAGTGGGGAGTTTAACCCTGATCCTTGGTGGTGGGGCTGCCAAACTGGTATACCACTTTCGTTGTTAGTTATATTTACTCAATTTGTTTAGTATATTCCTTAAGATCAACAGTTTTCATTCTCCAATAATGCTTAGTTTGATGAGCACAGAAGTTCTGCAGTGCTCCGTTCTGGTATGGTTTATGAACCCTTAGGCACCAGTCTGTGACTATTGAACGCTACAGCGGTTTGCCATATCAGTTTTGAATTTTGTATAGGTTTTTTCACTTTCCTGTGAAGCTAATTATTTACGGGAAGGTTCCATCTTGTTCTGGACAGCTTGAGATGCAAGTGTAAAATTAGTTAAGTATATGAGGATGTGGCAAGTATGGTTCATGTTTGTATCATTTGGCCCGTACCAAGAAATTTCTATGAAGGATTACTTTCTTCTAAATATTTTCTTGGAAATGAAAAACATCACCTAACCGAATAGAATAAATTGTCCTACTAAATTTTGTCAGAAGCTGGAATATTACACCATGTTCCCTCCACTTTGATCTGGTTTGTATTATGATTTAACGTCCTGATCTCCGGATTTCTTCCGATCTCCCAGTCCCATTTGCTACAATGAAAGCTATCTTTCGCACAAATTTTGGCATCGAGAGTGTTCTCTTGAAGACTAGGCTCTCAAGTTTGTAAAAAGGTCGCTCCATATTTTTTTAATACACAGACGACTCTTTGTGACTGTTGTTACTATTATGCTGGTTTCAGGAATGCTTTCCAGCTCCAAGTTCTTTGGTGAAAGATCTCCATGATAATGGTTTCAAAGCAATTTGGATGCTTGACCCGGGTATTAAGCATGAACAGGGCTATTTCATATATGACAGTGGTTCCAAAATTGACGGTTGGGTTCAAAATACAAATGGACAGCCATATATTGGTATGTTTCAATCTAAAATAGTGATTACCCTTTTTCTTTATCAGAAGTTATTTTGATATTTGGTTCTACCTGTTTTTTTTTTTTTTATCAGGGGAGGTGTGGCCTGGGCCTTGTGTTTTCCCAGACTTCACACAGTCCAAAGTTCGGTCCTGGTGGGCTAGTTTAGTCAGGGATTTTATTTCCAATGGCGTTGATGGTATATGGAATGATATGAACGAGCCTGCAGTTTTCAAAGTGAGTTTTGTACTTATCTCTATGTGCTTACATTTTCACTATGCGGATTCATGATTGTACTTTCTTACTATTTTCCGGCCTCAGACTGTGACTAAGACAATGCCAGAGAGCAACGTCCATAGAGGAGATGATGACCTTGGAGGTCGCCAGAATCACTTGCATTATCACAATGTATTGTTCTTGGTTCATATTCTTCTTTCACCTATAGATATAAAGCATTTTGTTTGGCTTAGGTGTGATCTCTTTTTCGAGCCGCACGTGTCTTGCCAACGTGTCTAAAAGATACTGCTCAGTTCCTTGCTGACAAGTAAATAATTTCTTATTGTTTAGGTGTATGGCATGCTCATGGCAAGATCAACATTTGAAGGAATGAAATCATCCAACGAAAACAAGCGTCCTTTTGTTCTTACCAGAGCTGGATTTATTGGTAGTCAAAGATATGCTGCTACTTGGACGGGAGATAATCTTTCCAACTGGGAGCATTTGCAAATGTCTATCTCAATGGTACTTCAATTGGTAAGTAATTTTGAAGATCTGGTGTTTGCTTCATAAAAGGTTGGAGTTAAACATGTGTCATTCTTGATGTTATGATATGGGATATTTAGTTATTTACATATTATTTGTTGTTCAGAAGTAAAGTACTATAATTCTCTTCCTTGACCTCCCTTGTCATGTTCTTTTCTAAGAGCTATGAAGTAAATATGCTTTTGGTAATCCATAAATCTGCACTCACTTTATTTACTCAATGCATAGGGTCTCAGTGGTCAGCCACTTTCAGGACCTGACCTTGGTGGGTTTGCTGGGAATGCAACACCAAAGCTCTTTGGAAGGTGGATGGGCATAGGTGCTATGTTTCCATTTTGCCGTGGTCATTCTGAAAAGGGTACGACAGATCATGAACCATGGTCTTTCGGGGAAGAGGTTTGTGCTCCATACTTAAGTAACCTGATGCTCATCTCCTTAGGAAATTTGATGTTAGTGAATTCATATAGAAATGTAATGGGTACACCGGTGGCCACCCCTTTTGTCTTTCGTCAGACAGTACTCAATTCTAAGTTCAGCAGGTATTTTAAGTAAAATGTAAAAGAGACTGATATAGAAATGGGGAACTAGATATTGCCTTTGTAGAAAGTACGATAGGTATATCTTGCTGCATATTTATTTTTGCCGGTTTCGTGCTAAATATTCTGTCCTGCACTTCCAATGGCATCAGTGTGAAGAAGTTTGCCGTCTGGCACTGAGACGGCGTTATCGTCTTCTACCACACATATATACTCTCTTCTATATGTCCCACACAATGGGTACACCGGTGGCCACCCCTACTTTTTTTGCTGGTATGTCTTTTAACTGCGACGATCTCCAGCTCTAAGGAACTTAACGAACTTTTCCACTCTTCTGCGGTCACTAATTGATGTCATTATATTGTGCTTGTAGACCCAAAAGATCCAAGCTTACGGAATCTTGAGAACTCTTTCTTGTTGGGTTCACTTCTTGTCTACTCAAGGTTCTGTTTCTCTTCTCGCCTTCTAGGTTCTGAAAGAATCCTTTAGTAGAAAGTCCAGCTTAGATCCCATTATTCTCCTCCTGCCCTTGGCCTGTTCGTTTTTTGCTGGCTAGGGGTGAATTAAATGTCATTTGGATGGGGGATTCTAGAGAGAGATTGGCTCTGTTTGTTTCAACCAGTAGCACTTTGTAGGAGAAGTTAGATTAAGGAATCAGTCTGAGAATTTAGAAGTTCTTACGATAGTTATATAATTTAGCCAGTAGAGAAAAATTGTGGTTGCTTGCAGAGTTGTAAGTTAATTTTTCTGACTCGTTGATCTAAAAAAGACTAAATAGGTAGGCGTGTGAAATGATCAAATGATATCCGACTTTTTGAATTATGAGGGAAATGGGTAATACTAAAAATCAATAAAGTTTTTTAGTGCTGTGGACTTGATTCACCCACCCTTTAGTTCAATTTTAGTTGTAGACTCCTATCTTTGTTTCAAGAAAACAAATAAAAACATATCCATTGTTACAGTTAATTGACATTACATTTGATGCATTTAACAACATGCTCATTCCAACAATGCACTTCCAAACAACAAATTCTTCTTCATTTGTTTCTGGCTTTTGTATCTGACTGCATTTCAATATGCTCTATAGATGTGAACAAAACATAAGTGGAAGATCTACCAGTAGGATGACAGAGGGAAAACACAGTCCTGTTTGTATACTATTGGCTGTTCTTGTTTCTGTATTCATAAGTGGCTTCCCGCAGTCATTGCCAACATTTTCCTATCACACTATTCTAAATGGATATGGGATGATTGTGTAGTTGCATTCTCTCATGATTCTGTGGGTTTAAGCTTCCTTGTCTGCTATGGCGTCATTGCTTCTGATTGTGTCAACTTCATCAATGAAACCATTCTATTCACCGTTATCCGAGTGATGGTTTCATTGGATGTGCCAGTTCCACTAAATGACTGTCAATTCCAAGTTAATTCCCACGCCAACCAGCTAGAATCTTGTTTTGGTGTTTAGATTGATTGTAAAGAAAATCTTAGTGTCAACGATGGGTTACTCAACTGTGTTGTAATTATTTTACAAATGAAAATGTTAATCAGGTCTATTCATTAAAAGCGTCCTCTGTTTGAAAAGTTAGCATAATCAAGGCACTTTTGAGTCTCCAAGCTTCCTTGCCTGTTCCTGTCTAATGCAGATAAAGGTGCATGTGATATTTTGAGGTCACTGTAAGAGTATATTACTATATTTACAGGTTCCGCCTCAACAGATTCACTATCTGGTGGGTTCTTATGTAGGATAAACTATCTGTGCCGAGATGGTTCTACAGTAGTTTTGTTCTTTTCAATGTTGTGCAAGACAGATAGATAGTCTCCTTTGTATTATTCCCTCCAGAAAGTGGCAGCTTCATGGCACAATCCAGGACATGCTTTCTGATTGCTGATATTGAACTACTGTTAAGCAGGCACAGTTTTAAGTTTTGTTTGTCTTGTATTCAGTACTGTTTCTGACCAGGCAACACATGAAGTGAAGCATATTCTTCCACATGGAATCTGGATGAGATTTGATTTTGACGATGCACATCTGGTATGGTCGTTCAACAGCCTGTTTTGCATTCTATGACAAATCACATTGTCTGCATGTAGAGATGGTGTATCCGTATACATGCCTGCACATACATGTATACACATTATATGTGGTTGCTGCAGCTATCAATGAGGTGCATGTACATTATGGGTTCTTATAGGGTTCCTCTACATCGCAGGATTTGCCAACCTTATACTTGCAAGGTGGTTCAATTGTTCCTTTGGGTCCTCCTTATCAACATGTTGGTGAATCTAATGTATCAGACGACCTGACGATCCTGGTAGCCTTGGATGAAAATGGTAAGTTTCTTCCTTCTCTTTTCTTTGTGGTTTAGAGCATTGTATTCTAGAGAACACAGTGCCTGTAATCTTCTGAAATGGTAAGTTTCTGGAAAGATGGATTGATATTTCTTCTTCTGGAGATTTCCCCCTCTTTGCTTTAGTGTTGTTTGTCTGTGTGCCATTGTTTACTTGGTAATTCTTGTAAGCAATTGTTTTTATATGTTTTTGTGCTGCCAGTAGTATGTGCAAATTCCCTCTTTACATTTGCAGGGGGCGCAAAAGGACAACTATTTGAAGATGATGGTGATAGTTACGATTTCACTAAGGGGGAGTATCTGCTGACACACTATGTCGCAGAACTCAAATCTTCAGTCGTTACTATAAAGGTTTCAAAAACGGAAGGGTTATGGAAAAGGCCCAGTCGTCGTTTGCATGTGCATCTATTGCTGGGTGGGGGAGCAAAGGTATTCATTGCTCTCATGAAAGATAATACCTTACCTGTTCTCTGTAGAGAAAAGATAATTTTTCTAGGCTTCACTCTATCATCCTTGGTTTGTGAGCCTCTTTGATACTTTGGCAGCTTGTTGCACTGGGAATGGATGGGGATGCTATCCAAATTGCAATGCCAACAGCACTTGATGTGTCTGAGTTGGTATCCACTGGCGAGAAACAATACCAAAAACGTCTAGGTAAAGTTGCTCTTCTGGGCATCCTGCTATCTCTCTGTTATTCTATCTTCTTCTGTATTTGTCTGCTTTATTGCAAATAGAACTGTCATGTCTTTTGGTACACTCATTTCCCCTGTCAACTACATTATGGTCCTACAAAGAGTGGTGCCACCCTTTCGTTTCTTGATGAAACTTTCTCCTTGTATTACTTGGTGGAGATTTACATTTACTCTGTAGCTATTTAACATCCTACGCCCAGAGTACCAGATAGGTGCCTAAAGTTATTTGAATTTGTAAATTAAAATATTTGGGAATACCAAACTTTGCTCTTTAATCTTCTTTTTTCTTCCCTTGTCTGGGTGAAGGATTGTATAACCTGTTGCTGCGTCTGTAAGACTCCAACAGCCTGCTGAAGGACGCTAACTATTAGATACTATAAGCCCTTTCTCCTCCATGCTGCCCCCTACAGATAAATGTGATCAGTTGGAAGTATTGCATTTTTTGTTGGTGGTTATTTCTTGTGTGTTTATATTCATTTCAACCATTGTCAAAATGCAGAAAGCTCTAAGCCTATTCCAGATGTGAAAGCGGATACTGGGCCTAAGGGAGCTGAGCTTTCAAGGACTCCTGTTGAACTGAAAAGTGGAGACTGGTCTGTTCAAATAGTTCCCTGGATTGGCGGTAGAATTATTTCTATGAAGCACCTTCCTTCTGGTAATGACTGGAAAACTTTGATCATGCTAGATTATAATATATTGGTAGCTTATTTTGTACCAGTTCTGGGGTCATACCTAAAAACTTAAAGGCCATCTGATTCACAATCCTTACACGAGTATCGAATCAAATTCCACTATAATGCATCATGATCTCTTAGGTATCTCTGTAGTTGTAAGCCGTGAATCAACGTTTAGTGAAAAAGTCCTGGCAACCTATCCCAGCCTCTGTTTTGCTCAAGCAAGTAGGCCTGAGCCCTGAGAACAGAGTTTCTTCAATGAATTATACATTCTCACTCATTATAGAGGATAAATGGATTGGTAAGAAAATGCGACAATCATCTTGTCACTGTTAAAGTAACTACCTTATTCCTTTGATTGAAAGGATACTCTGAGCGAATGGCATGGATGTGGGTATAAGTTGGCGAAGAGGATGCCACTAGACATAGGTTCCATCTTTTAATGGTTCCACGGGTTATGTTATTTGTTCTGAGCGTCTCGTTGCATGTTCCTTATCTTGTACTTTGTTGGCAGGCACACAGTGGCTGCATAGCAGGATTGATGTGGATGGATATGAGGAGTATAGTGGAACTGAGTACCGCTCTGCAGGATGTTCTGAAGCATACAGTGTTATTGAGTAAATTACTGAATCCCTAATTACTTAATCTAGGTTGATAGGAAATTTGGAAGTTGATAAGTGTCATTTGAGTATCACGCTACTTCTCCTCCGCCACTTATCTCTGATATTGTTCCACTTGAGTGAAAAAAAGGAGCCAAAGCTGAGAGTTTAGGTTGATGGCGCTGATGACGCATATTTGTTATTGCTGTGCTGTTAAGTAAGTTTAAAGGAACCTATCATACTTTGTGGGTGGACCAGGAAATAGACGGACACAGTCTAGAGTTTTTCCAAGTGCTAAAAATAAGTTGTAGTTCCCACCTGATATGATAGATTTTAAACGTGATTGGAATGCTTTAAGGATGTGCTAGAAGTTTCATGTGTATTCATCTGGAGTTGGGATGTAATTTTACATTTGGCTTCTGGAAGGATAGCATTTTCCATTGAGCATAGGGAGTCGGAAACTTATTGGCCTTGCAAAGGAATGCTGGTAAATGGAATGGCTTAAGGTTAAATGTGATTGTAGGAACAGTATTTATTGCTCTGGCACATATGGCTTCGAGTTAGAGGTCAGGAGCTCTTTCTACTATATTACTTCCTGGAGATTATATTTGAATATGAAGGCAATCAGACTGATTTTCCTTTTTATGGCAAGATGAGTTCTTTGAGCTTTATATTGGAGAGTTGAAGGGAGACCTGTGTCAATCGAACAACTGTAGTTCTAGTCCAGGAAAGAAGTATTTTTAACTGACTACAAGTGGAACTGGCAAGGATATCCTGCTGCTATTTAGATCCAAATATTCTTTCTTGTAGGCGTGATCTAGTGCATGCAGGAGAAGAGGAATCTCTGATGTTAGAAGGTGACATTGGTGGAGGAGTGATTCTCCAGAGGCATGTATCAATACTCAAGGACAGGCCACAGGTTCTTCAAATTGATTCCGGTATTATAGCTCGCAGTGTAGGTGCTGGATCTGGTGGATTTTCCAGGTACGGTGTCATTTTCTTTCTTTGCTAACACCTTTTAATGATTTGCTTTGGCCAGTACAAATAGAGATGTTTTTGCAGGTTGTATCACATCTGATAACATCCTCCATGGCATCAAGCCTTTGTGCCTTCTCGCTTATCACTGATCTAAACCATACAATGTTGTGTGGTTCAGATAACGTGTTATTTAGGACTCTGCATTTGGAAATAATTATCATATCTAACCTTCAATGAAACACTCATTCGGCAAAGATCACATTGCTGCAAATCGCCTGATTCATGAGTACCAAATATGAAAAATAGTCTGACCATCCATGTGTGGGGATTTTTGTGTTTTTGCTGCGACGTTAAATTTCTACAATTTGGTGTTGTATGTATTTCATTCCACAATTTTCCTTCTGCAAGCCTTGTTGATCCCATCTTCCAATCCTTGGTGACATTGGTAGATGTATTCCATGCTTCAAGAAAGCTAATTTGTGTCCTCGTCTTTGGACCATCGGGATTATCCGCACGAAGCAATGTTTTCACTGTTGATTCATATTTTACAGGCTGGTTTGCTTGAGGGTACATCCCACATTTACTCTCTTGCACCCCACGGAAACTTTCATCTCATTCACTTCCATAGATGGCACAAAGCGTGAAATTTGGCCGGACGCTGGGGATCAGACCTATCAAGGGAATCAGCTTCCAAATGGTAGTCTCGTGTCATATCGTTCTCATATGCTTGTCTCTTGACTAACCGGACATGACTAATTATCCTTCATGCCTAGGGATGAAATTTCGCAGCCTTTGGATTGTCAACGGTCCCGTCAGACAACCTGGGATCAATACTTACTATGTGGGTTTGTTTGTTATCTTCCAGGAGAATGGATGCTGGTGGACAAATGCCTAGGCGTGGGGCTGGTTAATCGGTTCAAGGTGGAAGAGGTATACAAGTGTTATATCCATTGGGGCACTGGAACGGTGAACTTGGAGCTGTGGTCGGAAGACAGGCCGGTCTCGAAGCAATCCCCTCTGACGGTTTCTCATCAATACGAGGTAGCTAGGGTGGCCTCTTCTTAGGTTCTCGTTGCTTTGCTTAGTCAGGGGACTTCGTTTCGCAGTATCAGCTCTTAAGTACTTTCACTGGCCAGTTTGAAATGTTCGCCGAATTCCAAAAATAAGGCACCATATTTCGTATCTGTATCATCCTGAAGACTGAATGATGTCGGATTGTGCGTTGCCGCTACATGTTGCTTGTACCCTACGAAATTGGCTTGGAATTTTAGTTCTTCGCTGCTGACTGTGTTTCGTCCTTAGTTTACTTTTCGGTTCTGAGGAAGGTTGTGTAGTCGTTATTACGTTCTCAAATAATGAGTTTAATCTATTTGTATTCGTAGAAGCACATAACCGACTTTAGCTCAGTTGGTAGAGCGGAGGACTGTAGTGGTTGCCTGCCAGTTAATCCTTAGGTCGCTGGTTCGAATCCGGCAAGTCGGATATATTTTTCATTTTCGAATTTAACAGAACAGCACGGCCCAATGGTCACTAACCAGGCCAGGCCCATTAAGCAACGGCCATAACCGGAATATATTCCCGCCACTGGCGGCAGCTGGTTTGCTCAATGCTGCCTTCTGGCTTCTGCCCTTCTTTCATTTTTTTTCCCATTGAATGGAAATTCTCAACACTCCACAAATCATTATTTTACTCGTATAAACTTTCATTTACAAAATGCGAGCAAAGCACAACCAGAGCCAAGGCACTCTGCATCCACTAGATCAACTAAATGCCAATGCCAAAAACATCCTTAAACAGTCAAACGTAAAGCTCACACGCAGGATTAACAACAGATTAATTTGTTTAGTCTAACAAACCACATTTTTACACTTAACAACTTCCAAACCACATCAATCAATCCCACTCAAATCATATCCAATCCATCTCTAAATCCCGATTCCACACCATCAACCAACCGGAGCTCAATGATACCCGAGCGGCGCCGGAGTCTCCCTCAGCTCATGCCCCTGGTAATGTATATCCGAAGCAAGGTGATTCACATCCCTGTGATGCGCCTCATCAGCTCTCACCACCTCCACCACATCTCTCAGCCTCGCGTCCGCCGGGAGCCGCCAGTAGTCAATGGCGATGGCCGGAGCAGGGACGTTCTCGATGTTGCCCTTGTCCAGCTCCTTCAGAAACTCCGTGTAGGAGTGAATGGCCTCCTCTTCCAAGTAACCCACCATCCTGTGCGCAAACTTGGGGGAGATGACGTATCCCAAGAAGTAGGCGTTGAAGAAGACGCCCTGCACACCGATCACCAGGGCTCTCTCGTACCATTTCGGCTGCGCCACCTCCATGAACGTCATCAGATGCATCCGCTCGTTCTCCGCCTCTTCGAGCAAGGTTCGGATCCATCCGCCGCTGTGCTCGAACCTCCTCAGTGACTTGCAGTGGAGCAGCATCCCTCCCACCATCCCTGGCACCGCCGCCACCGTTTCCAGCATCATTGCTCGGCACCCATATCTCCTCTGTTTATAACATACATAAATTGGGATATCGTCAAATTCCATGTTCACCATCCTAGATAGGCTAACCATAAAACTAATTCTCCCAAAACCCTGAAGTCCTACAGATTATGAGATCAGATTCCATGCCAAAGACTTTGAGCTTGATGATCATTATTGAAGTTGTAGAGTTAGGAGGTCAGATTCATGTTCATGACTAAAAAAAATGGCCTGCCATAGATGAATAACTACCCAAAATTCTCAGAGATCAATCTAGTTGGGAGCTGAAAAAAGGGTACCTGGAAGAACAAATCGGTCGGCCAGCGGAGGGACTTGACAGTCCAGTAGGCGATTTTGTCAATCATGGTAGATGGCTTATGATGCTTCTTCAGATCTATCGATGTGTCTGCTTTGTACGTCTCCCATGGCTTTTCCCCCAAACAAACAAACAAACAAACAAACCCAAGATTTATTCAGCAATCAAAGATCAAGAGAAAGAATCGAAGAAAAAACAGATCCAAGATTCCAATTGAGAATGGCAATTACTACTGACCATGAAGGAATTCCACTTCCACTCAGTTCCATCCTCCTTCCGGATCTTGCGAGTCGGTATGTCCCAGTAACTAACAATCCCCTTCTCCTCGTCTCCGTCCCCGTTCATCCCGCCGCCGGACGCCATCTGTGGCTGCTTCTTCTCTTCCCGCTGTTCCTGCTCCCCGAGCGTCATCGTCGCGAAGGTCCGGTCGCCGCCGGTGGTCGTCGGCGCCATGCCTCTAATCCAAACCCCGACCGCAATCGGAGCCTGCGCCCCACCGCTCGCGATCCCGTTCGAGGCAGCTCGCCGAGCGACGGCGCCTGCTCCTCCGCCAGTCGCCGACGAGAAATTGCGCAGCGCCAGAGCAGCCACACCCAGCCTGCTGGCTCCACCGCGGCCCATCGTATACATCATCGTCGCCGTTCAGATCACCGATCGAACACCAGAGAGAAAGCTCGGCAGTAATTCTAGAGAGAGAATTGTTGGAGGAAGTTTTCGGTAATTCTTCGGAGTAGTGATTGTGTGAGAAAGAATTGAGAAAAGGGGGGTTTTTGGTTTTGCTTGGAGAAGACGATGGGGTTTAAGGGAGGTTTAGCTATTTATATACCCACGCGACTGGGTCGGGTCGGGTCGGGGGTTTCCGGGGCTACATGCTTTGAGCGTATTGATTTGTAGATGGAAATCGGGTCAAGTTATTGGCGGGTTACATGTTGGAGGAGTCAGACGTATGCTCCACAAGCATATGTTTACGTGGCGAGATCTGGGTCGTTGATCAAGAGAGAGGGAGAGACGTATTAATGCTTTTTTCTTTTCCGGTACGTATTTATTTTAGTGATTTTAATAGTTTTCTTGGGTAGCAAGGCGAAACACGTCGGAATGTCTCATTTACCGGTCCAATTAAGTTGCCGGAACTGAACATTCAGGCTAGAGAAGTAACGTTTTCCGAATTTCTGGTAGGAACAATCGAGAACGGAGCCGGTGGCCACCCCATTTATATTATGGGATTGTATTATCTTTCTTTTAACTCGGATTTTCATATTCATTTTAATTTAATATTTATTTTGATTTGATTTTACGTAAAGGAAAAGTCTGAGTCCAAATTTTCAACGACCAAAATTTAATCAGGAAAAGATTGTTTGATTTGAGTATTGAACTTGAATTTATACAAATATAAAAAAACACATACAAATGAGAAAGAGCCAATGAATATACATCGGTAGACCCTAATGGAAGAAGTGATGTCATTTTATCATTTGTGACCAATTGTTGATGTATCTATTAGTCAAGAAATCCATAACCCCGCAACAAGCTTTGTTTATGGAACGAGTGAAAACTTCAAAATTATCATTATGATTTGATTGCTTCTCTTTTCTTTTGTATCTAGAAAAGAGACTGAGTTTTCGGTTTTATCATATTTCTTTCACAAATTATGCTGAATAAATAATATTTTATTTGTTTAATTTGAAAACCTAAACGTTGCAAAAGAATATCCAACTATAGATTTTAAATCTTTAGTTTGTGAAAATAATTCATGCATTTGAAATACGCTTTTTTCAAATAACGAGTTAATGCACAATCAGCCCATGAGTTATGAATTTACTCGCGGGTAAATGACACATTTGGTCACTGAGATTATTAAATTGTGTCATGTTTAGTCACTAGAAAAAACTAATATCAATTTTGGTCACTCGAATTACCGAAACTGGTCAAGTTTAGTCACTCTCCCGTCAGTTTCCGTCCAACTCCATTAATGTAGTTGGACGGAAACTTTTGGGAGAGTGACTAAATGTGACATGTTTCAGTAATCCGAGTGACCAAATGTGACATTTTTCAATAATTCGAGTGACCGGAGTTGGATAGAGGCTCAGAAGAGTGACCAAATGTGACCTGTTTCAGTAATTCGAGTGACCAAAATTGATATTAAATTTTTCTAGTGACTAAATATGACACGATTTAGTAATCTCAATGACCAAATGTGTCATTTACCCGCACTTCCAAAAATTACACCATGGCAACTTGGCAATATGAAATCAGGAGGCAGTGCAAATTTGGAAGATAACGAGGCGAGATAAAAACAACAAACAGTTGGCCTAACTAAGAAATGGCAGTTCTCTCTCTGAGAATCAGCCGTTCTGCTCAGAAGAAGCCAGCCCACAATGCATCCGAGCATCATAACTCTTTCTTTCAGTCAAAATCAATACACATCCAGCCAGCAAGCTGGGCGGAAGAAAAGAACCATAACAAGAATAATAAGGGGTAGCTCTGGCTTCTCCCGGCTTTCGCCTTTCTGGCCTCTTTCTTGAGTCCTCAAATGGCTTCTTCTTCTGGGTCAGCATCATCACAAAATTGCCCGCCATTCGACTTCTCGGCCAAGTACTACTCCTCCTCCAGTAGTGGAAATGGGTGCGTGAGGCAGGGCAGCTTCTTTGAGGGGAAACCCTTGTTGGGACAAGGCGTTGGCTACTCTGTCATTCTTGGCTTCGGTGCCTTCTTTGCCGTCTTCACTTCTTTTCTGGTCAGTAACGTTTCCTACTCCTTTCTGTGTTGTGTTTATCTCTGTTGCTTGCTTTCAGTAATTGGCTGATTTCAGGTGTGGCTGGAGAAGAGATACGTCGGGTTACGCCACACTTCAGAATGGTTCAACACTGCCGGCAGGAACGTCAAAACTGGACTTATCGCCAGTGTCATTGTCTCACAGGCAAATCTCTCTCTTTCTCTCTAAAACACTTTCCATTGATTCCTTGCTCTATGTGTTTCGTTTATGAATTGATGTAATTGGTGAGTGACAGTGGACATCGGCTGCCACAATCTTGCAAAGCTCAAACGTAGCTTGGGAATTTGGAGTGAGTGGACCGTTCTGGTACGCCAGTGGAGCTGCCATTCAGGTCTCTTCTTTTGCCCTAAAGTTTAGATCTTTAAATCTGGGTTGGATGGATTGTTTATGAATTTACGATGCAGGTTCTGTTGTTTGGGGTGATGGCCATAGAGATCAAAAGAAAGGCTCCACATGCACATACAGTGTGCGAGATTGTAAAAGCTCGGTAAATCCTAAAACCATAAACCCTAAGTCAAATCATCTGAAAACACAAGCAAACATTTCTCAACAGATGGGGTACACCTGCACACATTGTGTTCCTCTTCTTCTGCTTCCTCACCAACATCATATTCACGGCTATGCTGCTCCTTGGTGGCTCGGCAGTCGTCAATGCACTCACGGGAGTTAACATCTATGCCGCCAGCTTCCTCATCCCACTTGGAGTCATCGTCTATACCCTTGCTGGCGGCCTCAAGGCCACATTCCTGGCTAGCTACATTCATTCTGTCATTGGTTTGAGTTTCAAATTCTTCAACCATCCACCATTACCAAGTACATAACAATATGGTTGTTCTGACTACTTTTCTCTCGTGTTCTAGTCCATGTAGCACTTGTCATCTTTGTCTACTTAGTCTACACGGCAAGCAGCCAACTTGGCAGTCCGAGTGTGGTATACCGCCGTCTACTGGAAGTGACGAGCAAATCCAGAGCCTGCAATGACCCAATCTCCCTCACTGGCCAAGCATGCGGCCCTGTTAAAGGAAACTACAAAGGTTCTTATCTTACCATGCTCAGTCCTGGAGGCCTTGTCTTTGGCATCATCAACATCGTTGGAAACTTCGGCACTGTTTTCCTTGACAATGTGGGGTATCTATGAACTCTGCATGGAGGTTTTATCCTTGATCTCAGTTTTGTTGGCCTAACAAAACCATGTCATGTGCTTGTCAGGGTTATTGGGTGAGTGCGATAGCTGCAAGACCATCCTCAACACATAAAGGGTACTTGTTGGGAGGCCTGGTTTGGTTTGCTGTCCCTTTCTCTTTAGCAACAGCACTTGGTCTAGGAGCACTCGCCCTTGATCTCCCAATATCTCAGGCAGAAGCAAGCCGTGGACTTGTTCCTCCTGCAACAGCCACTGCTCTAATGGGGAAATCTGGTTCTGTACTCCTTCTCACCATGCTTTTCATGTAAGGAGCCCTTTTACTGTATATTCATTTGTTTGAGCAATGGGAGAAAAGGAAGCTTGACGGCCAAGCTAGCTTCATTTTTTGTCAACAGGGCTGTGACTTCAGCTGGATCATCCGAGCTAATTGCAGTCTCCTCACTATGCACCTACGACATCTACCGTGCCTACATAAACCCAAAAGCGTCAGGTAAACAAATCCTCCGAGTCTCGAGAGCAGTCGTGCTAGGATTCGGATGCTTCATGGGGTTGCTGGCAGTGATACTGAACAAGGCTGGAGTGTCACTTGGTTGGATGTATCTAGCCATGGGAGTGCTTATAGGCTCAGCTGTTATTCCCATTGCTTTGATGCTCCTATGGAGGAAAGCCAACGCAATTGGTGCCATATTGGGAACTGTAATCGGATGTGTTCTAGGTATAACCACGTGGCTATCAGCTACGAGCATCGAGTATGGGAGGATCGATCTTCACACGACTGGCAGGAATGCACCAGCGCTGGCTGGTAATCTGGTTTCTATACTTACTGGAGGAGCTGTACACACTTTGTGCAGTCTGGTGTGGCCTCAGAACTACGAGTGGGATACTACGAGGGAGATTAGCACTGTTGAGAAGGACCGGAGTGAGCTGCCTGCGGAAGAGTTTGGAGAGGAGAAGTTGAAGAGAGCTAAAGCATGGATTGTGAGACGGGGAGTTGCTTTCACTCTTGTCATTGTTGTTGTTTGGCCACTTCTTAGCCTTCCTGCCAGTAAGTTCTGTTTCCCTCTTTTAATTTGGCTAAGATTCTGTATCCGCTGAAATGGAACTGAGAAGATGAGTGTTGTTGTGATAATGGCAGGGGATTTTAACTTAGGTTACTTCACATTCTGGGTTGTGATTGCCATAGCCTGGGGAACCATTGGATCAACAGTGATTATAGCTTTGCCATTGATCGAGAGCTGGGGTACCATCAAGAATGTCTGCCTCGGGATGTTTACAAATGACAGGCTGATGGAGAAGCTTGAAGAGATCGACACGAAGCTGCAGACTATCATACTGACTATCCCTGAAGCTGAGAAAATGTACATGCTTGAGAAGGATAAAGCTACTGCGAAGAAGCGAGAGACGGAACATGAAGCTTAGTTGCTTCTTTGGATTGATCTGAATCGATCACAACCTTGTGTAAATGAGCAAGTAAATCTCAGTTGATGGGGTTTCTACTGTCGAGCAGTTTTAAGTATTGTCGCTGAACCAGTATCATGATATCAGTGAGTAAGTGATACTGCTGCTGTTTATCGTCAATTACCATGAGACCACAAGTATTTGGCATGCAAAAGCTGATCATGCCAGGTTTCTCATTTGATTTCACATGTACAGTCCAGTGTACATTTTGGTTGTTAAAGTATAGCTGGCCAATGGCCAAAATAAGGACAAGGAGAATGTGCAATGAGATTATATTAGAATAACTGTCTCGCTTGAAAGTTGAGATTCTTCAACTCAACTATGTGTTCTCATAGAAAGCATGCATTATAAATTTGTTGGTTGTATGAATGATATGATTCTAAAACAAGTCATCCTGAAGTCAATGACTTCACTTGGTAAAATTAGCATCTTCCTGTTTTAGTAACTAATATAGCTGCAACAAATTGACCTGATATGTTTACACAGACTGAAGAACAAAAGTAGATCCTTGACATCCAAGAAACCAGCTCTGATTATTGCCAATGGAAAAATATTATACAAGATTAACTCGTAAAACAAGAACCCTAACAGAAACTACAGTTGTATCCTATTAGTATTTATACATATATCTCATTCTCATGTACATTTAACAAACTGAGAAGACAACTAATGCAAGAAAAGGTTTACAGATTGAAAGAAAATAAGTTAACAAGAAAAAGAAGACAAGAGGTAAGAACAGATGCCCACACTTCCAGTGCTCAGAAGAAAAAAGGAAAACGAAAGTAAAAGCTGATCTTCACAACCCAGGCCACGCCTAATGAGGCCTCAATCCCCCATCTCAGAAAATTCACTGACCCCTCACCAAATAATCAATTGCGGGCATGCAAGGAATTTCGAAACATGAAACAGGTGAACTGCAGTAATCTTCCCCAATCATATGATATTTTGATCTGCAGAAAGAATGAATGAATAGAATGTAGCACCGCAAAACCCGGGTTGCAGATTCTTAATTCCTTTTCACCATTTAGTACTACCGTGGCCTCAAACTTTGGAAGACATGGAAATGGTCATGGAGTGGCAAGGGCAAAACTCCTGTCTCCAACTCAAAATGTACCATTGGTCATCACCAACTCATCTCTGTGTGTTTACTCGGAATTGGAATCGTAGAATTCACTTGGGCATGGGGTCATGACGTCTGATTCCAGCAACTGAACCACCCTGTGCATCGTGGGGCGATCTTCTGGACTCGAAGATACACATCTGATGGCAACGGAAAGCAGGGCATCAAGACTTTCAGCTTGCAGACCCTCACAATGTGGATCCACTATCTCCTGTTGCCTACTCTCAGATGCCAGATAATTTAACTGCACGCAAACAGATGAAATAGATTAGCAAGAATACTCCAGGAAGACATTGTGCAACCACACTCTAAAATAAGTAAATAACTTCCACGTAAACGCACATAGATAGATGATAAAGAACTGGCACCAGTTACTGTAGACAGTTGAACTCGATCTACCAAGTCCACAAATATCATCAATACATAACAAAGCATCGAGAATACTAATCAGAATTCAGTTTCAGATGATCGTATCTGAATTGAAAACAGAGAGGCCCATTGAAATGAACAAGTGAGATCAAAATAACGGAAACAAAACAAAACCACAGTGTATTCATTGATCAAGGGCGGCAGAAAATTGGAAAGCGGGCCTTTTATAAATTCAGGTCATCCCTTCAGCTAGCACTGTATCTTCAAAGCATGCAGATATTCTCATCAAATTCAAATTATAATCAGTGAATAAGACAGAACTTAACAACTATTTGTCAACCAAAGAGTAGTTTATTAGTTATGCGCGACATTACATGCTAGAAGACTGAGAAGTAACAGGGCTACCAAATTATATCCCATAATGATCAGAAATAACTTTGCAAGAGGCCCTGCTAAAACTTGCCATCACAATCTTAAGAGTACAAAGTGAAGGGACCTACCCAACCAACAATATTGAGACCCTTCTCAATGAATGATGCATCAGTTGGTCGCTTTCCACTTAATACTTCAAGCACCAGCACCCCAAAGCTATAAACATCCGTCTTTTCTGTCGCTCTACCACTTTGCATGTACTCTGCCAATTTATTAAACACGTTAACAGAGTCCATTTCAGAGACAATGCCAATAGAACTACAGCATTCACCTTAACTCACTTAAACACCAAAAACACAATTAAGTCAACTTCAGTATATCGCTGATGCATTTAAGAGATAAACCAAAAACAACTCATTTCTTACAAGCTTCTCAAGTGAGCCATTTCAGTCATCGTCCATTTTTAGGATTGCTTGTACAGAAATTGTGCCATACTTCAACAATTACTAGTTGCAGCCAGTTAAGTCTAAACAAACAGGAAACAAATTACGATAATGTTAAACTGCATACAAAGACCGCTTACCAGGAGCCAAGTAACCAAAGGTTCCAGCAACAATGGTTGTAATGTGTGACTCTTCATCTTCTAACAATTTAGCAAGACCAAAGTCAGACACTCGAGACTCTAAATTGCCATCGAGTAAGATATTGCTTGACTTTATATCTCGATGTATGATCCTAGGGGAACAATCATGATGCAAGTACGCAAGTCCTTTCGCAGCTCCCACAATGATATTCAGGCGTGCATCCCAATCCAGCTGTTCAGATCTTTCTGTATAAGGCATCACATTTTCCAAGCAACAATGAGCTTAAACACATGAGATAGCAACAAGATAAGCATATAAAATCTCAGTACACCAGAGAAATAAGTTCAACGCAGGATTGAATAAATCTTTGACCAACTCAAACTGTACACCTTCGAAATGCAGGGACGGGATAAAGCTTTCAATCAGAATCCCAGTGACCATTACACAAGTCAAACACCTAAGGCTCACTTGGAATTATGACTGGACAATTGATATTGGCACAAGTACAGACTTAATATTTTTTTATTGACCAGCTTCACCCAGCCAAATTAATCACACATAATGTAAGCCAATCCACATTCACACAAGTATAGTCATGGTTAGGTTCAGTCAAGGGTGGAAATGGACAATAACAGAAGACAGCATTCATACTTCATATCCATCTGGTAAAAGGAACTGGACCACAAAAAAGCCAGCTCATTTGTGTTGCGTCTAAGCAAATAATGATACCAGACAAAGCCAGGCGCTGTACCATCATACCAGATAATTCATCAGAGTAACAGTCTAAAGCTTACCATGGAGTACTTCGTCAAGGCTGCCGCCAGGTAGATAGTCATATATCAACAATTTTGATGTTGGAGAATTACAGTATCCTCGCAAATTCACTAGGTGTCTATGTTTTATACTTCCAAGAATCTCAAGCTCCCTCTCAAAGAAGCGGTCAAAGCCTTCATTCATCTTAACAATTCTCTTTAAGGCAAACTCACTGCCATCATCCATTGCCAGCTTATAGACTGTCCCAAAGCCCCCACAACCTATCACATGCTCCTCCGTCAAGGTCTCCAACTTCTTAATAATGTCTTTCGAAGAGTATGGTAAGTCCCCATGAAACATAACAATTGATGCACCTAAGGAAGCAAAATAAGAAAATGTCAAACTTAAGAAAGTTGCAAGTAACAGAACATGGACCCCATATGTGCATGGGATAAATAGTTCATCGCACCTCCGCTAACATCCATTGCAATACTGCTACTTTCATTTCTGCCAAACTTTTTGTAGAGAAAACAGCCCCAGAAGCACATGAGTGCAACAAGGAGCAGAGCACCAATGGTTGCAAATGCACTGACAAGCAACCGTGCAGGGTATTTCTTCTTGCCTCCTTGACCTAGAGCTGTAAACAATGAGCCTCAGAATAGAACTGAAGAACTAGGTCATAGTTACAATATAAAAGACAGACACCAGAGATTGGGTCTCAAGGAACATGGAAAAGGAGGTTTAAAGACAAACAAATTGCATTTGACTAACATCTTAATTTCCAAAAGCCAGGTTCTGAACATCTGGGTGAACAAGTGTTAAGTTTGATGAACAAGATTGAATTGGAAAAGGAACACAAACATTTATGTAAGAAAACTAGTAGCTGGTTATACCTGACAGAGGCCCAGATGAATTATTGGATGGCCCGTTATCATTTTTACAAGCTTCATTGATCTGCTTCCCACACAAACCTTTATTTCCAGCAAACCTAGAAGAAGCATGTTTTAGTCTATAACTATAAGATCCAAATCCATGTATAACTCTGAACACTTGTTTTTAAGAAAGCATGAAACCTCAAACTGCTTCAGATGGAAATTTCAAAAAAGTGTCACAGATACTCATTTATGTAAAGCTACAACAGTGGAAAATAATATTGACTTACGAGCTGTCGGGAAACTTGGTAAGTGAACCCTCTGATGGTATTGGCCCCATGAGAAAGTTATTCGAGACATTGCTTAAAAAGATTAACCAAGAAATCACACAACATTAGAGCTTATTTATGATAATTTCCCATGGAAAACTTGCACTAAGCAGACAACTTAGTTTAAAAAACGTCAACTCACAAATTAACGAGTTTGCTGAGTTTCCCAAGTGACTGGGGAATAGACCCACTAAGTGAGTTGCTTGAGACATCCCTGTGGAATTAATGGACAGAAAGAATAAATGTTCAGTTTCATTATTAAACTACAATAAGCAAGACTCGTAATCTTGCTCTCGCTCTCAAGTAACCTCTTCTATAATACTCCCTCTCTAGAAACTTGGTTCAGCATTTGTAGCAACAATTCTAATACTTGGCTTTACTGGACATTGATAGTACAACACTGACTTTCACAGACGAGCATCCCACTTTTGATGGTTCACTACACAGCATATTAGCCCAATGCTGCCTAGGCAAAATGATCTGTCTAAAATCTACATTGCCAAGGTGACTTGAACGCTAATCTGGAGAGTAGCTTAACCTTTTATCTATCCTACCATACAATTAGGTTCCTTATATATGCAGATGCTTAAAAGATTTCCAAAATATCCAGACTACATAACCCTTCTTTTTCTTCTTCTTTTTTTTATATATTTTCTTCGTCCATCCAAATTGCTAAACAATAACACAGAAATTAGAAAATCCAAAAGAGAAATAAATGAAGTAATAATTTCCAGCATGAAGAAGTTCCTAGCAGAATTAGCAGCTAACTCTATTCAAAACAGAAAGAAACAAATTTTTGTAATTGTAAAAACTGCCTGCAGAGATGTCAAAGACGTCACTGGAGATAAGAACTCACAGGTACTGAAGCTGCGATAGATTTCCCAGCTCATTTGGAATAACTCCGCTCAAGTAGTTACCTTGCAAGTATCTGCATACAACAAAATTCAATTAACTTACATCCGAACCGCATATGAATTTAAAATACACAAAGATGCATACAGACCCTCCCTATAAACTGTGTAACTAAAAAGAGGAGCAAAAAGAAAAGGAATCTACAAATTCCAAATATGAGTTTGGGGTTTAAATTTTAGGGAGGGGCATGCTGAGAAAGCCTATAGTTCCCACCATCAGCTCAAATCCCAGTTAGTGCTTGCACAAGTACAAAGCTATATGGACAGGGTGATTTTCACCATTTCCATTGGCACATCAAATATTCTCAGACCTAAATTAACCTTTTAGTTTCTGAATGATCTGCAGCTGGTGCTAAACTAAGCTACATATAACATTTAGCAATAGAAAAGCCATTACGACGACATAAGTGAATGTAATTAGAGACACTTACAATCCCTGTAACTCGGTGCAATTTCCCAAATCAGAAGGAATATTTCCATAGAAGTTATTGTTATATAGAGCCCTATAGAAGGAAATTTAATCACAACAATGTCACAAACAAATAAGAGTAAATAGTAAGCTAGAAGTAATAAAGTAGTGAATCAGCAAACTGCATACAGAATCCTCAAGCGGTCTAGCTTCCCGAGGTCAGCTGATATAGGTCCACTCAACCTGCGGTCCTTCAGACTCCTGCATCAATGACTTACCACAGTCAAATATATGTCCAACAAACTCACATGGACAAAGTGAGCACTTACATTCTGCAATATGAACTGCATAAAAAGCATATGAGGATTTGAGCATGGAAAATAACAAATCTTTGCATTTCCTACATATACAGAAACGAGATTCTACATCCCGAAATGAACAATGAATGAGAAACGCAAAGAAGCCCATTCAGACAACAAAATCAATCCCATGCCCACTCACTCACTCACAACTCCCTGTCCTTGGTAGCAGAAGTGACAATAGATAACGACAAACCAAAGGAGCCATCCAGTGTATGTGGGACAACCATGATAGCATTAAGAATCACTGACAAATATGAATCAACTACAGCAATCAAACAAAGCACGTGGAGCACTACTCAAGCAAAAAATAAATCCAAACCAATCAATTAAGTAAGTATTAAGATTTCTACACTCACAAATATACCACTCTCTTGGTTATCCGATCACAAGTTACACCTCTCCAACCACATGGGTCGGGATCCTCTGGCCTCCAAAATGAAAGTACAGTGTCTGACCCAACAATGGAATTTTTGAAACTTAGAAGTGCCTCACCTGCACAAATCATAAAACTGACATCAGTTTCTAAATTACAAGCACCGGCACAGCACCCAGAAGTAATCACATCTAAGAGAGCATGTAATGATAAAAAAAAGGCTCTGTTTTCATTCTTTACACAAATATTTTATAGAAACCAGCATGCAGAGGAAGAAACACCTAGCTAGAGAGCGACGAAGCTACTCTAGCAAGTTCAAAAAGAGATGAAACAATGACAAAAATTCAGGTGCAGTCTAGGAATGTGTTTCAGATCACAAACGCTATATTTCCAATGTGAATCAAGTTAAATGGCTCTTTACAACTAAGTTCGACATCTACTGAACGTAAACGTTTTGGGAAAATGAAAAGACTAACACACAACGATAAAGATTCTCATCAAAATATGCAGGACGGAAAGTGTTTCTTTAGAAACTTCACTACAATGACCTAAAGCTGCTTTAACTAAAGAAATGGTAAATGGATCAGCCGAATAACATTACCATCGGGACTGATAGCTCCGCCATTCTGTAAAAGCATGTAAAGCACAAGGGTAGAAGCAAGCCAAGGCCTTAGATGTATCATCTGACAGTTGGCCATAGTGGCACTTGTCAAGCATAATACACCCAGCAGGAATCATCAGACAGGCCAGCTTCAGAATGCTTTCTCTGAAACATCTGTTATCAGTCCAAGTACGACATACTGCAGCTGGATAGTTAAGAAAAGTGTTTCCTGCACGAGAGAGAGAGAGAGAGAGAGAGAGAGAGAGAGAGAGAGAGAGAGATCAAACACTAGATATGTCAAGTTCTGTTCAGCTAAGTTAAGAAACTAGCTGCTCGTTGTTTTGGCTTTCTGAACCATTCTACGTATTTACTAATACGATCACCAATACAACTCTCCTCTCGTGTTATAACACATATTCCATAAGTCCAAAGAAACATGAAGCAAAAACTGTGACGCATAAGAACTTTACCAGATCAAGTTATGGTAGATAAAGCAACAGCGATCACTAAAATTTACTTTTCTCTTGGATCGGGGCTCAGTTGCTAGTACTATCCTTCCGCAGCAACCTGAGAAAACAAATGAAACTAAATAAGAATAGAGAGAATTCAAGAACAGAAGGGGAAAAAACAGAAGAAGAGAAAACAAGAGATGGCTACGAGGCTAGGTTCCGTTGAGGAACGCCAAACCCACAAGAGAAAGAATAAAATTTCAACTGTTAAATCATAGACCCTTGTTATTTTCCCTATCAACCTTAGCCTGACCACTAAAAGCAGCATTCTTTATCCACACAATTGGTTCATTAGGGACATCAATAATGATAATGGCAAAAAATGAATAGTAATAGTAGCAGCAGCAATCAAATTGCTAAATCCAAAACATAAGCACCCATGAGAATGAGACAAGCGGATATAAACAAGTACAATTCCTTGTAGTTTCCAAAGGAAAGCAGAAGTGGGGGTGGAGTGTTTAAGGCTTTAAGCAATGCTAGTTTAAACCAGTTGAAGCCTCATGAACCGTATGTGCAGCTAAAACTCACAGCCAATGCTTATTGAGCAGCTACAAGCCACCGAACATTGCCAAATTCGCATGCTTTTTCCAAAGAAGTAAAGGACATGAACTCCTGATACTTAGACTGAAAATCGAGCACATTCAACAAAGAATCTTTCTCCCCTCCCCAAAAATAATTGATATCCTTCCCCTTGAACAAAGCTCAAAGTTGTGCAGCCCTCATTATGAGTCCAAACGGTGAAAACCAACCCAACCCCAACTTTTCCCTTCACCAATGGAGTAACAGAATCAAGCTGAAGCGAGAAAGTAAAGCAAAAGGCGAGGAGCAGCAGCAGCAGCTGATTGGAGAGCAAAAGACAGAATCAAGCAAGGCTGATGGTGTTCTTAGAAGACCTAATTCCCAGCTCAAGAAGAAACAGTCTTAAAAATCACTGGCCACAGAGTGGTAAACTTAACGGAATCGGAAATGGTAAAGCTGAGAAACGCCTAAAAGCTAAAGACCAAAAGATACGGAAAAGGGCAGGAATTCCATGCAGCAAAAATGGAATATATTAAGAGAGAGGAGCAGAAATCCATGGAAAGGGAAGAGAGGAAATTGCAGGCAGTCACATTGGGGAGAAAGAGCGGAAAAAGGGAGGAGAAGGAAGGAGGTTGCTTACCCTGTTACAGATTCGATCTGCGGAAGAATGGACGAAGAAGAAGAAGAAGAGATTAGGCAAAGCGCAGCAGAGGAAAAGGAATGGAGGAAGTGTGAGAAGGAGAAGAAGAGGGAGTGAGAGAGGGCAGCTTAATGTGTTTTTGTCTGTGTGAGCTGTAAAGCGATATACATATACCAAACCCAAAACAAAAATCCAGAAAGGAAAACCCCTCCACGAAATAATAATTTAGGTAAGGAATAAAAAAGAGAAAAATCAAGAAAGTGTTCTCCCAAAATTCTTTCTTTTTTTCCTTTTTAATTTTGGGGGGAAACGTTAGATTTTATATTAAATTACATATATATATTTGTGGGATGGAGGTTGATATTATCGGATTGAGACATAGTAAATTTAGATGGATCATTCGTATCATACTATTCTTCTGAGAGAGCAATGGTTGGAATTATGACGATGTGGGATTGACAGGATCTATTATTTGTGCCTACAGCCCTACACCATCAATCTAGAAAGTTGCTCGATCACTCGTGCGGAAACACAGAGGGGATATTGAGGATCTCCAATTAGCCTGGCAGTTTGGACACCAGAAGCTAGCTTTACAGATGCATTCGACGACAATAATATTCATCTTAACGGCGAGGATCAACTGGCATGGTATATTATGCATCTGGGTGGTATCGGCTCACTAGCCCTTGACATATGAACAACAAAACATGCCCTTAACGAGAAGATATTGACTTTCATACAAGTGTTGCATGCCTGTCGTCAACTCGTGTCGTGAGATGTTTGGTCAAGTCCTACAACTAGCGAAACCCTCGTTTTGTGTTGTTGAGACATGTGCCTCTCTATTTACTTTTCTTTCCTGCTTTGAGGTTAGCTCCAGAAGCTGCTTGATATGTTGTTCATTTATTTGACGAAACAGGTGAAAAAAATCGAATAAAAAGTGCTTGTGCGCTTGACCATCTCCTACATATGTATAGGACTGCCCTATCCAGTTTTCCAGCATTGAGATACGTTGCAACCGCTCTACGACTAAGCTATTGAGTAACAACGGGAGATGAGCATGTCTCACATTTATAGGGAAGGAAAATCTCTGGTTGATTGTTTGGCTCATAAGGGTTCCTTTGTCTCGTTCGGTTTTCATTTTATTAAAGTTTCCAACTAAGAGACTAGCCAATGAGTTTTTATGACTTTATGGAGTTTATATAATACCGTCGTATTAGTGTTACATGTCTACACTTTTTTTTTATAAATACAATGAGACGAGTTGGATCGGAGTTCTTTAAAATCAAACCAACTAAATGGGTTCTCCCATTGAAAAAATTTGGTCAAATGCCCACATTTATTTATAAAAAATTCCATATATATTCTGAGTTTTTTAATTATCGGGAATGTGCAAGTTGGTGATGGTGGTGGCCGGTGGGGAAGAGCGAAAGAAAGATGCTCTCGGCCTCTCGCCTGTGCTGCGCTGTGTTTTGATCCCAGGCAAAAACGAATTAAAATTCGAAAACGACGTCATTTCACGTAGCCCAATCTTATTTTGCTTCTCACGTGTGGATCCAGACGTTCCGTTCGTGTCAACCGACCAACGGTTAGTCTGGGTCAAATTTCTTTCCCCGAGTCGGTTAGTTTGGGTCAGAATGGGTTCCCAGGGTCAAACCCAACTGCCCGTTACAACGGCCATCAGATCCCGCCATATTTTGACCCCGAACGCTAATTGACCCAGGCCAAGCTCACGGCCCAAAATTTCACCCTTCAACTTGCTTAGGTTTGGATAGCAGTAACTCGAAATAATGTTGAATCATGCACATTTACTGACTAGGACTCTGACTGCTGCTTCTTCGTACCAAAAGTTCGAACGGCAGAAAGCATGTCATTCTGCAACCTACTGATCAATCCAGCTAGGCCATCATCAGCGCTCTGCATGCTACCAACAAGCCACTTATAATCTGAAGCCGCGGATTCAGATAGCGGTTCCAGGAACTCGCATTTGCTCAAAATCTCGGGAGAAGGTGCTCCACCAACGAGATTCGACTCGAGTTTGGGTTTGCCTTCGTCGAGCTCTTTAGGCATTTCGGGTTGACAGTTACTGTCGAGCATCGAGGGAATTGACCCAGGGATTACCTCCTGCTTGAAGGGCAATGCTCTTGCATTCTGCAGACAGAACTCGATCCACTGGTGAATTAGTGGAGATGGCCCTCTGACTCGTCCCCCGAGCTGGTTTGCTGCTTCAACCCTGGAAGTCGCTGGGACAACCTGCAAGGGAAAGAATAATAAGATTTTTCTGCTAAGGAAGGACATGGGAATGTAAGACAACTGTGATACAGATGGAGATGGGCACTGTTCAAGACTTACCCACAGATCAGCCCACAAGCTAGTCCCAGACTTGGGGACAATAACTGCAACATTCGACATACGCTTTGCAACAGGAAGAACATCACTGCTCCATCCAACCGCTACCCATACATCTCCCACTCCAAATGCTTTTAGATAGTGCGTGCTGTCAAATAGTCGGACCTGGATTCGAATATCTTCAAGTAAGATGCGAGTTACTGCTACTCGAATTATTAACTTCAACTACTTGGTACCTTTTTCATATGAAAAAAAATTGTGAAACAGTGCCATTATGTTTATTGCTTAACCATTAGAAAAGCCTGAGGTTTAAGGATCAAAATCGAGTTACCTGTTTCCCTAGTGACGCCAGATTCTGTAGCACCGCATTCTTTCCTCCAGCGATTTGTGAGTTCATGTCAGTTGTGTTGTAGGAGGCACCCATATATTTTAGGACTGCACCAACAACTTCTCGAGGAGAATCAACCATTGAAATCCTGCCTGCAAGCTCAGGCCGCCATAAATCTGCCCAGTCCTGGAGCAAATGAACTATTTTATATGGTTAACCTCAACAAACATTCATGAAGAGCAAGTACAGTAATTCTGCAATATGTTTAGGATTAAGATGAATTTTTAATGCATGTATGTAGCATTAATTAGTTAAACATGTGTTATACTTCACTACAACGCTGTTGTCGCCAAATTTGAATACTATGCCTCCCTTTCAAGCCATATCTAAGAAAAAGGCTGCTCCATTGTGCCAATAACAAAATGCATTACCTCTATTGGAGCCAATTTATGGTCCTTAAATTTGCTTCTCTTGTATGCTATAACCATACCACCCCATCGATATGGTGCAGCCCATATCTGACCTTCAGGATCCATTTCGCCCTGATGATTCCTGCGAACATATACCTAAGACAAGTTCAGCAGAAAGATCGAGTGAATTCTCTCACATGGTAAATATGAAGAAGCTAGCGAGAACGTGCTGATAAATAAATATCTGTCAATTTCCACAGCTATCTGAGAGGCATCCAAATTCAACAGTGGTCACACTATGGTAACAAAATCCTGTTCAGCACCCTAACCAACTCCTGCCACAAAGTGATGCTTATGCATGTGGGTCTTATCTATTTATCTTTCAATCAATAATGACCTAGTCGGTTTTAGTCAGTTCTCAGCAATAATAAGAATCTAAAGGATGCTATAGCAACCTTACACGGGAATGCCTTCTTAACATAACCTTATCTCCATATTTCCATTGATCCAAATGATTTCAATTCTATCCCAAAGCATGACAGACGAAAATCAAATTACAGTTATTATGGTGGTAGGAAGTTTTCATACACCAAAAGGTTTCAAATCATCATTACCTTCCATTTCTCGCTCAAGCCCTTAAACCAATCCTGATCCTCCACCCCATTCATTGGCTCGATCATTCCCCTTTTGATTGCATAACTCAGCCAGGAGTCACCAACACTGACTAAATCAGCAGCCACAACAGACGTTGCAGCAACTTTGCGTTTCGTGTCGGTTATTGGCACCGATAGATCAGCAAAGATGCTCTCAAGACTTGGTACAAACTTGGTGCTGAACTTTAACCTCTTGCTCTGAGACTGGATGAAATCCTGCAGCGTGAACAGTGATCTTTGAAATCTAAGAAAACCCAACTAAACTGGATCGAAATAAGGGTACATGGAGGCTAAATACAAACTACTACTACCTTGAGCCATGAGGGGGGAACTGAGCCACGAAGAGCAACAACACGTAGAGGAACTGATAAAGCAAATGTCTTCGACTTCCAAGTATCGAATGCAGCTTCAAGCTCCTCATCAACTTCAACTCTCTCCACATTCCCAGATGAAGTTGCATCATCCGGATGAGCTGAATCGTCTGAAACCTCACGACAAACCACCAAAATTCAAACTATCGATAATAGGTAATTCCCTCCAAATTAATGATTTTTTCTGATTAAGCTTACTATCGTACCAATTAAAAAACAAAAATTCGATCACCTGGCGCGGATAATGCAGGGAGAGGACGAGCGGCGGCGATTGCAGCAGGGCAGACGGGGATTCCTGAGAGACGGAGAAAGAGTAGAGCTGATGCCGCAGCAACAAATATGGAGAAAGTCGGAAGTGACGGAGTAGCGGGAGGTTCTTCCGACCGGTGATCGGAGAAGGCGAGTGGTACCGTTCTCCGTCGGTGGTGGAAGAAGGTGGGGATGGGGGAGGGAGAATTGAGGCGCGGAAAGTTGGGATTGGGAGAAGAAGAGGAGAAACGATTAGGGTTTCGATTAAGAGGAGTAGGAGCCGGAGGCAACGCAGAAATGGAGAGTGATTGTGTGGAGAATGCTTCCATTCTGCCACTAGCAGGTGGGAACTGAGAATGGCCGGCGGCAATGCTTGGCGACCTGCAAAGGAAGCGGAGGAAGGCCGACGCTGGACGCTATATGGAGAAGGAACGGCCGGCGGAAATGCTTGGCAAACTGAGAATGGATTTTCGATTAAGTACCTCATTTTTAATAGTCATCCAATTTAGTCTAAAGTTCAGGCTGATGTACTATTTGGGTGTTTTTTCCCCCCGAATAATAAGGGAATATGAAAGAGAAGAAAAAAATTGAAGAAATGAGGAGTATTAAGGCCAAGTCCAATGCAAAACCCCAAATATAGGGGCCTTGAACTCCAAATTTGGGGATTGGACCTCATTTTCCCTTCTTTTGCTCCAATGCAACAAACTCCATATTTGGGGTTCTTAATATTTCCAGTTTTTCCATTTATTGAAAAATGTACTTATCGAAATTTTAACATAATTTGTTCATGTTAATTTTTGTATAGTTCGTCATCATTTTTAAATACAAATTTTTCGATTGAATTTTGTTAAATTTCGAGACCGAATTTTTTTTAGCAAAAAATTATGGACCTAATTTGGGTTTACACACAACACTTGCTAATCATAAAGCTTAAATATTACACACAACACTTGAAAATGATAAAGTTTAAAAATAACACACAACACTTGAAATGATAACACTAGAAAAAAAGCCTAAATACAAAAATATTAAACACAAATTAAATACAATCTAAAAAGCCTAAATACAAACATAAATTTAATTCCCCTTCCCCTAATTAATTCAATTTAATTCCCCTTCCCCTAATTAATTACAACTCCTTTAATAATTCCTCTAATTAACTCGGCAATAATTAATTATAATTGCCTTAATCAGATTCCCTAATTAATTACAACTAATGGCTAATTATTGGGACGGTACAAAATTCTCTAGGGAGGAGGCAAAATTTATGGCTTGGGGGAATTATTTGGACACGGGTTGGAGGGAGGATTGGAATGGCGGCACATCCGCCGGGGCTGGGTGGTGCGCCGCACGCGCAAGGGAGAGACTCTCTCCCTTGCGCGTGCGGCGCACCGCCCAGCCCCGGCGGCTGTGCCGCCCTCGGCCTCCATAAATGCCGAAATCGGCAAACGCTCCCCCATATATAGCGATCCAATTGCCGATCGCCTCCATAATTGCCGATTTTCGGCATTTATTTCTCTGCGTTGGAACTCCCCGATCGTCATTAATGCCGACAACCCCATAAATGCAGGCTGCATTGGACTCAGCCTAAGGTTATGAATCTCCCTTATATTTCAATGAGGTCATCAACCCGGAGGAAATATCGAATCAAAAAAGCATCAATATAAATATGATCGATTCAAAAAAATGGGTAAATGATATGAAACTTGTTGACCGTAAAGGTCCGTGTTCTTACCACATTTGAATTAAGAAACAAGTTATTGAGTCAATTGCAAAGAGATTAGAGAGTCGTGCCAAGTATTGATGAACTCGTCCATTTTGTCTTCTTTGCATGGTGTTTAGTAGTTGCCATAGAAACTAGAAAGAGTGTCGTCTATATGTGCAATCAAAGTAAATGTAACGCAAACTTTTGACTCCATGGATTGTAATTTATTGTTTATGGTCATGTATGTAATAGGCTTTCGGGAGAAGTTTGTTTTTTGGATTCACATATGATGTCAACTAAGAGGCATGTGGATACTTCATGCTCAAAAGGGTTTGCTCCACGTTAACCCTTTATCATCGTCTCTCTTTACCATCAACATGAAATATCTTTCCATCATTTTTAGTTAAGCTTATACCTTTACGGACCGCTCGTAGTATCCACAATGTAAGAATGTCGATTTAACTAGGGGTGTTCAAACGGTTTGGTTACCATGGTAACCATATTAACCGGTAGTATTTGGCTAATTTGGTTTGGTTAATTTCGATAATTGGTTTGGTTTGGTTAAAAAATTTAGCTTGTTTGGTTTAGGTGGTTTGGTTTGATTTCAGGCACTCCTAACCAATCAAACCAAATTAACCAGTTAAGTAATTTGTCATATATCTAATATATATTATATACACATACTTAATACTTTGCATAACCACTCAAGAGTCAAATGTAAGATAATTGTATTTGTTACATGTATTTATGTTAAGACCTTAACTATAATTATGTGGATTGTTATGTGTTTTTCATTATATAAATTGCAAATTGATGCACTAACTGAAATTTTTTTTCACTTAATGATAATGTGGTGTTATAATGGTTATTTTGGTTAACCAATTAACCAAACCGAATAAACTTTAGTTTGGTTAATTTGGTTGTTGTATTAGTTTGGACGGTTTGGTTATGATATTGTATTCCATGTTTAATAGATTTTAGACTTATTTGGTTTGGTTATTACCATGGTAACCATTTGAACACCCCTAGATTTAACTGATTAACTTGTGCTTTGGTGATGATTTACTTATACTGGATCTGTGCATACTCCGGACAAGTTAAAACAACTCCCTCTTTAAGTTTTATGATTTTACGGGCTGTCATGTAATCTCGCGAAGTGTGTAACATATTTTAGAGGGGAGTGGACAAACTGTAAGGCTATCACTCTAAGGCGCATAATCGGATTTTAAAACGAGGTCATTATTTGTTTGTTACTTAAGACTCCCTTTAATTATTAGTAAAAATATGTTTGTTTTGGTTGTAAAAACTTTGTTTTTGGATGCACAATTTGTACATTCAAAATATAAGCTATAAATTGAGCTGCAAATTTGGAGGAAGAAAATACAATTGTTTTTTCACAGTCCAATGGACTTTGAAAATAGACCAGACCGTTTGAAAAACCGTGGTTCAAACCGTACCGCACAGTTTGGTTTGGACCGTAGACCGTCAAGTATGGTCTGGTCTGGTCCATGGTCTGTCTTATTTTATGTTTTGATCTCTTGGTCTGGTCTGGTCTAGACCGCGGTTTACCGAACCAAACCGTGGACCCAACTGACTTGTCAATACGTGTTAACAACCCATTCGACCACTCTCCCAACTCCCACAACGACACCCAAGTCTCAACCTTAGTTTTGTGAATATCGTCCCTCCTTCATTCACAACCACATTTAACCAGAGAGTAGAGATAATCGTGTCTCTATATGACATTATGTTAATGTCATGACGTTATGGTGCAAGTTGGGATGCTTTTACTTTGTATCTTTGTTATGTACTAAGATTTAGAGTATCAAAATTATTCATGCATGTTAGGATTAATGTTTTAAGACAAATAACAATTATTTTTCTTGGTTATTGGTTCAATTTTTTGTGTGGTTGGCTAAACAAATTATTCATTTTCGTTGAGTGTGGTCTATCTGGACCAGACCAGACCGAACCAGACCGTACAGGTGTGGTCTGGACCGGACCGTATAGTTTATGGTCTGGTCTGTAGTCTATACTTTAACCTCTCGGTCTGGACCATAGACCGTATATATGGTCTGGTCTGAACCAGACCGCACCGTTTCCCAGCCCTCTCCATAGCCGATTACCTACTTCAAAAAGTTATCTATATCATCCAAATCCAAATGACCCAATTTTCTTCTAAAGTAAAAATATTCAATTCATTAGGAGATTTAATTAATCCGAGAAAAGAAGGATTTTTGGTTTATGGGCTGAATCGACTATGTATGAGTTACCCGACAGAAAGGACAGTTACTGCTTTCCCTCTTTTCCCCCTCTCCTCTCTTCTCCCGCTGTTTCTGTCTGTCTTCTTCTTCCTTCCCCACCTTTCTACTCACTTTTCCCTCTCTCAGCTTTCTCTCCGCGTAGACAGAGATTCGCCAATAAGAAATCTCGCCCATCTCCACCCAACAGAAACCTTAGCCGCAGAGACCAAAACTTTTGTTTCCTGGAGTTGGTGGTTACTTAGTAGGTGGAGCTGGTAGAAGGGCGTTTGAGGCGCTTGGAGGGCGGGAGCGCTGACCATGGAAGCCATCAAGAAGCAAGCTGCTAAGCTAAGAGAGCAAGTTGCCAAGCAGCAACAGGTCTTTCCTTTCTTTCTTTTGCTGGGTTTTGATTTTGGTTTCCAGAAAGGGGCTCGCAACTCAATTCCCCAATAAATACTGTTCTCTCTTTTTGATGTATGGACCCTCTTACTATACTTCACTCATCTTCACTGAAAATTCTACAGTAAGAGCTGGCTTTGGATTCTGCTCCCCTTTTGGATGGTTACTCTTTTAATTGAAAACTTTGTATTCTTGGAATTCGCTGTGTGCTTTAGCTGCAGGCCCAAAGCTAGGTTGGTTGTGGTTTAGTTTCATTGATGATTACTGTTTTTTGTGAATTGGGTAGAAAGTGGAAATGGTTTCCTCTCTGGGTCTCTCGCTCTTTCATACCATGCTTAACTTGCCAGGTCTCAATCGGTCCAAAACTCTTTTTTGTCATCTTTCATCCCTTTATCAAATTCCTTCATTGGATCTACTTTCGGCGGACATTGACTCATTTTTCAATCCTTAAACTGGGCTCAGAACCTTGTTGTAGTAGTAGTAAACCTTGCCACCAGTTAGTTTCACCGATTGACTTGCCATTATGAAGTAATTGAGAGCTGAAAGCGATTACTATAGCAAATTAGCAAGCTTTTGGGTTGAAACTTGAAAGTTATCTTCTTCACGAACGAAAACCAGAATGTGGGTAGTGATAAAGCTGCCAAATAAATTGGCTCTGGCCTCCGGTGGAAGGTCATTGTCTTCATATTGGTATTGCTGAATTCGACCGTAAATGTATGAATCAGAGTTAAATTGATTTTGAATCATTCTACAATCTCCCTAAATTGCTTCTGATATACCTAGTTCTATGTGCATGATTCAATGTTGAGTGGGAATGAGGTAAATAGAAAGGTAGCAAGCTGATCAAATTACATGACTTATTATATAGAATGGTATTATTACAGGCAGTACTGAAACATTTGGGACATTTTGGACAAGATTCTATAGTTCTTGATGAAGCTGAGCTGCAATGTTACCAACATCTACAAAACCTTTACAATTCTACTAGGACAGCAAAGGTACAACAGTGCCCTCTTTCATAACTATATTTCAAAGATCTCTACTATTCCTGATATTGGCTCTGATATGTCCACAAAGATGCTGACGCATGAGCTTTGCAAGACAGTTTCAATCTATATGAACTCGAAATTTGTTTCCCCCCTGCAGCATTTACAGAAGAATATAGTTCGTGGAGTTGAAGGTTACATTTCTGCGGGTTCGAAGGAAATGGAGATAGGTCAGTTGTCAGTATTAGTAGAGCTTTCTTACTGTTGCACTCGTCTCTTCCATAAGATTGTCACTTTTGACGCCTGAGTTCCTTGTTTTAGCAAGAAAGTTGGCTGCTGACTGTTGCAAATATGGAGATGATGGACAATGCACAGATCCTCATGTTTCCAAAGCTGTTAGTCAATTTGGTGCCTCGCACACTTCAATGGAGGGTGAAAGAGAAACATTGCTTGGGGTTCTTAGTGGTCAGGTAAGTCATTCATCTGATGCTGTGAGCCTTTATAGAAGAGCATAATGTGACTCTCTTGGATGGAGCCCACTTTATGAAACGAAAGCATAACTGAACTTATTCTCAGCCGATACATCCCTGCATTTGTTTTGTACATTTCAAATGATATAGAACTACCAAGTGAACCTGTGTAACTGCAGTTCTTATGCCACTGACAACTAGAACACATCCCTATGGTCATGTCTGTTGCTTAGGAGAAGAACCAAAAGATGAATAACTTATTTGCAATTTTAAGGTAGCAAGTCGTGTTACAGATATTAGATTTTTGAGTTTATTAGTTTGTTTCTCTAATTGGATTACAGATCTATAATGTCTAGGTTTCTGAGCCGCTCCGGGCGTTAATAACTGGAGCCCCTCTGGAGGATGCTCGTCACTTGGTGCACCGGTATGACAAGCTTCGCCAGGAAGTTGAGGCTCAGGTGATATCTTATTTGTGTGGTTGTCTGACAGGGCTATTTCAAAGCTTTTCCTTTTTTCTTTTCATTATATTCTCTCTCTGTCTCTTCAGGCTGCCGATGTAATGAGGCGTCGCTCAAAGACTAAGGATTCTGATATAACTGCAGAGAATTCCATGAAGCTCCGAGCTGCTGAAACTAGGTTGACCGAGCTTAAATCTAGTATGGTGGCACTTGGGAGAGAAGCAACTGATGCCATGTCTTCGGTTGAAAATCAACAGCAAGAGATCACGAGTCAGCGGCTCTTTGCCATGGTAAGTTACCGTCTCAGCAACTGATTTCCTTGTAAACAACCAGCTCAGTGTCAGTATGAGCTGGAACTAAAGAGGGTGATATAAACTGTGTGATGATATCTGCACTGGATCAAGCTCTGGTTCGTTTTACTCCCTCATATGGACATTAAACTTCAATTTCAGGTGGATGCAGAGAGATGCTATCATCAACATGTTCTTGGTATCCTAGAAAAGTTGCATGCTGAGGTTTGTAGATGCTCACTTGAATCTAAATTTTTTTTATAGCTCATTGGCCACTAGTTTCATAAACTGTTTTGGCCAGACCATGTTTGACTCATGTTTCAGCAGCGTTCATCTTTGTTTCAATGCTTTTCTATTTATACCCATTCTGAAAGAGGTTCTGACTGGCATAATGCACATGTGTGCTCATTCGGATAGATGACTTCAGAGGAGCAATCCTATGAGTCCACTTCACAAACAGTGGCTGCAGAGAAAGAAGCTAATCTTCCAACTCAGCAGGAGTACAGTATCACTAATGGAACAACAGACGATGCTACTAGCTTAAAGGATGCACTATTCATAGCCAAGGTAGGTCATTGAGGAAACTATCTGCCATTCCGTGTTCATCACTGTTGTTCTTGCTCTCGGTCCATTCTCCATTAGCTAGAACAGGTGGATAAATTTTTTCTTGCCAGGTTGTACACCCATTTGATGCAGACGCAGAAGGGGAATTGAGTCTATCGGTCAATGACTATGTCATAGTTCGGCAGGTACTGCATCAGTTGCAGCTTGAAACTTGCCCTCACTCTTATCGACATAGTTCCCATGTCTTAAGTTCTTGCTTCTGTTTGGTTTTGCTCCAGGTGGCCCCTACGGGTTGGTCGGAAGGGGAATGCAGAGGGAAGGCTGGATGGTTCCCTTCCGCTTACGTGCAGAAAGAGGAGAAAGCACCTGCAAACATGATGTTGGAAACAGAGTCATCGTCGAAGTCTTGAATCCCATAAAAAAAACCCAACAAGAAGAAGAGTCGGTGTACGAAATGTCGGTTGTATTGTATATGATGTATCTTAATTTCTTCCCACACACCATCATGTGCTGGTGCTGTCCAATCTCTGTAATGTGTATTATTGTTGATGGAATGCTGGAACAATAATTGCATCACTTGTAAGGCTCTGTATGTATTCTTTTATAGATACACGGGTTAGAAGAGAGGGAGAGACCAGTTTGAAACTGTAAATTTACGGAATTGATTGCAGAAATTTAGCTCAGTATTCATAATGGCTTCTTACTTCTGTTCCAGAGCTCAAGCAATGTCTGAGACTACTCTTCTTCACACAAATTACAGCACCCAGATACTCACAAAGGGCAAGCATATATGCTGTTCCAAGTCCAACAGAGCTCTAATTATACTAACCATCAAACATCAATTGGTTTCCAATCAATTGGTTCCAAGGATAGCAAATTCAAGACAGCAAAATTGGCACAAGAAGAACACAAACACATTGCATTTCACAAGGCATCCAGTTTTAGTAAGCATTACAACCAAAAGAGAGATTAGAAGGTAATCACGACTATATGCTTGTTCTACACACATACTAATACTAATATATCTGTATACCGTATCCACCATTTCTTCCATGTATGGAATTGATATGATATGCAAGCAAAACCAGTTAGGAACGAACTAACTATTTTGAAGTCACATCATCATCATCATCACCTAGACCATCATCATCCTCTTCAGTCCTGTGATGGTAGCTCATCCTCGCCGCTGCTTGTTTTGCCCACTTCACAATTTTCTCTGCCTCCTTGTTGATTCTCTCTTCTTCTTTCATGGCCTTCCTAAGTATCTTCTCCTGCTCTTTAGCTCAAAATATTCCTAAATCAGACAACAACTCATCTCCTCCATCGTTTCCCCAATCCAAATCCAGATCCCAGTTCTCTTTACTCTTCTTCCTGGTGGGTTTCTTGGGAGAGCACCAAAAACATCCTGGTTTACGTGGAGGAGAAGGCGAATCCCGGGAACAATTGGACAATCCCAAAGGAGAACCAATGAACGGCTTCGACTTCAATTTTGAGTTCGAATTGGAGCTCTTCCTCATCATCCTATTCCCCTTTTCTTCAGATTGAGAGTAAATAACATCTCCAATGCAGGAATTGGAAGAATCAGAAGGAGAGGAAACAGACCCACGTTTGAATTGCTTCCTGGAATCCTTCACCGGAACTGGATTCTCCGAGAAACCCTCTTCATCCGCCGAAGAACTCGAGGAATTCAGGGGAGAAGAAGCCTTTGCCGCAGCAGCAGCAATTTTTGGCACTTTCCCATCGCTTGGGTTCACTCTTCCCTCGTCGGAAGGGCTCTCAACTCCCTCGTCAAACCCTTTTCCGCTTCGACGATGAAGCTCGCTCTTTGAATTGGAGAGGTATTTGGGGACGGCACCGGTGGCGGCGGCGGGTCTGGTTGAGGAAGCAGGGAAAGATTTGAGCTTGCGGAAGCGGGTTTCCAAATCGGAGGGGAGAAGCGAATCGCTGATTCCGGAGCAGTTGATTTTGGAGACTTGTTCGAGGACGCAGAGGTCCTGGGTCTGGGAGATGAGCTCATCGACGGCGGAATCGTCGGTGTCGGAGAGGTTCCCGAAGTCGAAATCCGCCATTTTTTTCCCTTTCTAGAGAGGTAAGGAAAAAGTGAGTGAGTGAGTGGGTTTTTCGAGCCTTTCTAGGAAGCCATGATTGGAGCTGTGGCGGTGGGTTTGAAAATGAAGACAATGATCGCGGTTAGGGAAAGGTGGAGCCTGGAGCGTTCTCTCTGCTGCTGTGCTTGTTGCAGTGGCTGGTTTAACGGCTATCTGGGAGAAATAAATCGTGCTCTTCTGCTACCTTTTGGCTTTTTGCGGACATTTCCAAATGTGACCCCACTTTCACAATCTTAGATGGGCCCCGCCAGTTTTGATGGGAAATTATGAAATGAAGGTTGACAAACTAGTAGTGTATGTCGCGTCGGTGGCAATTTCACAACGTAGAATGATTTGATTGTGGTATAACGAATTTATACTGGTTTTTGTAGTTTTTTGTCAAAATATTCGAATAGAACATGACTTATATAACCATCACAAAACTTGTACTATTTCGTCTGATACCGCTGGATCGAGGAATCGAGATATATAGGATCGAATATAATGTGATTCGATCTTTGGTCTCGTAAATCTTATTAAATTGAAAAAAAATGTACTGAGTTGATTTATATACTGGGCCAAACCAGCGAATACAATGGTGGTTCAGTCCTTTATCCTAAAATGTATTTCACTATTGAACCGCGATTCTTGTGAGTTTCATCCCGATCGGACTGAGCCCAACCGTTGCACAAGCACAATCCTACCTAAGATGGTAGTAAGACCACACTTATGATGGTAGTAAGACCACTTGTAATAATAGTAAAACTATATTTACTTACAATCTCTGAAAAGTTGAAGCAAAAGTTGGTCAAGAAAATAAATTGATCAACCAAAATTACTGCTAAATTTTCATGATATATGGCTGATCATAATTTGCACTCGAAATGCCGAACCCTAAAATACAAGCCACATACACGTACATATACAAATAAGTACCTCCATAAATATTTACAAAGCAGAAGTAGGAGGATCACGCAAGAACTAAAACACAAATTAAGTACCATAATCTACACTTTGACACCACTCCCCTCGAACCCAAAACCAGTCCTTGCTACACCTTCTTCGCCGTGGCGGCGGCCGGAGCCGATTTCCGGTAGCCAGAACCTCGGCTGCCGTCGACCATCCTCCTACCTTTGGTATTAGGGGAAGCCCCAAACCTGGAAGAAGACTTGGCCGACGGCGGCCACTGACCACAGCTCACAGCCATGTCGCTGTACTGCTGGAGAGCTACGAGAGCATCGACGACGGCCGGCATTTTGGGCCTGTCCTTTGGGTTCAAGCTCACGCACTGGGCCGCCAGATGGGCCAGCAGCCTGGCCCCTTTCACCGAGTACTGCCCGGCAAATCTCGGGTCCACGATGTAGCGGAGCCGCCTGCTGCTCCCTCCGCTGAGGTATGGCTTGGCCCAGTCGATCAGGTTCAGCTCGGGCTTGGGCCTCGACTTGTCCATGGCCCGCCTCCCCGTGAGCAGCTCCAGCAAAACGACGCCGAAGCTGTAGACGTCGCTCTTGGTCGTCAGGTGGCCCGTGGAGACGTACTCGGGCGCTGCGTAGCCGTAGGTTCCCATCACTCGGGTGGTGACGTGGGACTTTGATCCTTCTGGGCCCATCGTCGCCAGCCCAAAATCTGACAGCTTCGCCGTGAAATCCTGCAGGCCAGCCCAAGAAACAATCTCAAGAATTGCTTTCTAGTACGGTAGTACCATATGATGACTACTTTAATTATTGTTTTTGACTATGAGAAAAGCCAATCAACATTTTACAAATAAGGATAATATTAATAATGTAGCACTTACGGAGTCAAGAAGGACGTTGGAGGTTTTGAAGTCGCGATAGATGACCGGACTTTCAGCGCCGTGCAAGAAGGCCAGACCCTTGGCTGCGCCGATCGCTATCTTCAATCTTGTTCCCCATGGCAACGTCATCGACAGTCCTGCAATTATATGATGCATGTTTATAAGTACGGAGTATTAATTGGGATTTAAGCAGATTCAACGCGAGGTACCAAATGGAGAGATTAATATAAATCGGGGAGTACTTCTGAACAAATGATTCTCCAAACTGCCCCGGGGCATGAACTCGTAGACCAACAGACGGTCTTCCTCCTCGCAGCAGTACCCTATCAGCTTCACCAAGTTTGGGTGCCGAAGCTGCCCTAGAAATATCACTTCTGCCTGCAAATCGTACGTAAACCATCGAGGATTAATTATTCATTAAGCAAATGAGTAAATTTGATTAAGGAATAAATTACCAGTTAAGTAGTTAACCACTTACTAGCCATTCACGGTGGCCTTGGAGGCCTTCAATGTCGAGGAGCTTCACAGCAACAGGCTGGGCCTTAAGCCCATGCCGCAAGCTCTCGTCCACGTACCCCTTATGCACCCGCCCGAACCCGCCTTCCCCAAGCAAGAAATGGGCCGAGAAGTTCTGGGTAACGGCCCGCAGCTCGCTGAGCTGGAAGTCGTAGAGGTCCGGCCCAAACGACTGGGCCAGATCCTCCGCTATCCTCACCGACGACGACCTGCTGACGTCGGAGAACGACAGCTTCCTGAACGACGGCAGCGGGGCCACGTTCTTCGAGAATTCCGACCGTGACGGCCGGCACCGGCTGAAGTTGCCGCAGAACAGGGTGTCGCCTTCGTCCACCGCGCAGCACGATTTCGCCGTGAGAGGGCGCCACGTGGGCTTAGAGGAGGAGTCCTTCTCCTTCATTGTTTTTCTGGGATGGATTGAGTGATAATATTGGGAGTTTGGGGGTGGTGGCTGCAGCCTGCAGGTGGGTTGGATTTGGTAATGTTGATATATAGGGTGGAATAAAGGGTTCCATTCCTTTTCTGCAACTGCTCTAACCACTCTACTAGAAAAGGAGGAATGATAATTATATTGTGTAAAGGGTGTAACGTATTCAATGTTCTACGAGCTTGGTTGCTAGCTAGCGATATTCTTCTACAATGTATGGGTTTGTCATGTAACGTGGTGTCGTGATGCGGAAATTTAAAGTGCAGGTAGTTTTGACCACCAGCATTCGCATCAACAAACAACAAAGACATGTATCTTTTCAAGCAAAAAGAAATCAACAATGACATGAAGCCACAGCCCATACAGCTAAGCCAAAGTATCATAAACTGCGAGGGAGATCAATCAGGTAGTTTGCATGCTGACTGTTTGAGGGAATGCGATGATGAAAGCATATGCATAACTTTCTGTTTTCTAATCATCCACTCAAATTATGTGTGTTTCTGGAGCAGTTGCAGATGAATTTCGGGGCATATATGAATGGAATGGAAGGATGATGTCTACACTTTTGTGCTTACATACTGTTTCTCTACTCCACTTTGTCAACCAAACATCATTATCCTCTGCTAATCTAATTCCCTCTTCTTTTTTTTTTTTTATGGTTTAATAAGCAAACAAAAGGGTGTTCTCACTTTGGATACTCCATTTAACCGGGATGTAAAATTCTGAATCGATAACAAAGATTAGTAAAGGGTTATGTCCCTTGTTTTTTTCGCTACACAACAGTTAACAAGACATTCTGCAATCTAGAAACCAACGATCCATCTGCAGATGGCCTAGAGATGCAAAGCAGGTTCCAGGGGCAGCTAGTATGCATTACACCCTTGTACTCTATTGGGCGGCATCTTCGGAAAACCTGGCATCAAAAGGAGGTGGAGGAGTGTGAGGATGATGACTAGCAGCAGATGCAGCTCCAGAACCATGTTGCAGTTCAATGACCAGCCACCTTACAGCCTTGCTCATCTGCTCCAACCGAACTGCACTTATTGGATGTAGGCCAGTTGGCCCGCTCTGCCCAGGCTTCCCACTAACAGCTCCACTCCCTGTTCCTGTAGCTTCATCCACCAAGCACTCACTCCCTATCCTTTGCCTCACTGACTCCACGAGCTCCTCCGCTTGATCACAAGCCACCCTAAACAGTTCCCACTTCTGCTTGAAGTTCTCCAATGAGTTGTCGGTAGCTATTGTCTTCTGCGCACTGGATAACTCTTTCGTCTCGAGCACACTCGCTGCTGCAGCAACGAATTCCTGATATGCATTGTTCATGTTATCCACCATATCATCCATTACATGAACCTTCAACTGCAAAAACAGGAAAGCAAGCGCATATGGGTTTTATTAGTTAGCTAATCAATTTGTGATCACCACGGAAACAAAATAAAAATCCAACAACCATTCAAGGATGACAACATATTCGTGAACCAAAATGACAAGCAGTCACATTTTGTTATTCAACCTGACAATCTGCATGCACTCTCATGAGGCATGATGGACGGTCCACATAAGGACTCAACCGCTTCCAATGCCCACTAATGGCAAATATGCAGTAATTAAATTAGCTAACAGGAAAAGGCAAAGGATAGTAATTCCTCTATAAAATTTCATATCAGAACAACGTCCAGAATTTTACCTTCATTGAATGGTCATCAAACATATGAAAGAAAACCCCCTCGGCCCTTTGCCGTTTCATCAAATTAGTCTTACACATCGAAGACATTCCACAAACCAATGGGCTCAGGCCCCTATCATTTTATCCCTATATCCTTACTCATCAGCATTCATCACAATCGTTTCACACGTTCAAAGGAAAGCACAAATCAATGGCCCAGAAGCCCCTTGCCAAGTGACCTTAATTGTCTGGACCCATCTAAGGAAAAACATGACTTCAACCTGCCATATATTCTTATCCATCCAGCAATAGACACGGTGATCCAATGGGGAACAGTTAAGCCCAAATCAAAGACTAAACCAAGAAGTTGCAATCACCATCTTTTCAGTGTCATCATGCTCTAAGTAAAAAAGAAAGGTGAGATAACAGTTAACAGTTTGCTCAGACATTAACATGTTGAAACAGAAGAACCTCATATCCATATCACAAGCTTTTTTCACCAATTTATGGTCTACTAAATCAGTAGAGAATTAGTGGACAAAGAAATCTCCGCCTTTAGCTAAAATCTCTGACAAAGTGAGAATCTTTATGGCTAATCGAGGGAACAAAAGCTCAACGGTTAACAACAGATCGAAAGCTTCAATCACATCATATAAACAAAATAAGTCATGGGGATTTTGGACCCTATCATATTGAACAATACCTTCCTTGACTCATGATAGGAAGCCACAATGATAATGAATTACAAAAGCAGATCACTGTCCAACCAAAAAGATCTTTTTCATAACGACTTCAACAATTCAAGTATGTTTGCAAAAAGCAGGGGACAGTCCTCATATCTAGCTTAGTAAACCTCATAATGGTGATCAATTGACAAACAGTTCACCAGAACTGAGGAACAGACATTCCATTCACAGCAGTTGGTCTAGGAACCTAATATCTCAATAACCCAGTTCCCCACACAAAGTTCACAATCTTTGACAACCGTTGCCATCAAACCCCGACTCCCTTAACCCAGAGGCAATCATAAGAACTCCCAAAGTCATGATTTTGATTTAGTGGTGAGTTTATCAAACATAAAAAATCAACACAAGCAGGTCGTGATTATATTTCAGCATCAATTGGGACTACTTACCTGAAGAAAGCGGCTAGAAGTGGCAATATACGCGCAAGGTAAGATAATTTGCTAGATTTTCTACTTCAAAAGACTCCTGTCTTTTTCTTCTTGGGCCTAGCGGGTTCACAAATCGACCCGATCTCTCTCTCCCACAGCCACCAAGCGCCTCTCTCGTGTTTTCCCTCTTTCAATTTTGGTGGTGGACGGCGGTGAGCGCAGATTCAATAGTGGGGAATAACGATAAGGAGGCGGGACGATTCTTCTCTCTCTGCTCCTCTTCAGCGGCGAACGATCTTGCAGCAGTAGCGGGCAACGGTGGTGGACGGCGGCCGGGAAAAACCGGAAAAGATCGGAAGACGCAATCGACGACTGATCGACCGGCAGCGTAGAGTAGAGAAGGTGATGGATGTGGTGACCGGCGGCGACGTACGGCTGAATCTCCTCTTCTGCTTCGATCGATAACGACAGTTTGTTTCCCTCCCTCCTCTAAGTCTTCTCGTTCCCTCTTTCTTTTCTTTGGCTTTCGGGCGAGATTTAGGGTAAATAAGACTGGGTGTCACTTAATTTTTAACTTTTTACATATTGATCACTTAACTCTATATAGTTGTACACGGAGTTACGGGCCACTAATTCAATTTTCGTTTTAACAATAACTTTTACGTGAGTATGAATACACAATTTACCATTACAAATGTCAAACCACATAAGCATGACTTATCGACTTGCACACCCAGGACTGGAAGCTTGATACTAGTATTTGAAATGTAATGTATCTGTTGATAATACCGAAAATAAATGATGAGTATTTTATCCCTTCCAACTAAGCCCCCATAACTACATTCTATCAGGCTCTTGATCAGGCTCTTGATCGCCTAAAATGACCACTTGATTATACATAACTCATATCCTCGCTATTAACAACCCATATAAACTTATTTCATTGCTTGTAGTTAGTGATGGCAATTTGAACCCGCCCAGCGGGTAGGGGTGGAAATCGGTACGGTATCGGTATCCCAATACCAAATACCGAAATCCCGAATACCGAATTACACCCTAAAGTCAATCTCAATCCCAATCCCTAAATAATTTCGGTATCCCAATCCCAATCCCTATATATTTCGGTATCCCAATCGGTACTTCGGTATCCCAATCGGTATTATCAAATACGAAATTAATTACCTTTGCAATTAATAATTAAATATATAAATTAGATTTATTGTTTAATTTACGGGAAAAAGACTAAGCAAAGAGTTTTGAATTAGGATATTATTATGGAGAGTGGAGGAGAGGAGACATCTCAAGTTCTTGTTATTGATAATCTTTAATTTGACGAATTAGAGGTTGAGCGACGACTATTAATAATGATGGAATGATCTATGTATAATTAAATGACACTTTTGGTGGTTGAGGGTCATTTAGTAGTAAATGAGAGAGTTTAGTTAAGAGGATAAAATACAAACTAGCTTATATTTCGGTATTTCGGTATATCCCGATCCCAATCCCGTAATCCCTAATACCGAATAACAATTGAAATTCAATCTCAATCCCAAGAAATAATACGTGTATTCGGTAATACCAAATATAGACAAATTCGGTACAGTATTCGGTATATCCCAAATACCGGTACCAAACTTCCAGCCCTACCAGCGGGTATTACCCGTCCTGATCCGCGATGGGGCATGTATTACCCGACCCGCAGTAGCGTGGGGCGAGGCATGGGTATCTACTCCGACTCGTTCTATCCAGCCCCGCCCCGTTATTGGCCTATTCTACCTCAATTTCTTACAATATCGATACATATTTCTTTTATTTTGACTTTTTCCAATTAGTTAGAGTCGATTTTTTAACTGGTAAGACTCAATTGCCCCTTCTATTATCAGTATTTTTCATTCATAAAGTGCTTTCCCCTTCGTTTATTGTAAAAAGTAAAATTTGTGTGCGTTATTGCCAAATAACATGTAAGAGTGGGTCGACCCGCCCTGCCCGTACCCGCGCGGTTTTTTACCTGCCCGACCCGTAGTAGCATGGGACGCGGCATAGGTATTGAGATATCCGCTGCACCCCGCCCCCCATTGCCATCACTATTTGTAGTATATTTATGTACTTAGTCTTTTCATGTTTAATTTGTTGCTTTTGTTCGATAAGATTTATCTCATTCACCACATTTGCTTAGATTGTTTCCTCAAAGTTATATATCAACCTGGGCTACCCGAAACAACAGATGTCAAGAGAGAGGAGTGGCTTGGAGGGAGTATGCTGCTTCTGTGTTCACTGCCACCAAGATGTTCTTATTGAGTTCAACCAACCAACAAGAACAAAAAGGACAATTCACTATCCCCTACAAAAGAGACCGCTCTGCAAATATATAGATGTAAATCGAGAATCAAAATCTTTGCATGCGGCGTTAATGTCCTAGATTACACTTCCTTCTTCATCAATGGAAAACTTCTGTGAACAAGGCTCAACGTAGAGACAGCTGCTATATACATATGCACATTTCGCCACCCCGCTAAATCTCTGTCGAACAAACACAAAAAAGTTCTCCTCTTTCCCCCTCGAAGTAAAAAATCCCCCTTTCTCTAATCAACTTGCGCCGCAGCACGCTTCTTCTCAAACTGGTCATAAGCGTGTTTCGTCCTCAAGAACAGCAGCATGCTCGAAGCCAGCCCAATAATGGCCAGGCATCCCCACCACACGAACGTCAGGAAGTAACAGTCCTTCCCCATGCACACAATGGAGTCGGAGCTCACCATGTTCCCCGATCCGCCGCCGGACGACGACGACGACATTGCGTTGGCATCGTAGACAATGGCGGCAAGGAAGCCGTAGATGAGCGATCCAATGGGAATGTTGGTGATGAGAATGTTGTGGTTGACGCTTACGCTGTTGGGACCGAAGAGCTCTGAAGTTATGGACACCGCCGCCGCGAATATGAAGCCGGAGCTCAGTCCCAGGAGTCCCGTGGCTATGTAGAGCCCCGTCTTGTCGCCTGATGCAGCCAGCAGGAAGAAAGCGACCGGCGTGGGCAGTAGGGCGATCGTCAGCCACGCTGTCCTCGCGAAGTAAATCTTCCTGAACCAAAATGGTGAACATATTAGAGACTTCAAAGATGAATTGGACTAGTTATAATGTGAGATTTTCCTGACTTACGTTCTTATGAAGTCTGGTGCAGCAGAGAGCAGGCGGCCGAAGAACGAGAATGATGAATACACAGTGACGAGAGATGTAGTGCAAGATCCCTGCCCAAGAGATTGTGCAATTTGGCCCAGATTGTTGCTGTACACAAGTCCAATGGTTCCTCCACAGAAGTAGGCAAGAAAGTAGAGCCAGAAATCCATCCTTCTCACCAGCAGCCAAGCTGTGTGCTCTTCCCCAAGCATAGCCAGCTTATCTCTTCCAACCACACCTTCACAACAGTTCCCCTTTCGATCACGGCCCTCCTCGTCGTCGATGCTTTTCAGGACGAGGGTCGAATCATTCCAGGTCATGAAATCCCCATCTCCATTGTTGGTGGTGTCCCGGGCGAGAAGCTCCTTGTGAAGCTCCAGGTCGTCCACGTCGACAAGCATGAAGGTGGAGCCTTCAGGGATTTGGAAGCTGGTGTTGATTGCATGGTGGAACCACTGCCTGGCGTAGACAATTCCAGGGATGCACAACGGCAGAACCAGGAGGAATATGGCTCCGGCGAAGCGTAAGTGAGCTGCTGTGATGTCATCTGTGTTTGAGCCAAAGAGGAGAAGGTAGATGCCGTTGAGGACGGCTAAAGAGTTCAAGATGAGAAATACGACCGAGTCACGGCGGACTCCGTCAGGGGGGAGAGGGTCTAGATTTGGCTGGCGAAGAATGGGGACTAATGCTACAATGGAAGTGATTATGGGGAAAAGGGCGTTTAAAAGAAGATAGACCTCGTTTGATGATGAATCTATGGCGTTGGCAGCAAGCGTGTAGAGGGCTGCACTTACCCCGTTGAAGCTTACAGTGAGGGACAGAGCCAAGGAGCGGTTAGATGGGAAGTTTTGGATGCAGAGAACAAAGCATACGGTGTTGAACCAACATATGCTGCATCCAGCCAGTAGACAGAGAATGAACACCTGAAACCAATCAATTAACAACATTATGAGGATTATAGAAAGCCTTTGGAGGATTGATGCAGTGCAACTGAAGTTGATAAATAACACATATTAATTAGCCTTCCATGACAAAGTCTGCAATTTTTCTGCAGTGCAAGGAATCTGCCTTAATTATGAGGCTCTGGTAGTGGTCCAGCATGGAAAGAAATAAGCTGTACAAGTTGTTATGAATCAGATTGAGACAAAGGCTGTAACTTTGAGTGTTGGCTCCAATTATCAATCTAGAAAAGGAAGTTTCCTGTGTCCACACATGCAGAGAGTAATAAACCCTTTCCTGAAGCCATCTACCGACGTCAATGATCCAGAAAAGACAAACCAAACAAAGAAGCAAGCAGAGAAAGGGACGACACCTTGATTTCTATATCCTTTTTCTAGCAAAAAACCTTGCTTTCTGGTAAATCATAGTATACTTTCTACAACTTGAGGAAAGAAAGTTGGTGAGCAGTGCTTATGTGGGGAGCTTCCGCATGTGGAAACAATGATAGTGATGATACTGAAATGAAGAGAGCTAAAAGGTAAGACACAGCTACTCAGCTAGACAACATTCCAGAGTAGGTGGGAGTGGAAGTCATAGGCCCACCATATTATTAAACGTGCTTACCAACAATTCGGATCTGAATCACAAAAATAACTGTACCACCAAAAACCTTTACTGCATATAGAAAAGACGACTGTATCATATCCACCATGACTTAGCAATGAATCTACCATTATAAAAAGGAAGCTTCTCATGTCCAGAAAAAATAAAGTGAGGAAGCTTCCCCTCGCCCAACAGCGCCCACCCATGAATGAAACTATTCGATGAATGTACCAGAGAGATATCCTTGTCAAAACCTGGAGAATATATGTATTTGCAGATTCAGGGCAAGGCAATCAAATGCTTCCTCCTGTTATCTTTTACATGACAAATTTAACTGCAGAACCAACTACTGTTGTGACTCTCTTCTCGATTCATCTTTCATCAAAGCTGTACTCACCAGTCTTCCCCAGACAAGCAGATCAAAAGGGTTGGTTTATAACTTGGCTAACTGCTACATTAACTAAGGGGAGTCAATAATGGTCTAAATTTCTCCTCAGCCATGTCAAGCTGGTGAAGAACAAGCAGAGAAAATTAACATAGCTAAAGTGCTAGGCAGATTCTCTGTAACCAACCTCACCAAACACATTCATGTTAGGCATTATAAACCTTCCAATCAGTTGAAAGCCAGACTGTGAGGTGGTAGACTGGTGGGTAAGTTTTAGCCTGCGTCAAACTAAGACTAAACCGGCCACCACAAACAACTTGGCAGGTGGTATGCAGCTTTCTGATCCTACCGGCCAGTCCAGTTAGGTGGCACCGTCCGTCGGTTAAATTGAAGGAGGAGGGTAGGAGAGTAAATTAACAACCAGCGAATCCACGTGGCAGGAAACCAGTTGCCATTTGACAACCGAAAACGGGGAAAAAATGTACACGCGTCAAGCAGTTAATGGCGAGAAATACTGGGCCTGAAAAAAGCTACAAAAGGCCCAGGAAAAAAAAAAAGGAAATGGACCAGGACCACCCAAAAGATAACGAGTAAAAAGAAACCATGACTGTAGAAAATTAGTTAACCAAACAATCCTTCCTACCGGCCCGGCCACTGTTTGGCAGCCGGGAAAATTGAAATCGAGAAAACACTTCCAAATCGGAAAAGAGGGGAAAATCGAGAGGAAGAGAGAGGGAGAAGAGGAAAAGGCGTACAAACATACCAGAATGTAAGGCAGGGAGATGACGTTCCGAATCACGAGCCACTGAAGCCCGTAGCCGAAGAGCCCCATAAACGCCGCCGAGAACAGAACCGTCCACAGCGGGAAGTACATCAGGGCGAGCCCCGACGACCAGCCGAAAACCTTCCCCAAATCGGACGCCACGGCGAGGTAATTCAATTGGACCTGCGAGATCCCCAGCACCGACTTCAATTGCGAGGAGTAGGCCGAGAAATCGAAGTTCGTCCCCGTGAAGGCCTGAATCCATATCGTCGCCACCAGTATCATCCACTTCCTCGATTGCCCCGCCATGAACAGCTCCGCGAGCAGCGTCAGTTGGTAGCCTACCGGCGGCGAGAGGGCGGCTGTGGCGGTGGCGATGGTGGTATCGTGGTGTCCCGCCGGCGACCTCGGGGCAGAGGACTCGCCTTCTGCGATTGCTGGTGCGGCCGCGGTAGTGGGGCTTGTTTGGGAAGGGGATTTGCGTTTGCCTGCGTCTCTACGTGGCCTCATTATTTATACGGGGAATGGCGAGATATTCTTTTTCCCCCATTTCCTTGTGGGTCCCGGCGGTGGGCCCGCCATTCGACGTTGTGATTCGATGATTGATGCTTCACTGCTGATGCTCTGATGAGAGTGAGAGAATTGAGATGGGGACGGAGGAGGGAGGAGAAAGAACAAAATTATTTTTTGTTCTTTGGCTTTTTACCGATTTTCTTATTTGATTTGTAGCTCTCGCGGGGATGTGTCTTTGTGTCCCCGTTTCTCTCTTTTCCAGTTTTCCAGAAAGATCGCACAACTCGGAGGACTATATTTGTAATTTTTAAGTAGGTTCTTTTTTGTATGGTGTAATTTTTAAGTAGTTGGTTAATTTCACTCACTGGCCTACCGAAATAAGTGAAATAAGTAAAATTCGTCCAAAAAGAAATAGAATGGTAACTATCATTGCTATTAACCGGTGAGTCTAGGAAGCCTTCGTTACCTAGCAAGGTGCCTTGATATCATGTTATAAACCAGTTGGTCCCAATAACTCGAGTTGTTGGGAGAATGGTTATGCTGGACCTTATCCAGATCCGTGTATGGTGCTTAACCACTTCCTTACTGTTAGGGTACAATCCAAGTACCACATCCCCAAAAGGCCTCGTACTAATTGGGCTAGGTGGACTCTAATATACAAGGGTTCCTTCCCTTGTATTTCCGATGTGGTACTTGGATTGTACCCTAACAATCCTCCCCTCAAGACAAGGACCACGAACTTCGTGTCCTCACCTCAGCGATTATCTTAATCCGCCAGACACCTTGTATCGATGGGCTTCTCGGTACAAGGATTTTCCCAGACGCGGAACTCTCTTTGATCCGCCAAACAGACGCAGATCGCAAATCCCGAGGCCACCGGCCCGCACTGATTTGCTCTTGGGTGTCCTCCCCAAAAGGCCTCGTACTAATTGGGCTAGGTGGACTCTAATATACAAGGGTTCCTTCCCTTGTATTTCCGATGTGGTACTTGGATTGTACCCTAACACTTACAGTGTGAGGTAAAACATATCACTCATTAATATAGTCGACCCAATGTTCTAGATTCCCTACATTTTAACCTGAATATTTCAGGGGGAAATAATCTCTAGTACAAACTGAATCTTACTTGGTTTGTTTTGCAGATACTGAGGTAATCTTTGTAAAAGAAAACTATCCCAATTTTTATAGTGTCACTCCAGTAAACCCCCTAATTGACTAATTAGAAATACAACATTTCCTTGCATAAAACATTTGAGAATAGTATTCATCACCTTTCTACTTTTTAATAAATCCATGCTACATATAATTATATGTTGAACATCCTTTCTAGTTTCTACTTGGCTAGTATAGGGTTTCATTATCGAACAAAATACCAAGATATTAAATTCACCATCGTAAAAGAACAACCTAGATATTATTACGACACTGTACGTTAAATTCTAGTTGGAAATCATCCACTTGGAAGACTCTGCGATTGTGGCGACAATGATGATGGCATTGGATGGGATTTAAGAGGTCCTCAAGCTTCATTCATTCTCCATCTCCCGCCTGGCGCTGATTATGGTGTTTTTTTGCATAGAACGTCAATCACTGTTTCACGTGGCATCATGTGGCGTCACCACCAGGTCCAGAATCCAGATGTATACAATTTACAAAACTACGTAATCGTCGTATCTGTGATGGGAGTTTGTTATGGAGGGGGGAAATTAAAACGGTTTATCTTTTTCCCCCCCTTCTTAGTTCTTATTTGTGTGGCGACAGTTTGTGCCCATTTAGTACGACAATGCTTAAGGGGTCGTTTGGATGTCATAGTTTTTTTTTAGATAAGGGTGATATAGGTTAATTTTGTTTTGTTATTAGGTATTACTAAAGGGATTCGAACCTGATACCTTCAGGTTCATGGCTAGTGGTATTACCACTAGACCAATCCCTTGTTCGTTCGTTTGGATGGCATAGTTTACACAATACATCTTTCGAATCGCCTTCCTTGCCACGACGCGTCTGTAAACTATGCCATCCAAACGATTCGAAAGATGTATTGTGTACAATCGGTGGAAAATTTTGTACCAAGAACATAAAAGAGGAGAGAGCTCAATCCCATTCTCGCGTAACACAAAGAGATGTTTAATGAACACTGAAAATATAGGAGGTCTGCTGTCACAAATTTCTTCTTTCTTCCAGTTATACAATCCACCATATTTGAATTTTAAGCCAAACAACTGATCAAAATCTATATTTATAACACTTTTTTTTTTATTATCGAAAAGGGAATAGTGATCCCTTGTGACATCATATGGTCTAGTAACAAACATCACGGTGTGCGGAAGAAACATAATTCACCACCAGACGAGACAGACAAACCCCTACGGACAGACAATTTGGCCGAAAATTTATCCTCCATGTGTACGTAGGAGAGTTGAACCATCCAGCAGTCCCGACGAGAAGGCTTCGAAACTGAAACACTAAACTCGCGTTCTTATTAATTAGTTATTTACCACCGTAATCTTTAATACACATTCTCAATAATATATTATTTTCAGAATCAAATGTTCCAAACAACCCTAGTACTCAATATCTCTATTGTGAAACAATATACCATGATATCCAAACAGCCCTTAAATCGTCGGGTAGGATCTAATAGCAATTCGAATAAAAATATTCGTGATTGTCCTTATATTGTTTGTGGCACCGTGGTTTTGTTAATTAAAGTGGCAAAGTATATTACGGGTTGAACTACACTTGATCCTTCAACAATTAAAGTCTTAAACTATTGGACTTCCTATCAGTCTTAAATTAATGTTTTCCTAATAACCTTGAGATTTAAACATCTTCTTGACCTAGCATATACTGATAATTAGTGGTACGACGTCACCATTATTTAAACAGTAGCATATACTGATTAGAGAGATTATTAACAAATATTAATTCATCCCAATGACTAAAACAATAGAAGAGAGCCAAAAAATCAATAATTTTGGTTCCCTAAACATGTTTAGCAAATGATGAATTGATGATTGCCAATTCCACCAGCTCGTTAAATTCCCCATTATACATGAAAATGACGATCATGTGGCCGGCATTAATACATGGAAGTCCAGCTCAGTCCTACTAAGTAATACATATTCGCCGGCATTAATTAGCCGTAACCTTAAGTTTTCTATTTTATTGAAGCGACAAAACGAAACTTCTTCTCTTATTCACATGACCATGAATAATTTTGTTTTCCCTGCTATTTTAAAGCGGCAAGAAAAGCATCACGCTCAAGAATGCCAGGCAGAGTATCAATTGTTTAGAAAAATAGAAGCAATAAATTGGAGGCGTGAATCACTTAATTTTGTTAAAACGGTACGTGTTTTTTTGTGAAATTGTTGATAGGATTAAGATAAATCACTTCCAATACTTTGTTCGATGCATAAGTTGAGAGCAACTATATATATGTCTGTAATTGTAACTAAGAAAGGGGGGATTTGGAAGCTAAACGGTTTTCTAGCAAAACCAATTGTGACAAAAAACGGTTCCATTATCATCAATGATAACAATATTTGCAAATTACTCGCAGAAAGCCAAAGATGGCCTGATTCGTATCAAGGACTGACGAATCGGTACTAGAAGCTTCGAAGTGCCTATGCCATACAAAGGTTTGTGATACTTATCCTAGCTAGAAATTGAACATGCATACGGGTGATAAACAACAAAATCCATACCGTAAATTGTTAGCATATGAGCATTCGCCGCTCTCATACTACAAATTTATGAATTCATAATAGTAGAAAACCAATACCTGCAATCGTCTAATTTGTCGACCAGATATAATGATTTCCCAAATCACTAATAGGCCAAATCCGATTCATCATAATTCAACAAACAAATTAAACAACAAACCTTTCCAAAAACTCGATAATAATTTGTGATCAACTATGTTGTCATGACCTAGGAAAAAGAACAATTAGTTTTTGCTCAGATCCCACTTTCTTAAAGCTAGTTGAAGAAAAGTCAAAATATAAGAAATATGAATACATAAATTTTAGATATAATAGGCCAAGAAATCGGCAGGGCGCGGGGCAGGGCATGGAATCGGAAGTAGATACTCATACTCCGCGCTCCACGCTACTGCGGGTCAGGTAATACACATCCCATCACGAGTCAGATTAGGTAATGCCCGGTAAGACGGGTTCAAATTGTCCTCCCTAATTTTGTTAAGATCTCTTATTCGGTTAGCGGGCAATATATACAAAGGGAAAACCCTAGGCTCATAACACGGCAACTAGCTAGCTAAGTCTCTGCATGCATGGGCTACGAATCCTAATACACCACACTTAAGGGACTAATAATTTGTTTCCGACGATTAAAAGGTTTTCCTAATCCTAGTCGAGCAAGGCTATCTCATCATCAGGCCCACTCCTCCCCTATATAAACACGCCAATCTCCTCCATCTAGCGTAAAAAAGGAAACAAACAACAAAGTTCCCTTTTCCTTCAACTCTACCAAAGTCTCGTTAATCATGATGTTGACGAGAAGTCGGGGAAAGTTTGAAGCAATGATCACCGGCTTCTTCCGAGGCGGTGGGGGCTGGAGGAACGGTTCTACGTGCGAGAGGGCGGTGACGGAGCTGCAAAGCCGACTGAGAAACCTGAAGAAAGAGAGGGAAAAGCGGGTCCAGGACCGTACCGGCAGAATAGCTCGGTTCGTAGACGATGGGGACGTGGGTGCGGCCTTCGTGGCGGCGGAGCAGATAGTGAGGGAGGAGAACGCGATCCGGATCCTCGAGTTGCTGTACCATTCGTGCGAGGTCGTCAAGGCCAATCTCACCTACATCCGCCGCCACGTGGACTGCCCTAGGGAGATCAACAAGGCGGTATCCACGCTGGCTTTCGCCGCCCCACGTTGTCCCGATCTCCTCGAGCTTTGGATCCTTCGACAGCTCTTCTTCGAGCGTTACAGCGAGTTCCACGACGTCGCGGCGGCGGATGCGGCGAGTCTCGAGGGTTTCCGAGGAAGTTTCGTTGACTCGGAAGTGGCGGAGAGGCTGGAGTCGAGGCATGCTAGGGTTCCTTATCCTACCACGCTTGCAAAGGTTTGTGCGATACTTCACAAGGACGTTGGAGCTCGACGACGAGGAATTAGTACCACTGGATCCTGAAGATTTGCAGCAGTAGTACTATAGTAGTGCCTATTTAGTTTTGGAGAAGTTATTGTAAATGGTTTAGAGAGGATAAAGCATTTGAACAAAGTAGTATTGTAATTTAGGGTTTCGTTAATTTGAATCAGTATACTGAAAAGTTTAATCAAATGTACGTTGTGTTTCTTTAGGTTGTGGACGACACTTTCTTAGTGCTTGTTTCTTAGTGCTTGTTGTTGCTAAACACATTTTCATAGTTTGTAATATACATATTTTAAGTAATG